TCAAGTGCCAACAGATGTACAAATGCAAACTGCCATGTCAAATGACGCTGCGTTAGGTTTGCCACCATGGTATGCAAATATGAAATGGAAAGAGTTTTATACAAACCCTGAAGTGGGATATAAACAACTTTATGCAATGACGCGAACACAGAAGTTGACCCAGAATATGTTTTTCTACCAGAGGAGAAACAGAATGTATGAGCTCCAGTTAAAGAATGCTATGGAACTCAACAGGAAACGTAAGAGACTAGGCGGACATTAGATTTTTACACGTAGTAAATGGGTTTCTTCAGTAAGATAGGAACCTTCTTCAAGAGTTGGAAGAGGTATATGGAATGGCGTCAAAACCGTAGGAAGAGGAGTATGGAACGGTGTCAAAAATATTGGTAAAAGAGTAGGTCAGTTCGTTGGTATTATACCTAAAGACCCTGAACCAGAAGAGCAAGCTCCTGTTATACAACAGCCTGAACCTGCACCACAGTCTATTGGCAACCAAATCCAAACACCTCAACCGTATTAAAAAATTATATTTTTATCGTTCGATAGTAGTTGTATATGAAACTAAGCTCTATGTAAAACGCATGGTATAATGGAATTATTCTTTTTCTTCCATCTGTAGTAAACCATACTTGAAAGTCTGAAATACTTCCACTTGGTGGTTCGTATAACTTTGTAGGTTTTTCGTAAAAGTCTTTGCCAGCATAAGAAGAGTTTGGGCGCCAGAAAATGAAGCATGAACAATAATAGCATCTGGGTCGAAAATATTTTCATATGTTCATTAGGGTTTTCGACTTCATAATAGTCCGGGTGTACTGGATATGCTGCAGGCTGATTTAACATTCCTCATAAATTCTATACCATGCCAAGTTGTTATATTTTGTAGAAATATAAACGTTTTCTCCAAGGTCTTCTATTTTATTGATTTTAACAGTTGCATTTTTCCTGTCATAAATAATATCGAGATGGTATTCTCCTTCGTCAATGTTTACTGGTTTGCATATTCAATATAGATATCGTTTATTTTTTCTTGAAAAGCTTGAAGAGTTGTTTCTAAGTTTATAAGCAAACTAACTTGTAAAAGTTTTCCCTGTTCAAATTTCTCATACATACGTTTTTCTTTGTTATAGTATCGAACTTCAAAACCGACCGTAAATGGGAAACCATGTATGGCTTCTGAAATGAACTTCATTCTACGAAAGCCAATAGCTTTTGTGACGGATGGGTTCTTAACCATCTAATGGGTAGTCAAAACGATAGCCTTCATGCTTTACGGTATCTGTCTCAAACTTTTGACCGACATTAGTAAAAAGTTCATCTAATGGTTTAGTTGTAGCAACTCTTGAATTTTCTTTTTCTATTGGAAGCATATTTTATCTATAATAAAAATGTCAAATGAAACAGCGTCTATGAGAGAAATACAACACAACCGACAACTCATTATGCAAGCTCTAAATAAGAACACAACAAACTTTTCAAACTATTCTAAGATATCTGAGTCATTGAAAGGGGGTGACTTAAAACTGACAATAAACCCAATGACAGATGAGTTTCTGTTTCAAGACATATAAGACCTATACTGTCTGTATAAATCCAACAAAAAGGAACTTTAAACGAGAAAACATATAAATGAACTTCTTTGAAAGCAGATGTTGACAACAAAGCTGACAAAGAATATGTCATTGAAAAAGTTCAAGAAGAACATGACAGAGCAGATGCAACATATGCAACAAAAGAGGATGTTGAAAATAAAGCTGACAAAGAAACTGTAGATATGTTGGCACAAACGGTTTCAAGTCATACCAGAGGTTTAATGGAAGATAGTGTCCATTTGCAAAGACTTGACATAGATGTTTCAAAATAAAGCCGACAAAATCATACACATAACATCTCTGACGTAAATGAACTTCAAGAAAAGTTAGATGACAAAGCTGACAAAGAAACTGTAGATATGTTGGCACAAACGGTTTCAAGTCATGACAGTGCTTTAATGGAAGATGGACAACAGTTGAAAGAGCTTGAGAAAGGTGTTACAGAGTTAAGGAATACAAAAGCAGACTCGACATGGATAGCTGGATATGTAGATGCAACAAAAGAATATATTTTCGCATGGACAGAAGGAACATATCACAAAAACATCATACACATAACATCTATGACGTAAATGAACTTCAAGAAAAGTTAGATGACATTATGCATCTAAGACAGGAACTCAATGTGCTTAAACAAATTTTGCCGAATCTTATTTACCCGGTTGGCTCATTATATGTTTCAATGAACTCTACCAGACCAGAAGTAGTACTTGGTTTTGGAACTTGGACTCAAATAGTCGACAGGTTTTTGTATTGTGCAAACTCTTCAAAGGAAATAGGTGGAAGTAAAACGATTTCAGGTGAAAATTTACCTGCACACAGTCACTACATAGATTTAAGTACATCTCAAGCAGGTTGGCATAAGCATAGATATTGGGATTGGTCAGGAATGACAAAAGGTAAAGGATATGATGTTAAAGACGACGTTAAGTTTGCTATAAATTGTTGGAGTGACACTCAGGGAGAAGGGAAACCATACACATTTCGTTTCAGGATATACGCAAACAACGGGACAAAGTAAGAAATACATGCCACCTTACATGACAGTTTACGCCATGGTATAGAATTGCTTAGTCGTCATTTTCAACTTCTTTAGCATATTCGTCAGGAGTTGTCTTATATTTGTTAGGAACTGTCTTTGAAAGTATACCACCTTGAACTTTGACAAGTTTGAAACGAGTCTGGCAATAGTTTTATCTTCTGCTTGCAGTGTGTACATTTTGCCATGTTTGCCTAAAACTTCATAATATTCTCTTGTATACTTTCTTCTATTTTTTACGAACACGAATGTGAGTACCTGTCGGGTTCCCATTGTTGTCATAGTCAATAGTATTTTCATATGGGTCGCGTTTAGGTATTTCTATTTTTACTTTGTCACCTTTCTGAGTTTGAAGCCCGGCATTCTTTCTTGTTTGTCTCTTTTGACTAAATTATTAAATATATAGTTTCTCTAAGTCAGGGTTGTTTTTCATTTCTTCGGGGGAGTGGTTTCCCAAACCTTTTTGTTTACGGTTATTGTAAATATTTAAAACTTGTCTCATCTTTGCCTGGGAGAAGTGTCTATATTTGTCGTCATATGACATTTCATTTGCTTCACCACTTGTGGTTGGTTTAAGTCTCTTAACATTTTTATACAACCGTCAATGAACCAAGAGCAGAATGGTTTTGGTCAACAATGAAATATTGGTTTACATTTTTTGAACGCAGATAGTTTTTACATCATCTGATTTGAAAGAACTTTCACAGTCAGATGTCAGTTTTGTTGGATGGTATTGTCAACGAATATTGTCAAAGCAGTTTTCACATCTAAAATATTTTTGGACCATAATGGTATGGCTTCACAGTATCTTGTGTTTGACCAACAAAGATTAACCAGTATGGAGGTCCATCTGTTCTAACTCTCGGAATGTTTTTCCAAGATTCCATAAACCAAGCATTTGGTGTTGAACTAAAGATTTTTATCATGAGTGCTTTCTTTGTCGCTTTAGAACATAGCGGTCCTTGTTCGGATTCGTCATTTTTTACCCTATAAGAAATGGGTTTATTTGGCGCATTAGCAGGAGTCGCATCCAGATTTTTGCCCGCAGTGGGAACAATAGCCAGAGGTGCATTTGGAATTGGAAAAAGAATTTGAGTACCATTAAGGTCATACATGAAAGAGAAAGCACAACCTATTATACAAACTGTACAGAAAGGTTGGATGTAGCACGAGATGCAACAAATCTTATTCCAAATCTGAAACAAGAGGAAAAGTTCAAGGATGGATGGACAATGTAGGAAGACAAGCAGGAAACTATTATAACAAAGCAAATGACTACTATAACAAGCAGGACACATATATGGACAAGGTGAAAGATTCTTAACAGAGATATAACCATGCACAACAGTGGGTAAACAATAACCAACCTCAACCGCCTCAAACGTGGGGAATGTAAATTTTTTTACTGAGATGAAATGAACAATGCAGCATTGAGACAAATGAGTTCAAGATGGATTTGTCGGCTTCCAGCATTTACACCACGTGTTTGTAAAGTTCTTCCTATACCTCAGGAAGTTTTAGACCGACTTAAAAAACCTAAACAACCAGTTGAAAACAAACCAAACTAAATTTTTTTACTGAGATGAAATGAACAATGCAGCTTTAAACAGAATAAGTCATGGAAGACCACCTTTTACACCACGTGTTTGTAAAGTTCTTCCTATACCTCAGGAAGTTTTAGACCGACTTAAAAAACCTAAACAACCAGTTGAAAACAAACCAAATTAAAATTTTTTACTGAGATGAAATGACCGAAGAAGTTGAAACGGTAGATTTGACACCACAAACAAAAAGTTCAGAACCATTGTCAAAACCTGTCAAAGAACTTACAGATGAAGAGAAAAATTCAATAATAGAAAGTGCCAGGTCTGGAAATACAAACCCTAACTATAAAGTCGCTTTTTATAGAAATGGAACGGCTAGTACCTCAAAAAAGAAACAGACTCTCACAAATAAAATATTGAAGTCTGAAGGAGCTTTCGAGACAACAGATGGAAAAGTTTACTTCACTGACCAACAGTTCATTATAGAACATCTCATTGACTTAGAGTCGAAATATTCTAAACTTTACAACAAACACAAAAAGTTGAAAGGAAAACAAAAACAAATGGCATATGATATTTATGAAGATGTTGACGACACAACTGTTCCTGCAAGTGAAGTAAAGTCAGAGGAACCGAAAAGTGACGAAAAACCGATAGAAGAAGAAAAACCAAAAACTGAAGATAAACCAAAACCAAAGTTTAGTTTCCAAACTAAACCAAGTCAACCTTCATTAGCTGGTATGGGTTGGCGTCAAAGACTTATGGCAGCAGGCGGTTATGTAAAGTAAAGAAAAAAATTTTATTTTTATAAAAATGCCCCCATATAGAATGGACAGAAAGTCTGCTAGAATAAAAGCAGGGTTACAAAGATATGGTTGGAGAGTTTCGAAGAATTTTAAATATAGGAAGGGAAGACCCATAAAAGTCTATGACAAATTGTCTGGTCTTCGCTACGAAATGGATTTGGAAACAGCACGTGCCAATTATCCAAACAGACTAGAGAGGTTAGAAGAAGAACGTCTTATGGACATGCCTTTCGATGTTAGTGAACCTCAAGTTGAAGGACACGACGGCTTTGCCAGATTCTACTGGAAACATGACGAACAATTGCATCCTTTGAGAAGGAAAAAAGGAAAAGGTGAAGACACACATGCTCCCATGGAAAGAACAAGATATGCATATGAAAAGTATCGTGAAGTTAGAAGTCAAATTACATCTGGTCGAACCTTTACAGTAAACTTTGACGAAGGAAAGAACAAAGAAGGCTTCATGGGAGTACTTGCTGCAATTCAAGACGGAAATAAGAAAGGACACAATCTCAGATTGACCATAACGGATTTGGATGGTCACATTTACTATGCACATGGCAATGAACAAACAGCCGCAAAACTTCTTGACGCTTTCAAGACTACAAAGAGAGAACAAATGGTTGACTCCGACTCAGACATTTTGAATGCAATTGAAGGAATTGCAAGTGTCAAGTTCGAATGGTACCAACCTAACCCTCAAGCAGTCAGACAACATGCTGGATACTTCCCGTTCATAAATAAGTCTGACATTGACTTGACAAGGTATGGAATTTACAATTCAATTGAAACAATTGTTAATGAACCTTGCATTCTTACATGTCTCAGGAACTCTGGTCTTGTTTCAGAAGAGAAGATGAAGTATCTTGAGTCATGTGTGAAGACAAGGTACATTCTCAGAGGTCAATTGGCAAAAATTGCACCGTTGGCAAATGTCAATATCCGAGTCAACATACCTACAGCTAAAGGTTCTTCACATGACGACTATGTTGTTGACAAAGACTTACCATGGTTGAAGATTGTAATTGTCCACAACCACTTCATGTTGAACGAAAGTCTTACAAACCCATTCTTTGGTAAAAGTAAGTGCAACATTGTCAGAGCTGTAAACATTCTTTTCGAGAAAGGTTTGTTGGAACCAATTCCAGATGACAAGCTGACAGAAACTTTTGTACCAAAAGATGAAACAAACTTTTCATTGTTAGTAAGACCAAAAGTTGTTCCAGACAAAGTTCTAGTACAAAAGAAGTACACAGTTCCACAAGAGGTTGGTATGTTCGGATACCAACCTGAACCAGAAGAACTTCCAATGAGGTTGCAAGAACTTCAAGATGCTATAAACAAACTTCCATTGAGACATCCAATTGACGTCAAATTGTATTGGAGAGCATCTGAGTTAGGTCAGAAGGTTTTATATGAAACAGGTTGCTTCGACGATGTTTATGAGATAACAGGAGAAGTTTCTCAGAAGATAAGAGACTCACTTGAATTTCCACAAACTGGACCAATTGGTTGCGACAAGTTCGACTCAGATGAAAAGATATACTATGTCGACCTTAACGCTGCATACATGAGGTTTGTCCAATATATTCCGACTGGAATTCCAAACGAAGATGGTGAGTTCCCGGGAAGGAACTATACAGTTGGAAAAGTCATACAACAACTGTATGATATTAGGAAAGCTTCAAACCCCAAACTTGCAATGACACTCAAATTGCTTATGAATTCGACATGGGGATATTCCATTAAGAAACCTCAAGAGATGAAGAGTAAACATTATGAGAAGGTCGACAACTTTGTTGAAAGGTTTTCTCCTTTTGTTTTGAAGTACGAATTCACTCAAGGTCAAAGTGGCTTAGTAACCACATTAAAACCTATTGTCGAACATTGGTCTTACCCTCAGTTCGCAAAGGCAGTCCTTGACAACTACAACAAATTCTTCTCCGAAGTCAAATCGAAAGTCAAGGTTTACTATGAGAACATTGACGCACTCATGACGAACGAAGAAGGATACAACAAACTCATTGAAATGGGAATGGTCGGTGAAAAGATGGGCTGTTTTAAGCTAGATAAGGTATTTTCCGAAGTTCATGTAATATCGAAAAGGAAATATTGGGGCATACTTGAAGACGGCACAGAAATAAAACATTGCATGAAATAAAAAATTTATTTTTAAAAAAGTGATATTTTTTAATTTTATTTGAAATGTACGCCGAGTTTGTTAGTGAACCTCAAGTTGAAGGAAACTTGTTTGTTAGATGAGAAATATGAAATGGCATACCATTTTAAAACAATATATTTTTACATATATTAAATGCTTCAGGTTGAAAAACAAAGAACAAAAGTAGCAGATACAAAACCGTTAGACTATATCTTTACAAATGCTGGTAGGACTATTTCAGATGAAGAAATTTCATCCCGAGCATACAGGTTTGACTATCCAACTTGTTGGCTTCAAAGTCCTTCAGATGCAAAGGCAATAGGATTTAGAAGAGTTTTGTTTTCAAATAGAACTAACGCATTTATGTTCGCAGTATATTTTCATGGGCAGTATGAAGGTTCTGATGGTCTAATAGACAAATTTGACGAAATGAGAATCTTTACAGTTCGTTCAGACGAAAGTCTTGAGAAAACTCTAGATGACTTTCAAACTCAAATGAACAAATATTATTGGGAATTTCAAGAAAAATACAACTCTTTACTAAATGGAACATACTATCTGAAACTAGAATATGACAAGATGAACTCCACCGCTTCATTTCAAAAGATTGAAATTAACCCTCCAAGAGATACAGAGTTTTTATTTTGGGAAGTAGACAAACGTTCTTGGGCACAATTTCTTCGGTTACTAAACCAGAACGAACCATTACCACCAGATGGTCCATTTAAATTTATACTTCCACCAGCAGATTTGATGGTTTATAGAAACGTGTTTGACCCTCAAAATGTTATGTGTCATGCAAGTTTCAGTTCAAGCAACAATAGTTTTCTATGTATTGGTAAGGACCTTTATGACTTTGCTTCTAAATTCTACGAACCACCTAGTAACAGTTTCTCTGACTTTCAAGTTTGGTTCACAACAAATGGTGTGCAACATATTATTCCATTGTACTATGACTTTTATCTCGAATTGTCTTTCATATATAACTACGGAAAAGTGCTGAAAAAGTATTGAATGTGAAGATATTAGAAAATAACATTTTTTCTAACATCGTAGAAAATTCATGAAAACAATTTATTTTTGACACTTTCACAAAAAACATAAAAAAGTGAGTTAAAATGAGATGTTTACTGAACTGGCTGAATGTCGCCTTCTGTAGTTATGTAGAATGGTTGACCAGAGAAGTGAAGGAGACCCTTGAGAATTTGGTTCATTCTTGGGAAAGGGTTCTCTCTGTTTGGAAGTAGTATCCAAGGACGCTTGGCAAAGAACTTTATAATGGCTTCCTTCTTTGCTTGCTTTATGTCGTCGTAGGCTGTCCCGTCTGGTATTTGAATTGGAATTCCAGTCGAAGTCTCGAGATTCAAGGCAGCCCTTCCCGTTATCCAACCGTTAACAAGCTTGCCTTTTACATTCTGCCTGAGGAAGTCTTTAACAAGCTCGTTAATTTCAATTAGGTAAATTGCCTCGTCGGTAGGTTCGACCTCGACCATTGCTACTGTCAGAAAAAGTACTGCTACTGTCAGAAAAAGTACTGCTACTGTCAGTAAAAGTACTGCTACTGTCAGTAAAAGTACTGCTAGGAGCAGAAAAACTACTGCTACTGTCAGTAAAAAGGGAAATTTGAGAGGGTTTTCGACGATAAAGTACTGCTACTGTCAGAAAAAGTACTGCTACTGTCAGTAAAAGTACCGCTACTGTCAGAAAAAGTACTGCTACTGTCAGTAAAAGTACTGCTACTGTCAGTAAAAGTACTGCTAGTAGCAGAGATTTTTATCGTTGTGGTCCGACAGGACACAAACGAATGTCCGACGTCCCACCAACCGAGTCCATTCCCAAACCAGAGGAACCTAAAGAACCACAACAGTCTCCTCAGCAACCTCAGTTCCAGCAAGTACCTCCGAATTACTACCAATTTCCACCTCAAGGTTACTACCCACCACAAGGCTTCCCGAACTACCCTCCTCAGCCTATGCCTTACTGCCCCAACCCTTGGTTGTTCCAGCAAGCTCCACCCAAGCAATTCCAATTCCAATCTCAGTCCAAGAGAGACCAAGACTTCGAAGAAGGTCTGAACCGCTTACGCAAAGAGTATGCTACAGCTCCAATTGAGAGAAAGTTGTTCCCGGACCAAAAAATATAATTTAGGTGAAGAGGTTAGATCTAACCTCATTTCTAACCCGATTTCTACCCTCTTGAATTTTCATGAATTTTATATATTAATGTTTTCGTTAAGCCACTTTGTGCCGTCAGTCAGTCAGTCAGTCAGTTTAGGAAAGACTTTAGAAAGTTGTTGGAAAATAAGTCCTGGGAAGAGTATTATAAGGCATTTTGTGAAGAATATAGCAACCGCCGGAATTCGGACTGTTGCTTTTTATACAAAATTCATGCAGGAAATTCTTGAGTTTTGGTTGAAAGAATACGGTGGAGCCAAAAGTGGCTCGACCTCAAAACAAGCATTTTATGAGCTTACAAAGGGTGTTATGAATGAATTCAAAGGTATTTACATACATCCTGACCTCGTTCATTTTGTTGCTGAATTCAGCAAAAATAATGTTTAGGGTAGATGGTTAGATCTAACCCGATTTCTAACCCGATTTCTACCCTCTTGAATTTTCATGAATTTCCTTAAGATAGAAAAAATAAAGTTAGTTTTATTTTTATTTATTTTTTTATTTTGTATAAAAGAACAGAAATGTCAACAATCGGCACAACAACAATTCAAACAACAGCACCAAACTCGTTAGTCATGAATCCAACATCTATGTTAGTAGAAATGAAAAGCTTCATTCCTTCTTCATATACTTTTGAAACAGAAATCCAGAAGATAAAGCAAGAACTTTTAACAAGTAATTTAGACTGTAGTGCGAAAGATGAAACAAATGAACAGTATCTTTATGAAATGGAGGACCTCATCGACCATTTGCCTAAACTACCTGAAATTCAGCAGCAAAAACTAACTATTCCTGAATTCGACGAAATTGAAGTCAAAGCAACTGACTCAGTAGAAATAAAGAAGTTCATACGAAAGGTAAATTATGAATTCCTTGGTTTTCATTGCAACCATAAAGTTATGGACAAAGATTGCGACATGGTATATAAGAACATCTCTGACATATATAGATCTGGGGAGTTTAAGACATACGACAACTTTGTTTCATTAGCTGCAAAATGTGTATGGCAGATAAGAGATAAAGACAGAAGAGATAAGGTATGGCATGAACAGATAAAACCAACTGCTTCAGATTTAAAGAAAACCATTGACGCCTTGGTTGTTTTAGCAGGTAAGGTTTCAGAATATAACGCAAAAATGAACCCGCAATGTTCTAAATGTAAAGCAGCAATGAGGAAATATAACTACTCCGTCAAAGAGATAGAAAGAATGCGAAACGACTATGCAGACTTAAAGAAAGAAGCAGAGAAACCCACAGAAAATAAAATGGACATGTTAGCATTTCTGAACAAAAACTATCCAACTGCTGACGATTTCCTTCTATCTGACGTCAAGAAGAAGTATAAAGAAACTTTCGGCATTGTTAAAACATTCGATGTACTAAAAGAAGAAATAGAAGCTACAAAACTGTTTAGAGTCTCACGAATTCATAACGTTTACCATGTGAAACGTTTATAAAATAACTGGGGTAGAAATGAGGGTAGATATCGGGTTAGATCTAACCATCTACCCTAAAATATATTTTTATTGAATTCAGCAACAAAATTCTGAGTAAAATAATTTTTAGGGCATGTGTCAAACCGTTGAGTTTTCACAAAATTTAAAAAATAACGTTTACCATGTGAAACGTTTATAAAATAACTGGGGTAGAAATGAGGGTAGATATCGGGTTAGATCTAACCATCTACCCTAAAATATATTTTTATTGAATTCAGCACAAAAATCATGAATTTCCTTAAGATAGAAAAAATAAAGTTAGTTTTATTTTTATTTATTTTTTTATTTTGTATGTAAAGACAGTAATGTCAACAACAGAGAACACAACAACAGTTATAGTCCATGAAGCTATAAATGAAGAATACGAGTACATACAGTTTAACAAACAACTCCGTCTCATTCGTTCAGTCAAAGACGATATGTACCAAATGCAAAGTATTTTGAATGCTCTTCGTTCTACAAAGCAAGCATATCATTGGTTTGAAAACCAACAGACAAAAGAACTTTTAGAAGAATTTCCTCATATGATTGCTTCCCTCGGAAAACCGAGAGAAGAGATTCCGTATGAAAATCGCAAGAATTTGGCTCCTGGTTTGAAAGGATATTATGTTCATAGACTTTTAGTAAATGCTGTAGCAATGTGGGCTTCACCTCGTTATGATTGTTATATTTTCATGATGTTAGATGAACTATATAAAGCAGAACGTGAAGAGATGGAAAAGAAACTTCAAGCAAAAGATGAAGTCATTGAAGCAAAAGACAAAAGCATTCAGAAAAGAATACCACGTTCGGTACCAAAAGGAAAGGAAAAGAACTATAAGTATATGATTTATACTGAAGAGTTGGAAAATGAAGAAGATAAAGATATGGTTATGTTGCATTTAGTCAGAAGAAACAACAAGAGCTTTTACGACCTTGCTAAGATTTACAAATCTGACAGAAATTGGTTCTATCGCGAAAACTTACCGATTTCAATGACCCCAAATGAAGATGTGAAACAAATAGTTCAAGATACGTTACCTCAAACACACTATGATATGAAAGGTTGTACAATACTTACCTTCAAAGAAGACTTACCGCTACTGAAAGAAAAAATAACAGAGTATTTTGACAACTTCAAACAAGTAGGGTAGATGAACCATTTAGTTTTATTGACTTTTTACAATTTGAACTTTGTTTGCGTAGATATGAATTCTGAAAGAAGTATGAGGGTCTTGTATGACTTTATACTTCTCCCATAGTTCATGTCTGTCAAACTTACCTGCCATGGACTCTTTCATAAGTTCCATGAAATCGTCTTCGGACAATCCGGGGAAAAGTATAATGTCAGTAAGTATTCTCTTTACATCCTTACTTAAACTCTTTGCTGTCTGTACACAAATGACAACTGAGATGTTAAAGTGTCTGAGCTTCTTAAGAATTCGACACATATCTTGTTCTCTGTTCTTTAACAAAGGATGAGAGGCGAAATCATCTAAAATAAGAAGACATCTATGAGGGTAAGTTTTCCAATCGTACGATTGCAATTTCTTCGAAATGTATTCTATCTCTTTCTGTTTGTTTCGGAAGTGTTTCTTCTCTAATATTCTCTGCATTTCCTCATTTGGGTCTTTAAACTTAGAATTTATATACTCATTTATAGCATTATACTTCAAAACTCTTCTTTGGTACTTCTTTATCCAATCTAACAACTCAGTATCCTTTATACATACTAACTTAGACTTCTTTATAATATCTTTGAACGAATTGACGGTTTGGTCAAATTGACCAGAAGTCGAACAAATAACAACTAACTCATAGAATGGGTTCTTCTCATCTAGTTCTTGTTGTTGTGCAGCCATTTTAAGATAAGTGAAAGTCTTACCCGACCCAGGTGGTGCAATTAGACCTGTTATACCATTCTGAGCAAATAAGAACTTGTCATGTATAGGCTTTATCTGAGCATTTTCTAACTTCCTCTTGTTCTTATTTAAAACATTCTCAAATTTTTTGTCAATGTCAGCAAACTTTTTTTCTAACATATTTTTAGAAAAATTAAAATTTTTATCTTTTAGAAAATGTCTAGCGATTTCGCTATCTATATTCGAGACAAACTTTTTGACAGCAAAACATCTGTCGACCATAAAATCTTACATAGTGTAAACAAGAAAGGTGAATTTGTTCTAAAGTTCTGTTTCTGGGAATATGACAAGAACCATAAAACATTACAAAGAGCAGTCTTAAAATTTGTCAATGACAGACTTGTTGACAGAGATGACGCCGATTGGAAAGATGAAGTCCAACAAAAGTTCTTAGAATGCAAAGAAGACACATGCGCTGTTCTTGAAGATGAAATAGAAAACAGAATAGATGAGCTATTAAAGGACAAAGAACTTTTACATAAATATAGTTGCGCCAAATTTGACATAACTCCACCAGAAAAGAAGAAGAGAGAAAAGAAAGAAAAGAAAGTAGAAGAAGAGAAGAAAGAACCTGAACCAGTTCCAGAGAAAAAGAAATTTGACATGTAAAAATAAAATTTTATTTTTAGAACATTTCTGGGTCAATGTCAATGTTCTCTTCCTCTTTAGGAGTAAACACTGGCTTAGACTCTAAAATCTTTTTACCCAATTTACCTTGAACTTCTACAACTTTAGACTCATAATATTCATAGTCGTCTGTCTTCTTTGGTTATAAGGTATAACAAGTTTGTATGCTTTGCCTTCTTTAAGGTTTGAGAACCTTCTGTCAAAACTTTCTTTGACTGTTAACAAACCTTCTATGTCTAAGTCTTCAAATTTCGCACCATTTTTAGTCACAATAGCAAACTTAACTGGTTCGATGTTCCAAACTTTGCTGAATGAAGACTTTTCAAAATGGTAGAAGTAAACATTCAAATATGTGAATGGGTCTAGTTCTTCTTTAAGTCCTGACATGTACTTGTTTACTGAGATGAATTTCGTCATCTTTTCTATCGGATAAAAAATATTTTTTTTTAAAATTTACTCAGAAAAAATTTTCTTTGTATATACACCATTCTGAACATCTAAAAGACTTTTGACATTTGCCAAGAATGTACGTTTAGAAGCTGCCATATAACCATATTCTTGACAATATTGTTTATACGAATCGTACAATGACCTTTCATCTAATGACACAAAGTCAGTTTCATCTATGAACAGTTCATATACACTCTTGTTTGCTTCTAACAATGTTTGTCTCTCTTCGGTATGTGGAATTTGTCTTGGATTGAACTTAGAAATATCTAATGTCATGAAATATGAGAACAAGTGGTTGTAAAAGTCAGATGTCAAAGTTTCTGCTAAGTCGTCAAAATATTCTGTATCTTGCATATGAGAATCTGACGTTTCTGACAACTACATATCTTCTGTCAGAACTTTCTAACTTCATCGGAACAGCATTGTTTGAAACCATAATGAAGTTTGCAACATTTTCACAAACTCTTTGGTCTTTATACTTTCTTTCAACAACTCCAACTTTGTCTGTTATAAGACTCTTCAAAGCATCTGAGTTCAAAACTTTTGTTGTATCTATACTTTGAAGTTCATTGCAAACTATAAGTTTCATATTCTCTATTGAGGAGTTAAACTTGCCACAGATGTTTTCTAAGTTTGTCATATTCGGATTCGAATAACCTTCTAACAGTTTGCACAAAATATCTGTAAAGAAAGTATTCTTACCAGTTCCTTGTTTTCCAATTATAATGAGAGCAGTTTCATTTTTAGCACTTGGATGTTGTAGATGTTTGCAAACCAACATAAGATATACTCATAAACCTTTTCGTTTCCATTGCATATAATTTCTTTGACATGGTCTAACCAAGCTTCTATAATATTTTCTTTCCATTCTACTTGTTCATATTTATATCCAGTGAAGATAGAATAGAAGTTTGGAGAAGGTGTTATGAACTTTATACCACGAACTGAAAAATCTTCTAACTTTGACAATAAGATATCCCAAGCATCTAACATCTTCATTCCAACTTGTACAACTTTTATTTTCTTAAGTTTCTGTCTACATTCTTGTTCTGAAATATTGTTGCTCTTGGTTTGTTAAAGACAACATCCCATTCTTTCATGACATAACATTCTGGGGCAGAGTCAACATAAATGACTAAACGTTTCAAATTCTCGACTGCTTTGTTATAGTCTCTAAATGGACACATATTTCTGAATGCTTGGAAGTCATAAAAATCTGAAACATCTATTCTGTACATTTTTATAAAAATAAAAAAATATTATTTTTTTATTCTTGACTTTGTTGTTGCATTTGTTGTTCTTGAGCTATTTGTTGTTGAAGTTGTTCTTGTAATACAATACTTTCACAGTTGCATCTTCCAATTCGAAACTTTCTGCCGTCATTGACAAATACATAGGACATAAAAGTTTTACAGGAACAAAGTTTGCGTCAACTAATGTCAACGTTATACTTGCCAAAAGTGTTTGAGTTCACTAAGGTTGAAAATTCTGCATTCGAATGAACAATAGGCAAACCAGCAGAGAAAGTATTGTTTATACGCATAAGTATCTTTTGGTCATAATAGTTTCTGTCGACATTCAAATAACACTTTGAACCTAAGTTTGAAACAATATATAGATTGGTGTGCTTAATGTCAATGGAATAGACATTCCTTGTATGACACCTTTTCCTGTTATAGGAAACTGTTGGTAGTAAAAACCAGAAATAAGTTTTGTATTATAGCTCATATCGTTTATAGTAAACTCAGTCGGACATCCAAACATAATGAAACCTGCTCTAGTTGCAGCACATGTTACACCCGTACTTAAAGTATTAAATAAGTCAACAAAACCTGTTGGTGGTATATCTGAGTAAGTATCTTCAAAGGAGTATTTTTTACCATTCACAACAATAAAGTCTTCTGGTGTCAAAAGAGCAAAACAGGCTTTAGTCGTCATTGTGTTTAAGGTTAGTTTACAATATCGTCCTTGAGGACTTTGTAAGTTTGTTGTTATAGAATTATATGACTCGGGTTTTTAGTCGTAATAGTATAACCATTATGTCTTCTGCCATTTACTTAGCAAATAAACTTTAATGAAATGTTGTGGTCGTCAAATATTTTTATAACGTCTGGGAAACTATATTTTAAGTTCAACGTTTCACCTCCTTTCATAACGTATATCTTGTCAATGGCATTATATGAAACACCACAGCAACTAATGTCGGGTTCTATTTCTTTTGATGTTTATATCGTCTGCCTCTGTCAAAAGTTTCAATAGTTCTTTCAAAACTTCATGAGGTGCAATGACATATGAGTTCACTTTACAGGGTTGTGTTCGACCAAGTTTAACATTATACTTAAAGCTTGACAAATCTTCTCCTGAGTTTGAAGTTTGTCTTTCAGTTGTTGGTAGTCGTTTCGAATATCTGCAACAGAACTTAAGTCTCTGCTAACTTCAGGATATGTTGGTTCTTTTACAGGAACAATTGTTATACCATCTTCGTCTTCGTATGGTTTCCCCACTTCAACATCTCTGTCTTTGACATTGACAACAACACTTTGACTGTTTGTTTGAGTTGGTGAATTTAACTTCACATCTGCCACCGCCATTAAACCTTTTGAAACACTTATGCTTCTATTTTTCGGAAATGACATTTTACTTAGAATAAAAAGATGGACGTATTCGGATATCTTATTGAATTGAAGCAAAACAAGTTTTATACTCACAAACAATACAAATACATTGACAGAATAGTTCTTTACACAAACAATGGAAAATGTTATAGAATAGCAATATTTGCTGAACCAAAACATTTTCATAAAGCAAAGAAAGTTGGTATAACTGAGATGGTGAAAGTTCTTGAAGCAGACAAAAATATAACTTCAAAACTGACCGATATTACTAAAGAAAAGTTTATAATACAATATTATGTCAAAACTGGCGTACTGTCAATATTTGACGGAGAGAAGTCAGTTCAAGAACAACTTACTGACCTGCTGCCAAAATCTGCTCGATGGAAGCTGTCGTTATGCCAATCTGAGGAGCCCCAGCAGGTTTTATCGAACGAATCTTCAAAAGAGCATCTTCCGTGAAAAGTGCTATTGGTTTTGTAAACTTCTTTGCTCTCAATTCATCTGGACCGTCTCTGTCACCAGTATATTGTTTTGTACAGTACCAAAGTTGAAATACCACCCATAAAGTCTTCTGAGTCAGCAAATGGAATGCCAAGCCAAAAGTTTGAACGGTCTCCATTTGTATATTGAGTTTTTTGACCTCCTGTATGAGTCCATACTTTCACATATGGCATAATAGAACTTTGCATTTCAGGGTTAATGGTTGTTGTGAAGTTGTTGTTAAAGTTCATAGCATCTAATGTCAAGTTGTATGACCTCATATCCTCAACTGTAGAATATTCTTCTCTTGGATAATATTTGCCATCTATGTTTATATGATATTTAATACCAGGGTTGTAGAAGCAAGAATAGTCATTTATAGTTCGTCTGAACAGTACAAACATAGTAGCTGCATGTTTCATTGCAGTTGTTAAAGCAATATCTGTTCTTGCACCTGCGGCTCCTGGATTTTGGTTTCCAACTTCACCTGCAAAGTCTTTGACAGATATTTGGTGTATAGGGAACATAAGTGGAACTGCAATATATTTGGCAGCTAAAGCATTTGAAATATCTGGTCCAACATATAAACGGCAAGTCTGCTTTCTATTCTCTTGCATTCAAACTGTTCGCATGTGAACTTAACTGGGTCCCAAGCATCTCCGGCAGCATTGAAATAATAGTTTACTTCAGTGTTGAGGTTTGAGAAACCAAAGTCTAAGTCAACTTTGTCTTTGAAAAGTCACAGAACTTGGCTCCACCAGTCCAGCTACAGTAATGCTGAATGGGTCTTGTGTTGGTGCAATGACTAAGTTATTTTTGCTTGGAGTAAGTTCGATAGAAATTTTTCCTGCCCAGTTTGGCAAGTATCTTAAAAACCTGAAGATGAGGAAAGATGACAAAGAACTCTAAGTTTCAGTTTTACTTTTGGTTACTGCTGCTGCAGTTTGTCCAGAAAGGTTAACATAAACTCCTGGAACGTTAGGGTCAAGTCTTCTTATTTTCTCAATAGTTGCATACTGGTCTGTTTGTTCTCTAGCTTGTGGTTGTACTGAGTTTCTCAAAGCGAACCATTCATAGTTTGCCATGTTACTGTTTGAACTAAGTCAGAGTTAGAATATATCTTATATCCATGAAACTTCTGGAGCATATTGGTATCCGACATAGAAAATTCCATTGCAACCTTTCTTGTCAGACAACTTGGCAGAAGGTTTTATTTCAATGTCTTTTTCCACGTATAAGAATGAGTTGTCAATAGAAATAATATTGAAACCTGTTCGCAAAGCAATATCTACTGTTGTTGAAGAACCTTCTCCAAATCACCTACGTTTCCATAAGAAACAGCAGTTGTATATTCGTAAGTTCCAGGAACTATTTCTGACCTTCTAATGCATTGTCGCATTCGTTATACCATTCGGAAACATTTCCGTTCATGGCATCCAAAACTGTTGGCGTTATATTCTGAGCGGCGTACATTTCATATGGGTAAAAATATAGAATAGTTGGATTTATGTATCATAATAGAACCCACTCGGACCAAGCTTTACTTTCTTCCTGACTGAGTTTTTAACTCTTCTTTTTCCTTCATTGCCACTACTTTCACTAGATGAAGTTACTTCTTCACTACTTTCACTTTGTTCTACTCTTCTCTTCTTTTTGGTGTCGCTTTTGGTAACTTGCCCTCTGCTTCAAGTTGTTGCATCTTTGCCTCATGTTCACCTAGTATGTTGTAAATTTCCCATGTCCTTTTTGCCTTTGGGCTCTGGTCGCCCATCTCAGGTAACCTATATCCTAGAAAGATTTTGCATAGTTTGTATTTGAGTCTTCGCTTATTGTTTGCATGACTCTTTCCTGAGTTTCCGGTTCAAGCTCTTCAAACAGAGCTTGTCCATATGGAATAAGCTCGTTCCAAATATATGTTTTGTAGCCATTCTGTTTTCTTTCCATGTTACCAATAATATCTTTTGTGAATGGGAAAGCTTTTACCCAATGTTTCAGTCTTGCGTCATTTATTTCTGTAGTTGGTTTTATTTTGTCAAGGAACATGTTTTTTCAATACTAACATTTCATTTGGTACTGTCCATTTGAGTTTTCTTAAATATTCATCCCTTCTCAGTTCATTGTCTGCAAAGTAATTTTTTATGACATTTTGCAAACTTTCGTTTGCAAGGTCATGTACAATAGGTTCTCTTCCTTCTCTCTCCCTAACTTTCTTTCTAAACTCTTCACCAAATATACCATCTCTATGGTTCTGTGTAGTTCTTTGAGATAAATGTTCTAGAACGTCAGGTGTTATATTTCCATCAGCCATGTTCATTTCATACTGGTCCAAAATATCTGCATCTTTCATATCTTTCAATGGCATTAAAGCCGCGCTGAAAATACCCGTTATATCTGGTTCACCATTCACTTCCATTGCGTCTACAACTTCTTGGAATTGAGGTTGTAAGTTTATGAACCACCTATCCGGATTAGCTTTATGACCCCATCTCATTGTAGTTCCATCGTCTGCAGAAACAAAAGTAGGTTTGTTTCCATATTGGTTAGGTTCTGAATGAACTTTAAACAATGTTTCATTTCTATATGTTTTGTTGAAATTTAACCTTTTATTTTCACCGAGTTCAGCCAAAGATTGAACGTTATATGGTCGTAAGTAAAAAGGATTATTGTATTTGCGTACATTATCTTTCAGTACTTCCATTCTATGCTGAATATTTTCATCTGATGTTGGAGTCTTTTGTATGTCGGTGAACATTTTTCGATATTCTTCTACTATGTCAGCCGAATTTTTCTTAGACTCTTGGAAAGATTCCATATTCTCCGCATACACTTGTTGAGGGTCAAGATTTTTCGGCTGTTCCAAATCTTCATCTAGTTCTGTGAAGTTAGTTTCCAAAGGAGGGACTTGTTCGTTTCCTTCAGGCTCTTCTAGCTGTTGTTGCTGAACTATTTCTTCCATGTCTGGTTGTATCTGAACTTCTTCCTGTTGAGTTTCTTGTACCTCATCTGCTGGCATTTCATATATTCCGAGACCGTTTTTAACAAGTTCCCTATCTAAGTCATCCGGACTCATAAACCTTTCTTCTTTCGTTCCGTCTCTATTTTTTACGCGTTTCATGAAGAGAGTTGAATTATCATTTAGCTCTGACACCAAATATCTCGGAGTAAATTCATTCATGTCATTTGGATGATATGCTATTAAATCATATCCCTTAGCGAGCTTGTATTTTCCAGGTTTGAGATTATATCCCATTTGATGCTGAACCATAAAGCTAAATAGGTTCGGGTCAGTATTTCCTTCCTTGAACTTTCTAATAGCTTCTTTATATCTGTCACTAAAGTCAAGAGTATCTGGGTAACCATAATCTTCCTTAAGCATTTTTAAGAATTCTTGGTTTCCTTTTTCTCTACTTCTTTTATGTCCTTGCTCTGTTTGTGGTTGTTGTTGTGCAGGGTTTTGAACTGTTGGTTGCTGTGCTGGTTGTGGAGGTGGTTGTTGTGCTGGTTTTGGTTGTGGTGCTGGATTTTGAACTGTTGGTTGCTGTGCTGGATTTTGAACTGTTGGTTTTGGTTGTTGTTGTGGTGCTGGATTTTGAACTGTTGGTTGTTGTGTTGGTTTTGGTGCATGCCTGTGTCTGTGTCCATGTGACGATGTAAATGTTTTAGGTAGTCCTGGTGCGGGTGCTTCTCTTGGAGGGTTTGGTGGTATATAAGTTCCACCAGCTGGCACATATGTTCCATCTGCAGCATAATGTCCTACCTGACTTTTCGTTTTTAAGAAAGCATTTACTAGGTCTGTTTTGGTCTGTTGTAACTCTTTTTCTTGACTTTCCACAACAGTTGCTCTAACGGCGTCATAGGCACTTTGAACTGCCTGTCTCGTTGCTGCATCTGTTATTTTCGTCATATTTTGTGCTACTTCTCTTAACTCTTTGTCGAAACCTTCAGACTTCAGTTTCTTTCCAGATGAGAAGTCGTTCACTTGTTTCACCTTACTATGAAGAGCTTCGAAGGCATTCTTAAAGTCAGCATTCATTAAAGCTTCATTTGAACTGTCTTCATCCGCTTGTATTTTTGTCCTTATTGACCCTATAAGTTGGGCTGCTTTAGCGTTGGCTTGGGCATCTAACCAGTCATTATTAGCTTTTATATATTCTGCGCTTTTCATTGCCTTTTGCATGGCTGCGTCGTTATTTTTACTTTCTTGTGCTAAGTTTTCATACTGTACGGATTGGTTTTGCAACTGTAAAAGTTTTTCTGCCTTTACATTTGCTTCAACTTCTTTTTTATACTCATCGCTATCCATATATGTCTTCAGGGCTTTTTGTTTTATCTCTTCATCTTTCAGTACTTTATATTGAGTAGTATGGTTTTTCAAATTTATAACATCTTGTTCCATTTTTGCTACTTCTGCTGCTTTTTCTGACACTTTTTTCGCATATTCCTCTGTACTTAGTTCTTTCAGTTGTTCTTCTTTCTTCTTTTTCTCTACGTTTAACTCATTGAGTTTCTTTGTGTGTCTGTCATATTCTAGTTTCTTTTCGTTTTCACTTATTTGTTTCTGTATGTCTATGTTTGACTTTTTGACATCTGTTATTTGATTTTTGAGTGAACTCAAATTCATTTGACTTTGAGGGTTATAAGCTGTTCCGTCTGCAGCTCCACCATAGCCTGCCATTTTCGCTAAAAGTGCCGCTCTTAAACCCCCACTCTGTGCACCAATAACTCGGTTTAAAAGCATAGGGTTGCTTGACATTTGTTGCAACATAGTGGGGTCATTCATCATTTGTTGTTGCAACTGTTGTTGTGGTGTCAGTTTTACTATTGGATGTTTCAATGCTCCCTTCCTCTTACGTATATTCTTACGTAGCTTACGTGGCATTTTAAGTGAAGTAAAAAACGGTTTTGACAGATGTTTATATGACACTTTTTGTTCAGCACAAAAAAACTACTCGGTCAAAGTGTTGTCAGTTTTGTAAAATAACCGTCCTATCTCATTCTATAAGGGGGAAAAGGCTTCTCAAAGTATACTTCCTTGGAACGCCTGTAACTTTTCCTGTAGCGACGATAGACCCTTACTTGTCCGGACAAAGTTATACTATTTTGAGTGCTCTACAAAAAAGTCAACGGCTGGCTCGTCCTCAGAAATTTTTTATGGGCTAGAGGGCGCAACGCGCCTGGAAGCCCCACTACCTTTTTTTTTAAATTATGTAGTATATAGTTTCACCATTATTTTCCCTTGGCTCGATCATTAAAGGATTTATTTGAATAGTTTACAAAAATAGCAAAATTTTGATGGGAAATGATTACAGTTGTGTTTTAGAAGATGCTGATCATCTACCAAATGAAACTGGCATTTTCCGTTCACCATTATTAGGTAAATATTCATCAGAACGCTTTTTTGATCGTTTTATCGATGCTCCACAGATTGGAACACTATTTGACCTTCTCGAATACACGAAAAAGATAGCTCCTGACCTTCCATTTTACGGATCAAGAGTTTTTAACAACGGAGTTTGGGAAAATAGTTTCAAATTCATGAATAGAATTGAATTTTGTGAAAAAAGAGATGCGATTGGTTCCTGTCTCATAACTAAAATCCCAGAGTTCGGCGCGAATATCGGAATATTAAGTCATAATAGAATTGAGTGGGTTTTGATTCAACACGCTTGCTATGCGTATGGATACATTCCAGTCCCTATTTACGATACATTTGGAACAGACAACATGCTTCATATCATCAATTTCTCTCATCTCACTCACGTTTTCATTGTTTCTACGAAAGTCAAGCTTTTACTTGATAGTTTGACTGACGATTGCTGTCTAACAGATTTAATAGTATTCGATACAGAAGAAGACAAGTTTGATTTCGCGAGATACCAAAATCATCGAATTCATTTTCACAGATTTAGCGATTTCCTTGGCTTCAAACAACGATTTTCATACAGACTACCAACACCTGAGACCCCTGCTTTCATTATGTTCACTTCCGGAACATCAGGAGTCTCAAAAGGCTGCATTGTTACACATTCCAACTTAATTGCCACTTCCAACGCAATTATCATGTTCTGTATAGACTTTAAGCCATCGGACAGCATGTTGTCGTACCTCCCGCTCGCTCATATCTTCGAATCTTGCATGCATGTTGTTGCAATTAAAGTTTTAGGTTCTATCGGCTTCTATTCGGGAGATTTGAAGCGTCTTACCGATGAATTCAAGATTCTCAAGCCTACAATTGCTATAGGAGTCCCCAGAGTCTTTGAAAGAATTCATGACGGAGTTTTAGCCCAAATCAACAAGAAATCACCCGCAGTTCGTGCTATATTCAACGCAGCCTTCTCAGTTAAGTCCGTTCTTCTTAATACTTTGCGAATAAAACACGTACCAGGATTAGATTTGATCTTTAATCCAATCAGACAAGCCGCTGGTGGCAGGCTAAGGCTTTTCGTTGGAGGAGGATCTTATATACCCCCGGAACTGCAGCATTTCATGAGAATTGCCTTTAATTGCGATTTCCTCATCGGTTATGGCCTAACCGAAACCACCGGGCCAATTATCGGACAGTCCAGTTACGATTGTTTCTGCGGAAACTGCGGAGTTCCCTTTGCCTGTGGAGAAGCCAAGTTAATTGACGTCGAAGAAACAGGCTACTATGCAAAGAACAACGAAGGAGAGTTGCTCGTTCGAGGACCAGGCGTAATCAAGAACTATTATAAGAACGAAGACGAGCAAAAGAACAATTTCGAAGAAGGATGGTTCAAGACAGGCGATATCTTCAAATTGAACAAAACAGGACAGTTCCAAATGATTGGCCGTCGTAAGGAAATCATCAAACTCTCACAAGGAGAGTATATTTCCATACAAAAATTAATGAATATTTATTCACAAGTTCCAGGAATCGCACAAATCTATATCCATGCTGAGATGACGTCAAGATTCCCTACTGCAATAGTAGTTTTGCAGCCAAACTTCTCCGCGGACGAGAATTACATATTATCTCAATTTGATCAGCTCGGAAAACAGTACAAACTTAATGGTTTCGAGATTATTAAGGGAGTTTTCATTTCTCCTGAGGAGTTTTCCCCTCAAAATGGATTATTAACGCCATCAATGAAACAATGTAGAGGAAGAATAGCTGAGAAGTTCGCAAATCAACTTGCAGCGCTTGAAGGAAAGGAATTGAGATCAAAATGCTAGATTTTTATTTTAATTTATTTATTTTTTTATATATAATATTTGTTTTTTAAAATTGTAAACAAAATATAAATATTACTCTCTATTTCATTAATAACCTTTCATTTCCACAACTTAAAACTGATTCAAAAATTCATATTTTATCTTTACAAAGATCATGATTGAAACAAGCAGTGCAGCATTTCGAATATTAATGAGATTATTTCATATTTTATAAATGCTAATGATATCGCATAGGATTCTAAACCTCGATATCCAAATAATTAGTTGATTCGCTGTAGAATTGACATATATTAGTAGAAAAATTATAGATTAACAAAAATGAAAAGGCTTTAGCGATTTAGAACACAATAAAAATGGTTTGTTCAGCTCTAAATTTTAAATTTTCAAAAAATTTAACCTCATTTTTCCAAAAAAATCGAGAATTGAAAAAAACGTTATCATTTTATAGAAAATTACTTAGGCTTTTTCTAAAATGGAAAAAATTTAGAGAAATTCACCAAGGGGAACTTCATTCTAGGTGTCCAAGGCAATTGCTATCAGTCAAAAAACCTCGAAAATTTTAAATATTGAAATCGATTTTCATCAATCACTTAAAATCGATTGTTTGCAGTCGATGTTATTAGATATTATTAAATTCTAGTATATTTGAACATACTATAAATCATTTTTTTAAACTTATCAAAATTTCGCGCAATTTAACAATGCTCCAACTCTTATACACAGTTACCATTACCACAGTCTCATTTTAAGAAGAGATGATTAATAAAATCTAAGATCTAACGGTTTATTTACCCAATTCGAAAAGTATTTTTAATTATAAATCCTTATTTGTTCATGTTTTATATACAGATGTAGAAAGAAAAATGAGTAAAGTGTTACTTCACAAAAATACCTGGAAGCACCTTAATCAATAAACAATTTACTTTTTTAGCATCGAATTTTGCTCGTCTTGAGCCAAATTTTTCGTTTAATTTTAATAATACGATACAATATATATGTTGTCAAGTAAAATATGTATATTTTAGAAGATCATAATATATCTCGAAATCAAACGAAAGTCATTCTATGAGTCCATACACACTATTACTATACTTCACATGCAAAGCATAATGGGAACAATTTTGGCTGATACCTTTGTTGTCGACCAAGTTCCCCCTTTTTTTGATGTATATGCAATTTCGATAATAGATAAGTGTAATATACCCAAACCACCGATTACTCTTTGTTCATTCAAATTTTCAGATCATTTTTTACCAATTGAAATTTTTGACATTTCGACATCAAAATGGATTCTAGCTCTTTACACAACTGAGTTGGAATGATGCAACAAAAGAATGGATCATTGAAGCATCAGGTACACTACAAAGACAAACATTACATAAAGATGCTGTTTCGATTATTGTCACAGGCGAAGTTACAAGCACCGCAGATGATGTTTTCAATGGATATTCAAATCTCAGATTTTTAACACTCCCCGATAGCGTTAAAAGTCTAGGAAATAATGTTTTTTCCTACACTCTCGTTCGAACATTTCGAATTCCGAATAATTTATCTACTTTAAGTGAATCAATCAGCTTTGATTTCGCAACAAGTTTCCAGCAATTCATTACTGATCCAGAGTGCTTATATTTCTCAACAATTGATGGCGTTTTATACAATAAAAATAAAAATACGTTAATCTACTACCCGAGTGGTAGAATTGATCACGTATATAGTGTTCCTTTTGGAACAAAAACAATAGCAGCCAATTCTTTTGCTGATTTAGTTTATTTAGAACAATTAATTCTTCCGCAAACAACAAGTGTTATAGAAGGCAACTTTATTATGAGGACATCTATCCTTAAATCCATAATTATATATAGATTTAACAATGAATCGAATTCTTTAACTTTTTCAGCTCCAAGTACCAATTTTTTTGCATCAACCATTAATAGTTCAGCAATCAAATACGTAAATTCATCTATTTACGCTGTGTTTGAACATAGATCATTAAGGCTTATTGATGTCAATAAACCATTTTCTCAAAATTTATCATTTTTAAAAGATATTAAACTAGATAACATCACAATTGACTTATTGGGAACATATCAATTAATGAAATGTCAATCAATCAAACCTCTTTCATTTTTCAATCCATCAAATACATTTCCCTTGATGGTTTTCATTTTAATATGAATAAACATATATTATTTAGATTATAAGACCTTCTGAACTCATACACATAATTTATTTTTATAGACATATCTTTCCAATCATCTACGACAATAACATGATGTCCCAGTTTAAAAAATGAGAGAGAAACATTACTTTGTGTAATTGTACTTAATCCAATAACACAAAGTGTAATTCTTGCAAGGCTTTCAAAATATTCACATATTGAAGCTATAATTTACATGATTTTTGATTACAGTAGATTGAAAAATTTGGTCTTGAGCTTATCTTTGAAAAAAAAAAGAAGTACAAGTTAAATTACTGAAGACAGAATTTTCCTAAGCGTATTTAACTGGATTAAGGATATCTAATAATTTAATTATTCTATAAACAAAATTTTATTTCCAATTAATTTGTTTTGGATGAACAGTTTTATTTTCATCATCAACTTCACGGTCTATTGTTGAGAGATCAAGCCCATCAAATGATGTAGCTGTTGCAGGAATTTCATTTGATACAAAATATAGTATTTTATTAAATTCCTGGTCTTTGTAAAGAGCTCGAACTGTTAATCCTGCTAATGCTGCTTCTTCGAATGGTATTTTGCTGACTTGTGGTGGTTTTGCTTTAATTACGAATCTGCTTAAGCCAACTTCAATTGGTCCGATTTTCTTTGATGCTAAAATTTGTTCATATTCAGATCCTTGTTGTGTACTTCCAACATAAATAACTTCCAATTTAATAAATGTTGAAATTGGGGAAGTGCATTCGATTGTTATATCAAATATAAAATCATCAGTAAACTTGCCTTGTGGATTGACAACATCGACTTTGTCCACAATGATGCTCATTTTAGAAATTTTTAAACGTCCACAATTCTATCAATTTCCTATGAAATGAATTGTAATTATAGTGTATAGAAGGAAATACGCCTATGAGACCATGAATTTTAATCTTTATTCATAAAAAAAGCAAATAGACACGATATTACAATCGATTGCACTATTCCTCAAATGAATTTTTGAATGAGAAGATTTTCAACCTCATAAATTATTCATCCTGAACTATGGAGCTTAGCAACGAGTTAATCTTGGATTGTAAAGGATTTGTAAAATAAAATAAAAATGACATCATTTATCTCTTGAATAAATGTAAAGTTCTCAAACGTTATCGATCTTGATTTTATTGCGAAGAACACACGAGAATATCTCGATCAAGAAAACTTTTTTGAGATCATCGACCCCGAAAACATTCCAGAAGTTTTAGAAAAAACAAATTTTGATCCAAACTATTTCAAACGTTTTGTTTCGCAAGGTAAAACAAAGTTTTCATTATCGGAGCTATATAAATATGCTCGAAAATGCAATGTTTCAATTAGTTCCTTTGAAGATGTTGTTAACGTCCTCGACATCTACGAAAAAAATTTGAAACTCAAGCCAACAACCGGAATAATTGACTTCCTTAATAATAAATGCAATGCAGAAACAACGAAATTAAAGACAAAAATACAAAATCTTCAAGCAAAGATCATGATACTTGAATCGGATAACAAAAACTGTAAAGATACTATCGAACAATACAAAACCGAATTATTGAAACCGCGTATAAACAACGAGTTAATCCAGTACCAGAATGATATTGTCTATCTTAAAAGTACTATCGAAAAGCTCCAAAACGAATTATCTGAAGAAAAGAATAAGAATGAAAACAATTTAAAGGTAATCTTTTCACTCAATTCTAAGAACGCTCAGCTCATAAATGAAAATTCATCACTCAATTCTAAGAACACTCAGCTCATAACTGAAAATTCAACACTCAATTCTCAGAATGAAAATCTCAAAAAAGAAGTGACAGATCGCAACAATTCCGAAATAACAGAACTAAATAACCAAATCTATCAGCTTAAATGCAAAGTATCACAACTCAACGAGCAAAATGAAGAACTCGAAGATGAAATGAAGAACAAAGAAAAACAATTTAATCGAATACGTCAATCTTATGATCAAATTGTTAAAACTGCTGAATTACCTTTGAGTTGTGATTTTGCAACTGCATCTGATTTCCTTAAGAAACTTTCAAAAAGTGGTGAAAAATTGAGGATGTCTATTGCATGTGCAACTGGATTAAGCGAAAAGAAAGATTCAGAAGAGAATACTCCACTTATTTGGGCGTGCTTTAATGGAGATCTTCAATTTGCAAAATCACTTATTGAAGGAGGTTGTGATAAATATGTAGTTAATAAATTCGGAAATAATTGTTTAATAACATCATCAAGCGGTAAACTCGAAGTTGTTAAATATTTAATTGAACTTGGTTTTGACAAAAATTGGCGAAATAAAACTGATGGATTTAATGCAATTATTTGTGCTTCTCAAACCGGTAATCTTGATATTGTTAAATATCTTGTATCAGTTGGTTGTGATGCAAACTCTAAAGAAAATGCTAATGCAAATTGTATTTATTTTGCATCATCAAAAGGTCATCTTGAAGTGGTTAAATATCTTGTATCACTTGGAGTAAATCCAAATGAAAAAGATAATAATGGATATAATTCAATTCTTGTTGCGTCAGAATTTGGTCATCTTGAAGTAGTAAAATATCTGAAAAGTATTGGCTGCGATGTGAACTCTAAAAATAATGATAATAGAAATGGTATATTCTTGGCATCAATAAATGGGTCCCTTAAGGTAATTAAATATCTTATTTCAATGGGTGTAAATCCAGATGAAAAAGATAAAGATGGGGCTACTCCATTAATGGCTGCATCATCAAATGGTCATCTTGATTTTGTTAAATATTTAATTCAAAAAGGATGCAATAAAAATGAAAAATCTACCAATAATGATTCTCCGCTTCATTATGCAGCTTCACAAGGAAACATTAGTGTTGTTGAATATTTGATTTCAATTGGGGTCAATATTAATGATAAAAGCAATGATGGAAAAACTCCACTTGATTATGCAAAAGAAAATCAATACAAAAATGAAAATTGCAAAAAAGTCATAAATCTGCTAATTAAAGCAGGCGCAAAATAACGATAACCACAAAAGAATATCTATGAATATAAATAATCTCAAATATTCGTATTTAATTTTATTTTTATTCTAAAAAATAAACAATTATTTTTGCTTCTATAATAAATAATTTTTAAAACTAGAATTCGCGAAGTATGTTGTAAACTTCGAATGAGTTGTGAACGCTAATATTTCGACTAAATTATGATAATAGATTATCCAAAGAACCATTTGGTATCATTTCCACATTAATATGTGTACCTATCATGTTATAATAAAGTTATTTTCAACTTATTTCGCTTATTCTATCATTCATAATCAAAGATTCAAAGACTAATGGAATTCTTTTAAAATTTTCAAATAATACTATCATGATGTATAAAATATATCATTAATGGTGCCCTCACACCAATCTGACTTCTATTCAAATTTCTTTCATATGGAGTATGGTGTCATTGAATATTAAACTTAAACATCAGAATTTAAGGCCATGTCATGCGGGTAAGGACACCCTTAAGAAGATCTTAAAAATATCTAGACATGAAAATCAAAGAATTTATTAAAAAAAGTTATATTTACAAGATTTTATAAATCCCCATAATGATATATTGTAGGATAGAGATTATGCTTTCCGAAGATTCCCTTATTCTCTACATAAATATTGTCAACGCTGCTAAGCCATTCTTCCCGAGATGTGAAAAAATTATATTGACAGAGTTGAAACGCCTGTGGAAATAAACTTGAACGATCACTAAATGCATCTGTTCTTAGAATAGGGCGTCTCATTTTTTTATATTCCATGCCAATTTCTGAAAGCCTAATACAAAATTTTTGAGCTAGGGTTGCATAATTCCAAACTAGGTCGAATATTTGATTTTCAATATTTGCTTTTGAAATGGTTAAGTTATTATAAATAAATGAACCTTCACAGAAATAAGAGATGAAATATTTTCTTCTCTTATACTGTTTGATAAGAGTTGGAATTTTGACGAATATTTCGTTAATCATTTCGCCTAATTGGTCAGATGTCTCTGCAATCTCTTTCTGATACTCAATCTTTTTTTCTCCAAAGTGATCAAAGTTTAAGAAGCAGCAACATGCAGAGTATCTGAAAATTGAGTAGTAATAATAAACTATAAGTCTTTGTGGTAGCAATTCTGGGAAATGCTCATAAACTTCGTTGCTTATATGAAAAATATGAAGATAATAATCGACAAAAGGAGCAGCATCTTGAAGCTTACAAAGTCTTTTGATTTCTTCATGGTTCTGTTTTTGCTTGTCTGAGATTAAATGAAAAAACTTGCCTCCTAGTTGGCTCAAATCCAAGGCGATCATCTAAAAAAAATTGTAATTACAAAAATTTTATAAATCATTGATCAAAATATCAATTATGAACAAAAGATGAAAACAGTTTTCATAATGTAATTCTATTGAAAGATTGTTGGTAACGGTTTTAGATTTTGTTTCCTCCCTTTCAATATTCATTTAAAAGAATTCTATAGAATATCTCTAATTTGATCTTATCTAGATAAAATTAGCTAAAATTACTTTTGTTAATTAAGATGTATGTTATTCTCTGTTCGAGATTTCATTTAGGTATTCTTTTTTAAAAATCTGAAACAGGACAAAGACAGATAAACATATATGCATGCTACAACTATACTTATTCAGAAAATTATGCGATTAAAAGTAAATCTTAGTAAAATAAGCTAGTAATACATAATTTGATAGTATTTTCTATGGGAGAATTGATGCTTTTCATAATAATAACTATGATAGAATAGACAGTCATTCCATTTGTTAAGAATTAAAATTTATTGAAAAAATATCCAGAGAAAGTAATTAATTCTCAAATAACAATATATTTAATATTAATTAACATACATGAGTACCTAATATACAAATAAATTTTATACATAAATAAAAATAATTTTCTCTATTAAAAAAAATTACAAATCAGCATCGAGATAAGGGTTGTTTTGGTCATCAGAACTCTCCATTGCGTATGGTTCTGCAGTTGGAACAGGTGCAGGATTCGTAGAAGTGGAAGTAGAGAACTCTATTTCTTCCAAATGGTTCTGTGGAACTGAATCTGCTCTGTACCTTGGATAGACAGGGTTTGCAGTGGATTCGTTCATCCGCTGCTTCCTCCTCTTGTTGGTAATCCAGTAAATTACGCCAATTATCACCCAAACACCTGCAATTGAGCCTAGAACCGAAACCATGATGACGATCTTCTTCTTTGACATGGAATTCGATTCATCAAATACAGAATTTGTTGTTCCCATTGAAGAAGGAACAATATATCTGATTGTATTGTTTCTCTTGAATGCAAGTGATGAGTAACTGACGTTCGTAATATGCTGGATGTTCTTAGACTGAACTTTGATGTATTCATCGCTATATGTCTCAAGTTCGTTATGATAATACAACATAATCGACTTTCCTGTTACAATTGACTCATGGAGAGCCGATCCTGCGTATTTCAACACCATGGAGAACCCTGATATATTGTTTACAGGATATATTTCCGCAAAACTTTTATCAGGAGCAAGATAATACGTCGAAACAGAGTATTCTGCACTTCCTGATGGCGAGATCAGCCATGCGCATATATCCTGCTCCTGGTCCAGTGTTATATTCGCTTCAGAAGCAAGCTTTGACTGTGGAACAGCAGCGATAAACCGTAATTGGTCGCCGGTTTCTATGAAAATGTCATGACACGGGCGGTTAAATGTGGCCATGTTGACGATAGAATATGTGAAGATACAGAAATAAGAGGCTGATATGGTGATTGTATTTTTAAATTTCGAATTTGGAGAGTTAGATTTTATAAATTTTAAATTTTTATTTTATAGTATGTAATGAATAAGGACCATTAATGAAATGTTGTCATTGAAAAGGAAAATTCAAAGGTCTGCCTGCAATTTTTTTATTTATTATTGATTGATAATCTTGTATCTACGTTTAATTCAGAAAATTATTGATTGAAAAATTGAGAAGAGAAGAAATCGTAAAAAATTTGAAAGGACATCAAAAGCTTCTTATCCATCTTAGAATGAACTTATTATCTTTTGATAATTGTTTGGATCTTAGGAATAATATCCAAGCAGCGATAATTCATTGCAATCTGAAATCGAAAAATCATTTCAAAAAAAAAATCTAGAAATTTAAGGCATTATTCAAATAATATGATGTATTGACATTTTTGTGTCAATACTGACTTATGTTAGCATTGAACTTCATCTTGAAATGATTCTTTCAATTAAATCTGGAACTATAGATATGTGCCTATATAACATACTATATATAGCATATGCAAAAGACGTTCGCCATATTTATTTCAATCAATAAAGATATCTGATAATTCAATCTATCAAATGTATTTTTTTCAATTTGTATCTCCATAAATCTAATATATCCCATAGGTCTTTTATGATAATAGCATTTAAACAACAACAAAATCATATTTATTCTTTCGGAATCAGAAAAATTTACTTTTGGGATGAAATTAGGCCTTTTATTAATAATCATATGCTATGTTGCCCAATGAATTGTTTCAATAATGCATAATACCATTCACACAAGTTATTTCATTTCAAATCATAATGAACTTCAATTTAATTTGGAGTTTTGGTTGCAAGCATCTAGTTGCCAAAAGGCCTTAAGTAGAAGTTAATTAATGCAATATGTATTTACAAGCACTAATATTGAATGAATGAAATTGAAACCATATTAATGAAATATAAAAGAGAGATTAATGAAATATAGTCATTTTATTAAATAACATAGAAAAATATATATAAAACAATTAAAACATGAATAAATTATTCTCCTAAAATTCCTGAAGCTTCAATCTCGTTGTAAATATCTTTTAGAGATTGTATAATTTCTGGTGTCAAATCGTTTTTGACCAAAGATTTCTTATCTCCGATGCAATCACGAATTATTTCTGCAATTTTCATATTAAACTGGCCTTCTGTTCTTTTATAAACACTAATGATGAAAGAAGCTTGAAGCATCGAATCCCCTGTATCGCATTTCAGTGGCAACACAGTAAGAATTGCATCAGCGATTTCTACATTCAAAATCTCCGGAATTACGTTCAGAACTAAATGCATTGCGCTGACTGTTGCATAATGCATGATTTTACGGCCGACAACACTATCAACTAAGGGAGAAGTAATTGCATTTAGCAGAGCTTCGAAAGATTGTTGGGCCAAAGGTTGGAAAAATGCGGGATCTGATACAGATATCTCCCTGATGAACATACTGCTAGATATAGTCTCCAAATTCGATATTCTTTCGTTCTGGAGATTTAATATTTGTTGCTTGAAATTATTATCGAACTGAGAAGGCTCAGCGCTGATCAAAAATGATATAATACATAGAGCTACATAGAAATGGCTCTTCGATTCTCCGTTTACGTTAAGCAATTGCTCTGCAAAAGATTTAATATTTGCGAAATCCTGTTTTGCAAGGGTATAAATGACATCTTTCGCAAGGAGAACGAATTCATCGCATCCGAAGATATCTTCTGTGAAGATTACGTACTTATAAAAATGAGATAATATTTGAACCAACATTTCTGTCTGGCAAGGAGCTTTGTGGACGAATATCATTGCTCGAATTGCATTTGCACATGCTGTTTGAACCTCTTTGTCTTCGTATTCGTCACCAATTGCGATGGAAAACAGTTTTTCTGTCAATTCTTGTGACTGAGAGTTGTATTTAAGGGCTGCTTCTGATATTAACTTAATTGCAACGCATGCCATAGCTTGGCATTCAGGAGAAAAGCTTCTTCTCATCATTGTGGAAGCGGCAATTAAATCATCTATGTGTTGGTTGTAAATTTCTTCGGAAGAAAGTAAAGCATGCGAAAGTATATTCAATATAAATGCATGCTTTTGGTATTTTGTCTTGAAAATTTCATCATCTGAATTTTCATTAATTGGTTTCTCGAGATTTTCCTTGAATTGTGCATCCAGATCAATATTTACTATGGATATGAGGTAATTCAAGGCTTCTTCTGACCATTGAGGAAGAATTTGTGGTGCATTTTCAGATGCAACTGAAAGAGCGGACATACAAGCAAGTTCAAACGATGAAGATAAAGGAGATGCGATACTAGATACCAGATATTCTATCAAATGTCCGCATTGGCTGATAACAACGTTATTAAATGTTAATATTAGTTGTTCAATGCATCTGATGGCTTCAATCTTGAATAAAAGTGTATCATCTGATTCTTCTGTGGAGTTTAAGTAAGTAGAAATGAATTCTTCGATGTTTGGGAAGAATTCTTCAACTTTATCAAATCCACGAGCAATTGCAGAAGCCAGGAGAGGTATAGCATTAAGTGCTAAGGTTGGGTTATTGGTAAGAAGTAAATTATGAGCAATTGAGAAGACATCTGAAAAAATTAAAGATGTATCTTGAAGAGCGCTGACAAGAGCTGTCAATGCTGATATGTATATTTCAGTTGGATTATTTTGGACAACAGGCATGAGTTTTATAGCAAGTTGTTGAGTATCTAAATCAGCATTTTGTTTCAGAGTTGGTTTGAACTCTGTTATTGTCATTGCGCACTTTTCTAATATTGTTGGTATCTCTGTGTCAATGCAGGATGCAAAAAATTCCGTAATGTCATGAGTTTTATCTTCATAAAATTCAGGAGAACGTTCGTGAGTGGCATAAAGAGCAGTTAAGAAGCAAAATTTACCCTTATCGGTTCCTACGATATCCAAACTCATCTGCCAAAGGTATTTAAGGAAATCAACTGTAGATATGACTTCTGACATCCCAATTTCATATTTTTGCACGAGGCTTACTGATAACTCATCTGATGGTTCGTAAAAATACATCATTAAGTCATAAGTAATTTGAATAAATTGAATATAAAATTCTTCACCTTCAAAAGAGTTTAAAAAGTTGGCTCCGAGTGCATTGATAATCACATATAAATGTTGTAATATTGTTGGGTCTTTGTCTTGTGAATCAAAGTGAATAATACATCTCTCGTACAAAGAAATGGGATCGCACAGTCCAGGGAGGTCATCCATTATCTCATCCATAATATTTATGAATTGGCTAAGCTTTTGCTCATCTTGGATACAGATATCAAGTAATTCTAGTATGTTATCCCAAAGATCAGCAATTTGAGAAATCAAACCGCTTCGTGCGCATCTGTACATACAGTAAAATGTTTCTAAACGAGTATTTGTACTTTTATCTGAAAAACCTCTCTGAAATAGGTTTTGTAAAACGTTTTCGACCTCTGGTATGGTTTGAAAATTCTTTTCTGTAGCTATGAGTTGTGTTAAACATAATGCAATGTTAAGATCTTCAGAGTTTGTCTGCTCAAATATTATTGGTAAAATATTCATTATATGATTGGGATTGATATATCTTTGAAACACATCTACAAGGTTAACTTTAACGTACATTGACTGTTGACTTAGTATAAGTTGAATGATTAACTGAAATATTTGGTCTTGTTCTGATTCGCTGATATTGAACCAATTTGTGTGTAGTGCTGTCTTCAGAGTGATCACAGCATACTGTCTCATCACTTCTTCTGTGTTGTTCTGGATAATTGAAACAAGGGTATTTATTGAATTTGGATTTGAACAAAATTCGCTCAGCCATAAGCTGGATGACTCGATTTCATTTCCATTATTACCTCTCATTCTTCTAAAACAATCTAACACTTGGTTATAAATTGAATCATCCATTCATAAAAATATAAAAGTTTTTTTTTTATTTTTATTACCCAACCATGAAATTTCGAAGTTTTTTTAATGGATTTTATCGTGTTGAGAAACAGTCTTTTTAAATGAACTATTAAAACTTATTTTCCTAAATCAGTGGATTTGGTCTTTGACTGACAATGGATATTGAAATTCATTCTTCTTATGGCAAGTAGGCAAAGAAGTTTTTTGGGATGATCAGTAGTTTGATTCACTGTCTAAAAAATTTACGCAAAATATTCTCTTGATAAACAAGAAGCGAAAGCAGAAAGCGAAGTATTTTATTGTCTTATGAGTTATGGGAATGAAGTTTTTCAATTTTGCAAAAAAATATTATTTAATGATAAAAAATTGGTGAACAAAGACAATAAAAAATAAATATACATGTATAATACAAAGGAGTTAAGACATTATATCGACCGGTGCCTCTATTTCTGGTGGAGTTGGGTCTCCTTGCCAATATGGCAAGAAAAGTGCTCCAAGTTCTTTATCCTGGTTGACGACAGCAATATGGTAAGGATTTCCTCTTGGATCGCACTTGCCCGGATTGACTCCGAGCTTCATAAGTGCGTGGACAACTTCAGATTTTTTGTAAAACACGGCGTAAGACAAAGGCGACCATCCAGCGAAATCCGATATATCGATATTAGTAGTATTAAGACCAACAAGAAGTAAAATTGGGATATTTCCGACTGCAGCTGCTACATGGAGCGGAGAAATTGAATTATACTCCGTTTGTGACTTCGTTGGAGTGAAGTTCCTTCTCGATATAATCAGATGGCTGTAATATTCAATTCTATTGGCAGGATCTCTTAATTGTCCGCTCATTACGCACTTAAGAACAGCGTAAAAGTCCATTCTCTCAATAGCATCGTATATATTGAGGAATGACTTTTCAATAAACTCCAATTCGATGTATTTCTGGCGAATTAAATCTTCTCTTGGCATATCATCGGGAGGACAATGGGCAGAAAGCAAAATCTCGTTGGCTCTCTCATTTCCAATCATATTTAAAAGCTTCTTGAAGTCGGAATCGAGCTTATCGAGCGTAAGAGATCGGACTTTTGAAATATTTACGCCCATTCCTCTGTGAACGCCTGAACAATGGATGCAGATGGATGTTCCCCAGTTCAAGCAACACCATGTTGGGCATGGTGCACCGCAATCTGCACATTTTTCTTCGGTTTTGAGATCTTCTGCCATAAACTTCATCTGATCTCTATGATCGAGTGAGTAACTGACGTTTTCTTTGATTGTATCTATCCAGAGATCGGCTTCGGCTTGATCTGGGCATTGGAAAATCCAGGAATGAGATGGATCAGTAATTCTTAAGCAGTTTGGACGACCAGAATCGCTTTCTTTCCTAACACTAGCTGTAACTAAGTCGATTGTTCCACGGTCTTCGATAACATCGCCATGGATTTTGAAAAACTTGAATTGTTGGTTATTAACAGTGACAAAACGAGAATGCCAGACTTTTCCGAATCCATTTCCGCGTTTCCATAAGTATCCCGAGCGATTTAATGATCCAGATTGATTCAAGTCGATAAGATTTTCAATAATTTTCTTGGTCGTTTCCGTTTGTCTGTCAAAGTTCTCCATTCCGCTTATATATCCTGGAAGGGCCAATTGAAGTGCTGAAAATTCTTCTTTGGAAGAATCAAATTGGAATAACGAATCACGGAAAAAGACTCCTAACGAATTCAAAAAGATTAAAAGCTATGTGTTAGTATTTTCTTAAAATAAAGTCTCATTAACTCAAAAATAAATCATCTTATCTTTTTGACTGAAAGAAAGAGATTTATTTAAAGCTATGAGATCGTAAAGATACATACTGTAGCGGTGAGCTCGTAAGAGTTTTTCTTTTCGACAATTTCTAAGGCGCGTTGAAATTCATAATTTGATATTGCCGCTTCTTGTTTATGTGACTTTAGTTGATTTAAAATCTTTTGATCGACGTTTTTAGAAGTCATTATTCTATCGAGAGCTGCAAAATAAGCGCTTTTCTTTGAAGAAAATTCTTTATAATGTTTTTCACAATTAGTAATATCGTTTTCTATGAATCGTTGAAGTGGATCGATGACATTCTGTTCAACTGAGGAAAAATGAGAATCAAATGCCGATTTAAAATATGAAATACAGTTAGAAATGTTAGAAATGGTTGGATCCTTTGAGAATGAACCGCATTCTAAGAATTTCGTCGCAATGTTTGACATCGAGTTTGCTAGAGTTACGCCTGCATTAATATAAGTTCTGAATGCCGAAATTGTATAATTAATATTACTTTTGAGCTTCAATATAGCATCTAGACGTTGCGTTTGTTCGTTTAGATGGAATGGGCTCAAAATAACATAATCATATTCGCCTATCATATAAAAACTAGATCTGATCGCCGATAAATGTAAACATCATAAATTGAATTTTCATGCAAGTTGAAAGTTCTGCCTCATATTAAATCGAAACTTTAAGATTTGAAATAAAACTGAAATAAAATTGATCTTCTTTGTCAAAATTTTTGTGAAAAATTTCAATAGTTTTTTGATTAAATATAACGTGCCAGAAGTCATAATATTTATAATAAATGTTATGATATTGATTTGGGGAAAGTTGCAATAATGTTTTTTGAAAGTGTCCTCGCATATTTTTTAATGATTATTTGGGCATCCTATCTGTAATTCTGAATAGTTATATTAAAATATTATGAAAATATTCACCTCACATTTAATTTGAGCACCAATGAAACAGTTAAATATGCTCGCATTCTCCCACTTGAATCATATTGTATAGCAGATAGCAAATTTGATGTTATGAAATCGACATGGATGGTGGATATCGAAACCTCTGAAAAATCAAACCCTAAATTATTCAATTGGCAATTTATATCTATCTCAAAAATATTAAATTTCAATGAAGAATATGAAATATGATAGTTTCACATAAAATTCATAAACAGTTGAGGCAATGAACAAACATAAAATTGAATTACTGAATAATACGCGTAATTATCAAAATTGTCAGGTAAGAATAGCCTTTATAGGACTGAAACTATCTTATGGTAATGAGATGTGGTTGTTAAAATTTAAAATTCTTGATATTTTACTCAGTTGAGAGAATAAAGCATGGATTTATTGTTTCGTACTGTTATATTCTATTAAAATAATCAAGTTATACTCATTGATCTCATCTGAGGAATCATTTGTTACCTAAAAAACAAAATATGATTTGCTTAACATTTATTTGACAAATTTTTAATGTTGATGCTAAAAAACAGTTTTCTCAAAAGTTTCTCTCTCCGTTCATGTAATATTAAGTTAACAATGGCTAATTTATATTTCACTTTTTCTCAAGTTTTCAGTTTGGATTTTTATTGGTAGCAATCCTTTAACCATGTTGTGTACATAGAATATATTCCATATTTTATAAAAATTCTCATATGTTCAAAATGAACTTTATATTGATCCCTAATAGAAACTTTTTTTAATATCTATAACATGTAAAGTTTATAAATCAAAAGTGATAGAATGAAGATAAAAGGCAGAAAAATGAGAAGGACATATATTTAGATTAAAAATTTGAAAATGAATTCTTAAATGAGAAGAAAATATTTTTAACTTGTATGGTGTGATTAGAAGTAGGCAAATTTTGTTAAAAAAACGTTTTTGGTTCGGAAATGAAATTAAAAAGTAAAATTAGCTTCGATTTAAATTCGAATTAACATTCTATAAGACATTTTAAATGGGATTTTGAAACTGATTTAAACGCCAAGCATAAATGCGTGTCATTCTTGAAACATTGTATAAATTGACAGTAAAAGTGACATTTGTTGATTCCCGAACGAATGATTATACGTATTATGTATGGAATATTTTGAAATTTGTCTATTCGACCAAACCGAAAAAGTTCCTATCAAAAATTAATTATAACAAAAAAATTTTCTGATAAATTTAAAATATGAAAAATTGTTAATTCTAATGATATTAGAATACATACGAAAGTAGATCATGTCTGCCGTTAAAAATTGAATTAATTGAAAAAGTTATTTTCAATTCGATTACATGACCTTTTCTTATTTTTCTACCATGTTATATATATTTTATCATTTTTGATCTAACTTTACAATTTTTGATTTTTATTGCCATTTTATAATATTAGGCTCAGCATCCAATGTTATAACTAGATAGCCCAAATTTAATTGAAAATATCAAGAAACTAACTGATTGACAAATCTAATTCTGGATTTGAGACATTTAATTCGGTGTATGTACGTATTCGTTTATAACTAGTTGAATAATACTCTTTCATACGTGATGGCCCGAATTCTGAGCAAAGTAAAGTGATCGGAGCCAGAAATCATCTAATCGGAGCTCTCAATTTTTTCTGTACCAGTTTGGTTCTAAATTGAATGGTTATCAGAAATCTGATCATTATTTCTAATAAATGCTGAACGACCCGATTGTCGCTAAGTATCAGAAGCCAGCTGTTCAGTGCTTCCATGGTGGCCAGTCCTACATGGCTTGCAAGAATTTCAAGTGCGATTTCTCAGTCACAACAAACCTTTCTGGCCCGCCAAAAACAGCTGTCGCTGCTGCTCTTGATGCATTCAATGAAATCGAGCACTATCCAGATCAGGACTCCTGGGAATGCAGATGCCACCTCGCTGATGCCATGAAGATGCCACCAGAACAAATCCTTCTTGGCAATGGTGCATCAGAATTCATCGATATGGTTCCAAGACTCTTCAAGGCAGGTCAGAAGTGGAGACCAGGACCATGGCCAGCTCAATTCATGGAATACGAGCGTGCTGCAACAAATGCAGGACTTGTTAAGGTTCCACATGCCCAGAATGATGCTGAATTGACAATTATGATCAATCCAAACAGCCCAACAGGTGATTACATCCCATTCGAGGATCTTCGTGCAATGATTGCAAAGGATTCAAAAACAACATTCCTTATCGATGAATCATTCATGCCATGCTTCGGCCCAGACTGGATGAACCATTCCGCAATCCGTCTCATCGAAGAATTCGGTGACAGAGTCATTGTTTGCATGTCATGGACAAAAGTTCTTGCCTGCCCACTTATCAGACTCGGAACACTCTGTTCAACAAAGAACATCATCGATAAGATCAACAAGCACCAAATCCCATGGTCAGTCAATGGTTTCGCTCAGAAATTCATGATCGCAGCTCTTCATCAAGAAACATACTTCGAAGAAATGTGGAGAATCACACCATACTGGAAGCGTATTATGTTCGACTTACTCTCCGAGCTTGGTGCAAGACCAAACTTGAACTCTCCATTGTGGGTTCCATACGTATTCGTTGATTTCTACACAGAAGAACTTGCCGGCCTTGCTGATAGGGTTGCCTTCGAAGCTGGCTACCCATTGAGATGGTGCAAGTCATTCGGAACTCCAACTTGCTGCAGACTTGGCGTAAGAACACCACAACACGCTCTTGGCCTTGTCACAGCATTCAAGAACTGCAAGGAGCTCCATGAAGGACTTAAAGAGCAGAAGAAGCTCCATTCTAAGAAATTATAAAGTTATTTGTAGAGTTTGTATATAAAAGTCGTTGTATAGATTAATTAAATCCTTTTTTAACCCAAAACAATTCATATAAGATCTTTAAAAAATATGACTAAATTATCTCTGGTGACAACATCTTCCATTACTAAACAATTTTATTAGGTCTCTTCAAAGATGGCAGCCACCGAAATCTGCACTTAGTGTAGTGGAAATTTGAAAACTTAAAATTGATTTTCTTGATAACTTTAATTTTCGATGCCTAAACATTGTTTTTTGTTTGCAAATATAGTTCAAAGCAAGAAAAAGAATATTTACAATACAAAAATTAAATTAATGACGCATGAAACGTGGATTTGGTCTAGGAGCGCGGACACCAATTGGCGGTGGTGGAATTGGCTTTAATGCTGGCCTTTGTGACATTGGCCTTTGCATCTCATAAGCGTTAGGATTCTGGTTTTCGTCTCTTCCTGTGAGTGGTTCTTGGCCTACCTTGTTTGGAGACCACCAATCAAGATCTGCTACGAGCTGTAACTCTGGAGAAGAGATGACAGATACGTCCTTGCTGAGTTTGACTCCTTTCTTCATATGAAGACGCTGCTCCAATGGCTTGACTATACTAACTTTCTTGCCATAAGCAGCTGAAGGAAGATGTAAGTTACGTACATTCATAGGAACTTTAATTGTAGACAATAATTTATCATCTGTTTCAAGGTCTTCGCTGTGCTCAACGAACGCAGCTAACATTCCAATTCTGTTTTTGATGCATTGTGTGTTCAAAAGATCGTCTACTGATGGGCGCATCAATGGATTAACCTGCAATAAACGACGGACAATTGAAACAAGTTCTGCTGAATATCCGTGTGGGATTGTGAACTTTCCAAGGCAGCATCTCTGCGCCAATTCTTGTGTTGTGCGTGCTGTGAAAGGATAAGTAAATGTCATCATTTCATAGAGCAAAACGCCAAGAGACCACATATCGCATTTGGAGTCATATGGTCTACGCTTCCAAACTTCTGGTGCAAGATACAAAGGAGTACCGATTTGAGTTCTTGCAAGTTGTGTTGTGTGAAGAACTGTAGAAACGCCAAGATCAGCAATCTTGATTAAATCAGGAGCTGATAGAAGGATATTGGCACTCTTGATATCACGGTGAACAACGCCGCAATTGTGAAGAACTTTTAATCCTTCAAGCATCTGAAGTAAATAACGCCAAATATCATCTTCATGGAATGGACGACGCTTCTTCTTTCTCCTTTCAATGAGATGAGCAAGATCTCCAAGTCTGGAATATTCAGTAACAATGCAAAGACGTCTGTTGTCGCAAAATGCCTCATAAAATCGTATAATAAATGGTGAAGAAAATGATGCCATAAGTCTTATCTCATTTACTGAGTCTTCTATTTCGCGATGGTTAAGATTTCCAAGATTGATGACTTTAACTGCATAAGATTGACCGTCACTTAATCTCTTAGCTTTGTAGACGCATCCGTAGGTTCCTTTGCCTAAGACTTTCTGCTCGACGAAGCCGGGCAAATTCATTCTCCGAATTGTTAAACGTACATCATTTTGAATAAGAAAATTTTCTATTGTTTAGGAAAGTGTGTAATGACATACAGCTGTCATAATATGCATACATAGATCGCTTGCAATGCTGTTATTATATCCGAAATGTGAAACTATGGTATCATGATAATGTTTATTAATTGATTGACTTTTTACCAAAATTTGATATGAAGACCATTAAAATCAGATATCTATCATTATGAAAATAGAAAGATGAAACATAATACAAAGATGAAATTTGCCTTTTTATATATTGCATAATGAAGTGGAGTTTTGCTATGATTGACTTTTTTCCTATGTAAAATAACGAATTCACATTTTTCTACTTCGCTATTTTACATAACAAAAAGAATAGTCATTCCAAATATATCCTTTTCAATTTTAAATTGGCTTGAAATCAGATTTTTATTATGCTTGTGAAATCAGTTGAATAAATAATATTTCGTAGCCAAACTTCCAGTAGCAATTAGATCTCAATGATGGTTTCTCTACAAATTGGAGAACTGTAATGACAAGTCTCCCATTTCCTTCTCGGATTCCAGGAAATGATTTAACATCGGTAAAAATAAAGCCATCATTCAAAGAGAAGAAATATTTTTTGCTGTCTGGTTGGTCAAAAAATGGTCCTTTGGCTGGAATAAAGTCCGTTGGAATTTCCGCATCCATAGATAAAGCCCAAGAACTCCCACCGCCTGAGCCACCATTTCCATGATGACTTGCAAAACCTCCAAACCAGCCACTACCAGCACCAGATTTATCATATCCTCCAAGGGCTGTTTGAACACCATTTTCGTTTTTCGATTTAGTCGCCTGGGCAGATTCGCCAGATCCAAAAGTGAAACCAAAAGTGGAATTAGCAGGTTTGGTGGTAATATACTGACCATCAACCCAATATATCTGGGCAACAAGGCCTCCTCCTGCCCCACCAGATCCGTCATCTCCCGACATAAATGCTCCAACATCAACATTATCAGACCCACCTCCACCGCCGCTCACAATCACGCGGTGCCATAAATCGTTTTGAAGAAACTTGACAGCGGTTTGGCCACCTCCGCTCCCTGCTCCAAATTGAGTGCTAGACGCATAGTAATTAACCGAATAGCCTCCACCACCGTAGCCTCCTTTAACCATCTTATCAACATCATATGTTTGAGCCATCACATTATATGAATAATTTCCTTGGCCACCTATTGTTGCATAAGCGGTTATTGGGTGTGTGATCCTGATCACACCGGAAATGTAGCCCCCAGCACCTCCACTGTTTCCAACCTTTCGGCACTGGGCGTTCCCATTAAGTGACTGAACAAATTCATCAGGAACACAATTTCCGTTTATATCGATAAAAGATGATACGTGGTCTTTGGCTGCACCTCCTGATGCACCATATAGCTCGAACTTATAAATCGCTGGGCGCAATTCAATGACATAGTCAGTGCAATCAGAATATGATTCACAAGGATAATCGAAGATATGTGTCTTTGTGGAGCTATTTACAGTATATTTCGAACTACCTTTTGTTGGATCTAGTAATCTATTGGGTAATATAAGTTTTCATCTAAAAGGGTCAATCATTTAAAAAAAAGGCAGTTTTGACTCAATATTATATGAGGATAAATGCTGATTACAAGATATATTCCCTATATTTTATCCTATTTTTATCAATAGCATAAAATGTAAAGAATCAAGATCGAAAAAAACGGAGATTTTTGATTTTCAAATAAAAAAAAGTTATTTTCATGAAAAATTCTCGATTAGATCCTTTAGCAAGTACCCAACCTATAGTTGCGAGTCCCCAAGATCCATACTTTCGGGTTGATTCTTATTATGGAATGTCTTCTGCGCGTACACACGGAATTCGAATTGAATCTCCATCAAAAAACATGGAAACTCGTAGTGTTAGCAGTAAAAAAGCTTTCTCTCAAACCCAAACATTCGGTCGTACAGTAAAAACAGCAATTCCCGTAATAAGACAAAGATTAATTCAAGAAGAAAAGCCAGAAATCACTCTAATGCCTACACGTGTTACAAAAGAACAAACTATTCAAGAAGTCACAACGTTAATTGATAATTTCTTTTCAAAATTACATATTAAAACATTTAGAAACGAAATAGAAGATTTTATTCAAGAAAACATCACATCAAACAATGTAGTATACTGGGAGGAAATCACTTCCCTTGCAAGATTATACTCTTATAAATACAAAGTTTCAGTAAATCACGAAGATACATTAATCGGTCAATCTTTTTTCAATACAACTGTTCAAACTATACCAGTAGCTGGAGAACATCAGCATTGGAGACCAGAACTTGATGGAAAGATAGTAAATGAAAAAGGACCTTTAATTATCTTCCAATTACGTGATTTCGATGGATCTATTACAGGTCTTATAGAAATACAAAAGAAATTTGCAGATCCCGAACCTAATTTCCGTGATCTAACTTTTATTAACATTTTACAACAGAAATTTGAACTTTTTTCAAGGTTTTTAAAGCAGCCATCACTTCAAGGACACATTTTTGAGATGAGTTCTGTCATGGCGGTTGAGCAATTCCTTGCAATTTTCTCTACAAAAATGAAAGACATTTTTAAATGCGCTGATAGTGAAATTTGGGACTTTACAAACAAACTCAAACCAATACAATACAAGAATGGATCGATTAAAGAGATAAATAACAATGAACTCGGAATAACCGGATTTGTTCTATCAAAAGGTCAGCTTTACAACTCTTTTTCCATCAAAAGAGAGTCTTGTTATAATGTTGTAATTGATGGCCAACAAGATTTGCCGTTTATGGGTAATGTTTGTAATAATTTGGTGATTATTATCCGTGGCTGCACAATTAAGCCTATTTTTACTTCGGAAGATGAATATATGCTTGATTATATCACTCCTTTTGTATGTACTTACTTCAGAAATGCTCTGAAGTACTCAGAAAATCCGAATTCGGAACCAGGATTAGATCTTCTCAAAGGAATTCAAAAGTTTTTGCCAGTTTACAATGTAAAAAGGTCTTTAGTCGGAATGCTTGAAGACACAATGGTCGAAATCCAGAAAATTTCGCAATCAGACAGAGTTGTTTTTCTAAAAGTCAATGAAGACAAACTAGAGAGCGCTTATTTCTCGGGATCAAGGAAACCAATCAAAATGAAGATTGGCGAAGGCATAGCTGGCTACGTAGCTCAAACAGGTCAAGAATTAAATTTATCTAATGCAGCCGACTCGTCCCATTTCAATCCTTCTATCGATGAAATGACTGGATATACAACAAGAACGTTAATGTCCACGCCGATCATTAATACTTTCGGTGAAGTTCATGGAGTTATTCAATTAATTAACAAAATGGACAATATGCCGTTCTCAAAACGCGACTCCTTGATCGCTACAGTATATGGAACACTTTGTACATATATGATTCACAATCAGAACCTTCAAGACCAAACAAATGATTTACAAAAGAGAATAGACATGGTTTCAAAGGCCGTTCCTAAGCTGGAAGATGTTGATGGATCAATTAGAGAATTATGCCATGTAGCAAGGATCTGTACTGATTGTATGGGAGTCACTGTTTATTTATTCAACAATACAAAAGGTATTGTCGAGCTTGCAGGCCAAGATGGTCACTTCAAACCGGCATTTAGTGGAAAAGGAGCTGTAGATTATTGTTTGAAGAACAATAAATCGTTAATAATCAATGATACTTTCCACGAAGCTATTGTTCATGATTCTTCCGATAGGGGAAAGCGTAACATCCTCTTAGTACCTATTATTGCTGATGGATCTCAAATCGGATGCGTTGAAGCATGTAATAAACATGGAAACTTCACACAAATCGATTTGAACACTTTGACGTGCATTTCTAACATTGTTTCAACAAGTGTAACAATGAGAAGTATGATGAATGTCATAGAACACGGCAGATCCCAACTTATAATTTCTCATTTCATAAATCGTGACGAAATCGGTAAAAGTATCGTTCCAGCATCATTCTCTAATAAGACTGATATCAATGTGAATGAATACAAGGCGTACGAGAGAACTCCTGAAGAGTTAGTTTCAACAGTTTTCGAAATTTACCATCAGCTTAACTTGTTAGGAAACATCAAGTGCGACGATTTCTTCACATTCATATGTAGTGTAAGATCATCGTATAACCAGCTCGGTTATCATAGTTGGGTAAAAGTTGTCTCAATTGCACAATTCGTTTACAGAATTCTGTCATCATCGCATGACGTTTTCAGTAAAGTTGAGATTATTTCTTTGATCATTGCTTCCCTTCTCGTTTATTCTGGTCACGATGGAACGGATGATTCGTATCACAAGAGACTTATGACGACAGAAGCCATCATTGCTGGATCTAGATCAGTCCATGTTCATCTTGCTGTTACGAAATCAATGCATATCCTTTCAAAATTCAAAAATAAATTATTTTTCGAAGATGTTGATTCGATCATGAAATCGATCATTTCGTTCATCATGTCCCAAGAGACAATTGCTACTGCTACAGAAGAGCTTTCAAAAGTAATTGATTCTCATCAATTTGATATTACTTGCGAAACTCATCGCCAACTCTTCTTGCAATGCATGTTCAATATGTGCTTGTATGATGAATTCGCTAGATCCAACGAAATCTCTGATAAATGGGAATATTTGTATTCTCTTGAAAGATTTTCACTTGGAACAAGAGAAGTCGAAGCAAAGCTCACATATTCATCTAAGCATAACTGCCAGGAGCTTTATAATAAGAAACAATGCGTTCTTAAGAGAATGGCCGGACTTGAAAAGCTCGTTAAGGTGGTATCCGCAGCTCCTGTAAAAGATGTACAGCATATTGGTATTGTTGGACCATCGTTCAACCGAAACAAACAATTCTTCCAGTTGAGTGGATAATTTTTTTTTTTTCTATATATGTTTTTGTTATGTATGATATTATATAAATTATCTGTTTTTAGATCTAAATCTTTTCTATACAGTCAGCGAAGTCATATCTCACGCAATAAAAAAATATGAAAAAATATTCAAACTGAAAAACAAAAGCGAACTTTGAAATTCTTTTGTAAATGGATTCAATTTCGCTAGTTAATCGGAGTTTGTATGGTATTTTTTCTGTATTGCCGAAGTAATTTTGAAAATGAATTCAATTTAATAACGAACATATTTTATTTCTATTCGCTTAGGTTATTTTCCAGCTAATTTATTTGTAGGGAAAGCTTTACGTAATGTATTGCTTGTGCTTAGCTGTAGTTCGGGCAGTATTGCGGGAACTGATCGTTTTCCATAACGAGTCTTGGAAAATTCATGTTGGAAATTGTCCAGTCAAAGACTCGAGGATTGAATGGGGCCTTGGGACGTTGTACTTCAGAGTGGAAATGCATTGGATGAAATCGGAGACAGCCGTAGTGAGTCTCTCCTGCGGTAATTAAACCAGTCTTCTCTATTATCGATTTATTGGCAGTGGTAGAGCCACTACAAGGCGGCTCTGCATCGGCTGAAGAGTCTGCATCGGACATCTAAAGTGCCGTAAACCTCTGAAAAAAAGTGCCATTCACAAATTTATAAAAGTGCCGAATATTTCCCTCAAATTTGTAGTTGGCATTTATTTCATATATTTAAAAACCTGCAATTGTATGTAACATCATGTAATAGTCTCTTGATGATTTTTTTTAGGATTTTCATCCCGATTTGTCTTCGAAAAAAATATCTTTTGTAATTTAATTTCTCAAAAATATAAAAAAAGATTTAGCCGAAGATTGCTTGGTTGATTGTTCCATTCTCCTTCAAAGGCTGTGATCTGTACAAGTAAGTGATCTGAGTTCTCATCTGAAGCTTGTTTACTCCCTTGTTCTGGAGCATCAAGACCTGCATGATTGGTCTTCCTCCGATTGGCTCAAGGACATTTCCACTTGGCTGCTGAGGGGATATCATCCATCCCTGTGGCAATCCGTACTGAATCTGGAACTGAGTGAGGGGAACTTCTCCAAGGTTGAAGCATGAAGCGCGGATGGCGAGCTGGTTAGGATTGTTCTGGTTCCTCTGGAACTCGAAGTAGATGACGTAATCCTGTGTGCGGAGGGCTTCAACGGCTCCTTTCGGTGGTGTAATCTCTTTCTTTGGTGTCACTTTTTGTGGGGAAGTTCCCTTTGACGCGTCAGCCAACAACTGCTGAACAGCAGGCTGTTGTTGCTGTGGCTGAGCGACTGGAGCACCAAGTAAAGCTGCGACAGCGTCCACTGGCTGTTGCTGCTTCTGCTGAGGTGCTTCCATCTCGAGATCGAGGAGATTCTCGTTGTGTTGGCTCTTTATTTCGCCAACAGGAGCTTCCTCGAATTCTAATGGAACAAGGAGATCGTCGTAGAGCTCCTTCTTTGAGAGAATGTGAAGGATCTCGCCGGCGCGCTGCTGGATTTCGAGGTTGTTGGACTTGGCAAGGTCCTCGAAAACAGGTGTCATCTCTGGAATACGGTTGAATCTGACGGCGACTTTGGCAAGTGCGATAATGATGTAGCACTTGGTCTCGATGGTGGTCTGTGGCATAAGAAGGATGCGTTTAAGGATCTCTGGTGCATCAGATTCCTCTTCAAGAAATTCTCCGATTGTCCATGCGGCAACTTGAACAAGACTCTGGTTGGAAGAGTTGTCTGGGAGTTTCTCTGTAAGTAATTTGACGGCTTTGTAGCGTAAATCTTGATGCTGACCTATTAATTTGCAAATTGAAGAGATAACATCGTTTCCGACGTAGTTTCCACTATCGATGAGGATATTAAGAACTGTTGTGAAGTTCCACTCCGGTGAAGGAGCGAATCTCTGAACAGATGCGAAGACTTTTGCGACAAGTTCGATTCTGAAGTCTCCATCGGCCATGCGGAGGTACTGGTTGACATCTGGGATGAGGACTTCAACATTCGACTCGTCAACAAGTGCTGTAATAACATCTAACGCGCGACGTCTGATTGAAGCATCTTTGTGGTCGAGACAGGACACGACCTGCGACTTGTATCTCTGTAAAACGACGGAATCTGCGGAGCTTCTGTCGATGATTTGGTTCTCGTTGTAAAGAATTTGGCTGAAAGCAGATAAAGCAGAGTAAAGAACGTTTGGTTCTGGGAAAGTAAAGAGACGGCCGATCTGGTTGTATGCAAGAGATCTGAGAGATGCCTTCTTAGCGCATGTATTGATTGTTTGGATTGCTTGGAAAAGAATTGAACGACCAGTGTTACGGCGGACATCTACTGATGTAATAATTGAAGCTAGGAGTTCATCGAGTTCCTCGGATGGGCGCTTGAGATGTGCTAAAATCTTCATAATCTTGATTTGAAGGAATGGGTCGTTGAAAATCGAGAAAGAGAACTCGCTTGAAGGACGAGCTTCGTATAAGTTCTTGAGAATCTTTGTAAATGGTGTGCAGAACTGTCCCCATTGGTTTGCTAAATCTGGATCAACTTTGAGCATTTCAAGAGCGAGCATGATGCCTGCCATAACGCAGCAATGTGCGGAATGGTTGAGGAGCTTCTGTACATATGGGCGGAATGAGTCAGATAATTCGGGAACTTTGCGAATGATATGAACAGATGCCATAGCAGCGCGCTTTTGCATTGCTGATAAAGGAGAATCGAGAAGCTTTTGAACATCAGTAACAAGGGTTCTGCACATTTCTACAGCACCGATATTAGCCAATAAAGTAAGAGGTAACATTTGAACTAAAGGATTTGGAGATGTGAGATCTTTTTGCATTGTATGTGTAATAAGAACAATTCTTTCGTTGTCTTCGTCGAGAATGTTTGCTGCAGCGAGATATCCGATTCTCTTATAGCTCGGGCGATCGTGTGCCATGAGGCTAACAATTTCCATTTGTCCCCAAGCTGTGTTTTCGCCTATCATATCTAAGTACATAAGCTTTAATACTAGACGAGGCTTATAATGTTCGCTGCAATCACGAATAAATGTACGCATGTTTGCAAGCTCATTCGAAATAACAACTCTCTCATCTTCAATTGTGTCTGTTTCCAGAATTGAGACGATAAAGTCTTCAAAATTCGTCGCCATTTGAATAAAAGTGACGTAAACGATAAATTCTAATCTTGGCGGTTGCGTTTATTTCACGATGGGAATAAACTTGTAAATTGATATTAGTGAATAAGTTCATGGCGAAAAACGACATGAAAGGAAATTGTAATTAGATGTGATATGTGATATGAAAATAATTACCAGTTTCTCTCAACTTTGAATGATGGAACCTTTTCTTGCAATTGGGGTTTAAAACATATGTGTCTTAGGCCATTTTTCCGGTCACGATTGGATCTGAAATGAATTGAAGATTGTTGATAAAATTCATTAAAATATCAAACAAAAATAATCAAAAATTCAGTGATCTAAGTGATGCGTTGGATAATGTAGAGTATATTAATGCTGAAATTATCATCAATCGGTATATTGAACTTCAAATTCTTATGAAAAGCCATTAGAATGATTTTATTAAGAATACCGTTCAAAAGCTCAGATCTATATCATCTCATAAATACAATGAATGTATGCAGAATGAATAAGTATAAAGGAAAGTAAAAATTCTTCAACATTTACATAAAGTAAAACAGAATGGTATATGCACATTGAATGTTAAATAAAAAGTGAATATAACCATTCTATATTTTCTTATATTTTCAGCTATATCCTAAACTAAAAAAAAAAATTATATTCAGGCAAAATTTCAGCTTATAGATATATGCCATACTCCATGCCATTAAACTTATAGACATTATTTGTATTCATCGAAGTACTTTGATGATAATATTAATTTGTATGAAATCAATGTCGTTTTTCTTAATTTTAAAGTTTCATATGGGGTTGTATGCCTGTATTAAAGCAATCGCCTTGATCATCCCTCTTTGGAGATGGAATAATGTTTTATCGTTATTGAATAACGTACTTTTGTAAATTTACTTTCAGTATGAAAATAATAACATAATTCATGTAATACACTATTTTTTGTTAAATCTTCTCTTCTCAAATAGTTTACACTTTTATTCAATTTTGAGGGGTTTTTGAAAACAATTTATCGTTAAATATGCGACTCATTTTTGAATGTTAAATTTTTTAATAAGCACTGCTAATTCCTATACAGTAAGTTCCACGGGCTACTACAGATTCAAGATTTAACTAATATTCGATCTTGAATCTGTTTCAAATTACGATTATTATCTCGTATGGATCAATAATCCATCAAATATACAGATAGATGGGGAAAGTTTAAATACTAGAGTTTACAAGCTTAAATCCACATATGGAACGTATAAAGTTACAAGTTCTTCTTCTTCCATATATGCCGATTTTGGCGTTTTTCTTATACCACAAACATACGATATTCTTGAATTCTGGATTAAGCCAGCTTCGGAATTATACAGTATGACGCAAACTACATATTCTAACACTAAAAATTGTTATTTAATTATTCTCGATACTGAGTCGTTTACGGTCTATCTAGAAAACAGTGGAGATAGTAATGACGTTTATTATTCTACTGATGGTGGTAAACCCACTAGTCTTTTCACATCATACGCACTTTATAGCAATAAGGCTGTTACTTTAAATTATAAACAACTTGCTTCGACAACAGCTTCCACAACCTATTCAATATCAGCAGATGATGATAACGTTCACTATAACTATCAATATTTCGACTTTAGTCATTCGAGTCTTGTATTTTCAACAGGAGTCACTATTTTGGAATTTCCATCCCCTAATAGTGGAGGATCCTCGTCTGGTTCATTTATTTCAATGGGATTAAATTCATATTCCATTTCGTCGTCCACCACATGCTCAATTCCAATAAAAACATTAATTGTTTTCACACAATCCGATTCAATAATAGGAGATGCAATTGTTGGTTCCAAATCTCTTAGTATTCTTGGTTCATCAGGTATCAAAGCTATTGCATTTTTAGAAAATGGTAAACTTAAGTTATCATCAACAAGTGGTACACAAACTTGTAAATTTATCGCTTACGACTATTCGAAAGCAGAAGATTATTGTACTTATGTAACAATCCTTTCTGGTAAAGTTAAATACACATTGAGTCCGGCAGGCAGCTATACATACTGCATTGTATCTGCTTTCTCAGAAGTACAACTTAAAATTGAGACTGATGAGCAAAATCATTATTCATATAATGTGAATAATTTAATGGAATACGGTCAAACATCTTCTGATGAAACTGTAACCAGTCCTGTTATAACATATGCAGGTCAATATTATACATATTCTAGCACAATTAAGTTTAATTTAAGTGGATCATCAAGTGACGAAAGTTTTATTATTGATGGATCTGAGTCTAAATACGATTTTTACACTATTTCTTCTACATCATCTTCACAAATGAATACAGGTGATGCAGTTGGAAAAGCAAGTATTGGCGGTCTTAAACCATGGGCAATTGCTCTGATTGTTATCTTTGTTATAATTGCTTTTATTGTAATTATAGTCTTAATTTGCGTCTGCTGTTGTGACAAAAGATGTTGCTGCTGCTCATCATCAAAAGTATCAGCATCAAAAGAAGAGAATAATGCACGTCCTGCACAAAGAGAATCAACATCAAATAACAATAACACAGCATATCCTGCTCAAAGAATATCACAATCAAATAACAATAACTCGGCATATCCTGCACAAATGGCTTCATCTTCAAATAACAATAGTAAAGCGCGTCCTGTCCAAAGAGTTGAAGAAACCAACTCAACTACAATTAAAGTTAATGTTGTTAATACAACATATATTGCACCGCCACCATCACAGCCGCCGCAACCTCAGCAAACTCAGCCCAATTATATTCCACCACCTCCACAAACACCTGTTTACGTCGCGCCACCACATCAATCAGTTTATGGAGTACCTCCGCAGCAACCGGTTTATGGAGTACCTCCACAGCAACCGGTTTATGGAGCACCTCCACCTGTTTATGGAGCTCCTCCGCAACAGCCGGCAGCTTATATAGCACCAGCACCAGCTCCATCATATAGCGCCCCAGAAACCAAAGATAACTATTACAACCCATACAACTAAATAAAATATATTATTAAAAAAGTTCTAAAAGCACATCTTTCTTTTTATTATTACCTAATAGATGGATATATTATAATTTATTTGAACCTGTTAATTCGATAACTAAAATTCCGACAAGTTGTTATTAAACCAATCGGCCAAATGCCACAAGGTTCCAGCATTTTCCACCACATAGTGTTGGAAATAGCCATTATTAATAACTCTCAATCGATCAGAATCATGTTAGCTTCATCAAATGGAGGCGTAACATTGGAAGGACACATCAGATTGGTCCCTTTTAACTACTTATTACCAGGAGATTCAGCGCTTTTATCGATTGTCAAAAAAGAATCTGTTTTCATCTCAAATGTCGCAATTTCCTCAAATTCAAAGCCGAAAACAGTTCTTAACGCATTATTTACAATCCTAAGAGGGAATATAATCAGCGGAAATGATCTAACATCACGTATTCTCTAGAACGAGCACAGGTTTAAATGTTATTTCTATCCTGAAAATCAATCAAGGAATTGTAGAAGTCACCGTAAAATCAAGCGACAATAGACTGACAAACTCAAAAAGTAGAGAAATCGAGATGAAAATCAGTTCTCTCATGACCTAATCATATTATTTATAATTTTTTTATTTGTTATCCAGTTTAATGGAACTATTATTTGTAGTTTATAAATTATATATATATTCATAATCATAAAGATTATTACTTCATCTTAAATCATATCATTTTAAACATTTTTATTCTTATATAAGAATATTATATTTTGCACCATGTAAAATAAGAATTTCGGCTGTGTCTTTATTATTATTTAGTGTTGCAATATGAAGAGCGGTTTCTCCTCTATTATTTTTTTCATTGATATTTATACCATGTGAAATAAGAAGTTCTGCTGTTTCTTTACTATTATTTTCTGCTGCATAATGAAGAGCGGTTTTTCCAGATATATTTTTTTCATTGATATTTAAACATTGTGAAACAAGAAGTTTTGCTGTTTCTTTACTATTATTTAGTGCTGAAATATGAAGAGCGGTTTTTCCATATATGTCTTTTTCATTTAGATTTACACCATGTGAAATAAGAACTTCGGCTGTTTCTTTACTGTTATTAAATGCTGCATAATGAAGAGTGTTTTGTCCATCATTATTTTTTTCATTGATATTTGCACCATGTGAAATAAGAACCTCAGCTGTTTCTTTACTATTATTTAGTACTGCAATATAAAGAGCGGTTTGTCCATTATTATCTTTTTCATTGATATTTGCACCATGTGAAATAAGAAGTTCGGCTATTTTTTTGCTATCATATTTTGCTGCATAATGAAGAGCGGTTTTTCCGTTTAAATATTTTACATTGATATTTGCACCATGTGAAATAAGAACTTCAGCTGTTTCTTTACTGTTATTAAATGCTGCAATATGAAGAGGGGTTTCTCCATCATTATCTTTTTCATTGATATTTGCACCATGTGAAATAAGAACTTCGGCAGTTTCTTTACTATTATTAAATGCCGCATTATGGAGAGCGGTTTTCCCATATATATCTTTTACATTGATATCTGCACCGTGTGAAATAAGAACTTCAGCTGTTCTATTATGAAATGCTGCAATATGGAGAGCGGTTTGTCTATCATAATCTTTTACGTTGATATTTGCACCATGTGAAATAAGAACTTCAGCTGTTTCTTTACTGCTATTAAATGCTGCAATATGGAGAGCGGTTTGTCTATCATAATCTTTTACGTTGATATTTGCACCATGTGAAATAAGAACTTCAGCTGTTTCTTTACTGCTATTAAATGCTGCAATATGAAGAGTGTTTTGTCCATCATTACCTTTTTCATTGATATTTGCACCATGTGAAATAAGAACTTCAGCTGTTTCTTTACTATTATTTAGTGCTGAAATATGAAGAGCGGTTAGTCCATTATTATCTTTTTCCTTGATATTTGCACCATTTGATAGGAAATATTCGTAAAGGGATGCAATATTGAACTTCGTCGATTTAATAAAGCATTCATTAATATCATTAGTTTGATCGAAATAAACTAAAAATGATTCAAGGTTATTATATTTTACGCATAATTCTAAATTGATCTCTATATTGTATTCATTCATCAGGAATGTAACAAAATCAATATTGTGAGAGATAATTGCATATTCCATGCATTTTTCATTTGGTTTTTGATATTTCAAACATTCACTCATGATCTCTGGATTTCTTCCTAAAAATGAAAATTCTAGACATGTTCGAGTTATTATTGTGTCAAATTTTGTCCTTAAAAACTTGAAACAATCAACAGCTCCATGATAACAGCATAATTCAATTAATGAATATTCGGGGTAAGAATATTCATTATCATATGGATATAATTTGCTTTGAAGTGTTTGATCTTCATAAAATCCTTCTCCTTCTGTGAGTGCAATGAATCTTTCTAAGTCATTATACATAATTGCTCTGTAAATTGTATCTGCTTTAAGAATTTCCAGATTTTCGGATTGAAATTCTCCGAAATCACAGAATTCGTCTAAATTAATTCCATATTCTTTGTAAAACAGGAAGTTTGAAATAGATTTAACATTTTTGACCTCTGTGATATGATAATCATCAAATATGAGTTTGGCAAGAGATAAATATGACTTCGTATAGCAATTATTATACGGAATGATACACAAAATATCGTTAATAATATTTTTGGCGTGCCTTTATTTGAATCAATCAATTCTGTTTTGATCAGATTGTAAATTGAGTTTAAATCTTCTTCCTTTTCCGTTTTCAGCTGGTACAATGCAATATACGAATCAATGTAGTATTGACAGAGACTTCGCAGTTCGCTGAATTTATTTGGATGAATGTCTTTGTCGGACATTATTAATTTTTTAAAATGACACATTTGCATTTTAACATATAAACATCGTTTAAACTCATTAGAAGAAATAGATATTGTTTATACATGGGGAAATCAATGACCACATATATTTCGGAAATAGTTTATGAATTTTAATTAAGATCACAGGTATTAAATGACAATATAACAATAGGAAAGTTGAAATCAATAAGATTTACATCAAGATGATTGTATTCATACAAGTCAAATATGATGAATTTGCTCAAAATAACTTGTGCAAGATTGAATATCTGCTAAATCTATTTTTCATGTTGGAACATGAAGATAAATACACTTTTTGCCTATTGAAAAGAAGAATTTTTCTTGAAATTTACAATCTAACTAAGTTGGCACATGAAAATGAATCATATAAGTGTAGGCGGATAACAAATGAATTTTTTCGATACCCAAAAAATGATTGAGTCTATACTTTTTTAACTCAGAATTTGTTAAATAATAATCGATTTTTTTATAATGAAATTTGTTTTTGGAATCAAAAATTTAGAATGATTAATAATCAAATCAATAGATCGATTTTATAATATAAATACAACCTATTACATTTAATGAATTGTGAAAATTCTCTGTATTGACGAAAATCCAATTGATATTTTAGGTATATTCTATATTTTTTCAAGTATCTGATAATTAAAAAATAAATAAAGTACTATTTATACATTGTTTTCAGTCCAAATTCAATAAATGCTATAGAAATATTGAACAACAACATTTTATCAATCATTCATAAAAGAATGGAAATATTTATTACCAAATGGCAGTAAAAACAGCATTTCATCAGATTGCAAGGCTGTTACCTGAAGTTTTTCTTTTGCGCTAATTCATTTTAAGTTTATTTCGCTTTGTTCTACAGGAAATTTTTATGCCGTACCAATGCAAATATGAAATCATAAAAAAGAAATATTTCAGTTTTCCCGCGAAATTTACTAACGTACAAAACGTAGTTTCAAGAAAGAAATGAGGGCAACAAAACAGTTTAATCCATATTCATCAGGATTCACAAACGTCGACATCATAGGAAATGAAGATCTTTTCCCAGAAGAAGGTTATGAATTTATACCACATCCTCCAACTCAATCGACAAAAGATAGATACGTTTCTGTTGACTTCCCATTGAATTCTACAATCAATACAACAAAATTACCAACAAATAATATGCCACAACCACCGGAACCTGTCATTGATGTACCAATGCCAAAAATGAAATCTCATCGCAGGAAGTACATTTATGATACGACAATCGCTGTTCGTAAGAAACAAATGGACTACAAAACTCAATTAGCCGAATATAATCGCGAAATGCGTGAATACGAAAAGGCTGACGAAGCTAATATCATTAAAATAGCTAAGGAAGCCGTTCAAAAAGAGGAAGAAAAGCATAAGAACGATAAGGCCAACTTGAGAGCTAACTACGAAGAGCAAATCAAGGATCATAAACGCCAGATAAAGAGAGCTCAACAGGAAGAACAAATGGAAGTCGAGAAAATGCGTGAAGCCGAAGCTGCCCAACGTGAACTCGACCGCCAGAAAGAGGAGAAAGAGGCTATGGTCAAACAAACGTATCGCGATGAATTCTTAAAGCGCAATGCTATGCTCCAAAAGATGAAAGCTACACGCCATGAACGCGAGAAAGAGGAAGAACGTGAAATTGCTCGCCAAGCAGAGTCTCTTTCCGCCACTCGTGAAGCAAGAGCTAAACGCGAAGAAGAAATCAGACTTGAGAAGACAAAACGTCGTGAAATTGTCGTCGAATTACAAGCTAAGGCACTTGCCCAGCAAAAGAAGAAGATTGACGATTTCCAAGAAAAGGCGATTTCTCAAGCAACTCTCAACGAAGAACGCGAACGTCAAGCTCGTGAGGATAAGAAGAAGAACGATGCTCTTCAGCGCGAAAGAGAATGGAAGATGCTTGACAAAGAACGCCAAGCTAAAACAGCAATTAAAACAAAACGTCCATTCCCAACAAGAATTCCAGACTTCGATGAAGAGGCATTCGCTAGGGAACAAGCTCACAACGAAAAGGTCTACTACCGCACAATGCAGATGAAGCAGGCCCGCGACAGAAAGAGACGCGAGAAACAAGAAATGGAGAACGACATCATCGAAGAAAATCAAAACCTCGAGATGACAACACAACAATTCAACCAGTCTCTCAAGAAACTTCAGGATTCTGTTCCAGCAGAACTCGGAATTAAAGTTCCACAATACAAACCATCAATGAAGGTCACTGGAATGGTTTAAATAACCTTGTTCTAAATATCAATATTCTAAATCTATGTCATTCTTTGATTTGTTACAATATTAATTACTTTTTTTTTTCGATATAACTAACAATCACATAAAAGAAAAAACTTATAATGAACTAAATTTGGTGAGATTTCATAAGTTTCAACACAAATAAACAACTTTTATTCATTTTCTTGGCCAAACAATAATATTACAATGTATATGGTTATTCAGGAAATAGTAACGTTCTTCAAAAATGAATATTTAAAACAAAAGTTTGCCAAAATCTCATTTTGATAGTTAGATATTATTATATAGAATGTGGATGGCTAGTTTTAGAGTCAATTGGACGTAGATATCCTATTTTTAGGAAAGTTTGATAAAATTGAATTAGATACAGACCCCTAATTAATATAATAAATGGAAAAGGTCAGTGAACCAGAGCGCCAGGCATTTGTTAAATTTGCACGCCACACAGCAGTTGCCACCGATCGTCTTTGCGGTGCTTTAATAAAACTTACACAAAGCCTTGAAGAAGCTAAAATCATAGATCCAGAAAGACCATCAAAGTTAGAACGCGATAAGAAGTTAACTAAAACTTATAAAGATTTTGATATTCCAGCCGAGGAAGTTGCCTCCTTAATGGAGAAATTAGTTAACAATCCAGACGCAGAGAAAATCATTTCATCCCTTTATAGAGATTACAAGCCAAAGCGCCAAACAAGATCTGCCCAAAAGGCCGATGGCGCTAAAGATAAAGCTGAACAAGAATAAAACGTGATTGATATACAGTCAAAATCCTTTACTGGAATGCATTGAATCCTTGTTCAATAAGCACCAAATCGGATTTAAATATTATTTTATATTAAGATAACAACTTACTTATTATTTTAAAACGTTATTACGCAAATTTCAAATTTCAAACAGAAAAAGATAAAAATATCTGTTTGAAAGTTGAAAAACATTATGCTTGTTGACCCATATGTTTCCAAATCCATAACATATATGCCTTTTTTTAAAAATTTATCAAATATAAATAAATAATAGTATAATTTTATTAAACAGAATCATTGGCACTAATTTTCCAGACTGTCTCCATATAGAGATGAAGGGCACAAAGTGTATGCTCGTTCAAATTTTCAATAACTAATTTATCTGTAATTTCCATTGTAGGATTAATAGTTTTAATGATATAGTGTACGTTTCTATGAATATCTGGATCGTCTAAAACTTTATTGAAATGATCAGCCATATAAGCCTTTTCATTGGCATTTGGTTCTGGTTTGTTTTCAGTAGTCTTTATAATTTGAGGTATCATAGGATCAATTCCTTGTGGTACTGGACTCTTTGCTAAAAGTTCTGAAATTTCATTCATTTGCTTTGAAATGGCCGTGAGCCATTCATTGATACTTGAATATGTACTTTGACCAAATTTTTCTTGTAATCTGCTTAGTAAATATGTTGCCATTGGTGGATATGGCGAAAATTGTTCATTCTTGTAAAATTCGATAGTATTTTTGAAGACTAATTCCATGTCATGATACCAGTCGATATAACGATGATATTGACGATTTTCAAGATTTGCTTTGACAGTATTTAAATCAATGGGTCTTGCAATTTTTTGATGGTATTCTTCTGAGACATAACCAAGAAAGTCATTGAAAGGAACGTACATCTCATCCTTCATCATAGTATCCATTTCTTGAAGAAGCTCTTTCTGCTGCTCTTCTTGCATCAATTTTTTGAAAACTTATTTTCAATTTGACATGCAAAATAAACTCTCCATTAACATACAATTTATAACACAAATGAGTTTTGCAAAAATTCTCTTTTGAAGCTCAATTGAGAACAAAATAATCTTTGAACAATGTCTGCATCATCTCAGTCTAAGCCAGATCCTATTAGATGGGAGAATGTACCAGAAACAGAGATTAGAGCTGATGCTGAAGCAGCATTAGAGATGTCTGGGAAAACAAAAGAAATTCGTCAATTTTTAAGTCAGAACAGAGCAATAGAAGACTGGAGAAAAGAAATACGCGAATTATGTAGGAATATGATAAACGAAATTGGAATAGATAATGTAAATCCAGATATGTTATATGACTTACTTGCAGCTCAAGGTCATGACCAACTCCCGGCTGAAGTAGTCACAGAAGTTACAACTAGAATTAAGACATTTTTGAATACTCAATTCGAAGAACATCCTTAAATTACAAAAAATTGAATTTCATATCTTGTTTGAAATTCAATATTATCATAATACGACCAATAGAGTATCAAATATATCTTGTTAATTCTAAATACATGTATGTATTCTGTTATATTCAAAAAAATATCTAATCTTTTTTGAATTTTTAACGCTTTTCTTTAATTCATTTGATTGGCTTGTTTTACTTTGGACTAACCTCTACGATATTTATCTTCAAATAGAAAAACATAAAAAATTTTGAATAAATCTCAAAAAAATGAAAAAGAAATAGGGATAGTTTGAAATAATTCTATAATAATTGTCTATTTACAAAGTATTATCCATTGTGAAAGTAAATAATTTTATATCTCTATTGCTCTTTTTCTTCTTCCTTCTTCAAAGAAGAATAATGGCCAAGTTCCCACATGGTTACCTTACCTCCGTTAGCGAGAGCGAGATATTCGCTATCCGCAGAAAATGAGGTCGATGCGACGTGTTTCAAAGGAGTTTTCTGGGTTGGCCAGTTTCCAAACACTGTCTTTGATGAAATGTGAAGCAATCTAAGGGCTCCTTCCTTGGAAGAAGAAGCAAATAATAATATTTCAGCAGTTGGATTAAATCTAACTTCATTGATAGCAGTAACAATGTTTGCTTTCTGTATAATTTCCTTTGGACGAATCAGTTTTCCAGGAATTGGTGAAATTCTGAGACTATCAAATTCAAATACGTAAAGGAAGCCTTTATCATTACCCATAGCAACGTAATCGCCACGTACATCAAGAGCTGTGATAGTTTGCATATCTTCTACTTGGAAAACAGCAACACTCTTAATATTTGATTTTTCACAGTCAATTACGTGTCCACGACCTTCAGAACCAGCAACAACAAAGAATTTTCCATCATCTGTAAATGATCCGCATATTAAATTCTTTTCTGAAGTTTCAATTGCTTTGAGAGGTGATAAATTACTTTCGTTGTAGAAATAAACAGAATCACGAGTAATAAAAGCGACCATTGTTTCGGAGGCTGATACAGCGACGATGTCATTTCTTGATCCTGTCTGATAAACATTGATAGAATGTTTTCCTTTGATAGGAACAGCGTCAAGGACTTGGAATCTGCCTTGTGTACAGCCAACGAACAACTTAGAGCCGTCTTTTGAGTATGTAATGCATGTTCTGTAGATGTTATCCGCTACTGGAATTCTGAATAAAGCTGAACTTGATTCGTTTGTATATGTAACACGAGAAATTGTTCCCCACTTGCCGAGAAGTGCAACATCGTGGTCGAATGGATGAGGAGCAATTTGTTTTATGTGTTCAAGTCCGCGATTTGAATTTTTCTTGTCTGTTGGATCTTGTAATGGAACTAAATCTGCTCTGCGAGTGATAACAATTCTTTCGGATGGTAAATATTTTGTGCTCGATGAATAAATTGAATCTGCATCAATAACTCGACCTGTAGCTTTTGAAATATCAGCCCATGATGTGTCGATGTGTTCTGTTGTTCTGTGGTATCTTTCTGCAAGTTCGTTAGCAAATTTTTCACCTGAAACTGGGTCTAATTGATCCAACATTCTTGCTTTTTCTGGGGCAATCATTAACTGAGCATCATCAGGATCGATCCAAGCTGGTTTTGGTTTGGAAACGGGTGTCTCTTCGTCAGAGGAAACGTCGAGAGTCGACTTTCCGAAAACCAACTCTTCAGGAGAAATCATTACTAAAATCGACCAGACTTGTTCAATTTCAAGATTTTGTCCTTGATATTTTTGAATTTTAACATGCCATTCTAACACTGAAAATCTAAAACACTAGGAAAGGAATATCTAATGAAATGCTTAATTTTATTATTCATTGATATTTAGAAAATAAAAATTTCAAATCATCAAATCTACTATGAAATATTCATATATCACGCAAACACACTGACAATATGTAGGAATGTTCTAGCAAATATGTAGAAAAACATAATTATGAAGAATAATTTACTAGTAAAGTTTAATAACTTGATGAACATTTACTACTAACATATTAAAGCTTACATACAAACTTATTAAATAAGATGCAAGATAATTGCTTGAAATATTTAGAGCAATTGGATAGATCACGATTAAATACGAATAATTAGCTTATTAGAATTCTATTTGCATCATAAAAATAAATGTTATATCTCACTGTACGTTTTGAAATTTCTAATTTTTGATAAAAATCATGGCAAATATATGCCCTATCTGCGGGCTTAAAACTCTTCACTCAGTCATAGATAGAGCAACTGTAGACACATCTAATATTGTTGATTATGTTGCAAGTTCATCTCAATTAAACACAAATATACAAAATTCTCTTCAAAATATGATAAATAACGTGAAAGACGCTCCAATTAAAGCAGAATTAGTCAAAATAAGTTCTGATGTCATACATTTATCCTCTAAATTAACAAAAGTTGAAGTATCTTTATCACAAATCATTAATTCATATGAACAAAAGACTACAAAGAACTCAGAACTCATCAAATCACTACAATCAAAGATCTCCAAATATAAATCTCTCGCCTTGCACAAAGAAAACGACCAATATGAAATTAACGATCAGAACAGACAGCTTATTAGCACAATCGAGAAGTTAAAAGCAGAACAGCAGTCTAAGGATCAAAAATACAACTTAATGAAAGAAAAACTCAAAAAATATAAAAACTTAGTAGAAGAATCTAAGACTGAAATAAGTCAAGATCTCATGCAACCAATCGATGATCTAAATCATCAGATTTCTAAACTCAAGATCAAGATTGCAAACATTACATCCGAAAATGATCGAATTATGCTTGAAAATCAGCAATTATCTCGTCAACTAGCAGCTAAATCTAACGAAATACAATCACAAAACGAAGAAATAGAGAATTTAAAGAACAATGCAAAGAAATCCAATAAAGTTCTATTTTCTGAAGTTTCTTTTGAATTAAAGAATCCATTTACAGGTGATGTTGATGAGAAATTCCAGAGAATCATTGCAATGGAGCACTTTGAATTCCCACAACGCGTTCAAATGATCATAAATGAATCTGCTCGTAAAATTAAATCACTTGAAGATACAATAATTGAGCTCAAAACACAAATATGCGACCAAAACAATAAGATCAAGGGTTATGACAAAGCTTTATCCGATACAAAGAATGTTCTGAATGTACATTTGACACAATTACGCAAACTCGAAGACAATGAGAAGATTTTCGATATGAAGAAACTTGATGTCGATAAGAACTTACTAGCTTTTATCGCAAAGAATATCTCTGACGATAATTCAATGGGAGATGTTAGCAAATTAGTTGCAAATTTGACAAATAAAGATGACGTTGCATGTTCATTAGTATCATCATTACTACTTGCTAACATGAAGCAGCAAGAACAACTCCAAAGAATGGTTGACCAAGTAGAGCAAAGAGAAGAAATTTTACAATCAATTCGCGAAATTGGAGTTCCACCAGAAAAAGCAGCCAAAATTGTTCTCAAGATGCAAGAAGAAATCGATAATCTCAAAAAGACAGTCAAAGAGAATGAGCAGATAATACAAACAAATAAAGTAGAATTCGAGAACTTAGAGGAGCAACTCGAAAAACTTGGTGAAGAAAAGACGAAATTAACAGAAAATTTGTTCAACACAGAAAATGTTTTATCAGACTTTAGAACCAAGAACAATGAACTTCAGAAGGAATTAGAGAACAGAATAACAGAATCTGATAATATGAAGAAAGAATACACGGTAGTCAAAGATCAAAACAAAGATCTTCAAACAGAAATAGCCAGTCAAAAGAAATTATACGAAGTCCTATCAAATGAATCAGAAGAATTGAAGTCAGCTTTAGCTCTCAAAAAGAAAGAGTTTGCAGACTTAGATGTCAGAATGAGAACAGCCAGAGAAGCTGTTAAAGCCAAGGTTGAAGATCATCAACAGAGATTGAAAGATCTTGAAGAAGAGCATTGCATAAAGATGTGCCAAATGAAGAAGAATTATCAGAACGAATTAGATGCAGCTGTTGCTGAAGCGGCAACTATTAAAGAGTGTTCTTACAAAGCATTGGATGCTTCTTATAATCAAACAAGTTCATTAAAAGGTGCTCTTAATGATGCAGTAATGAAATATGAGAAAGCAAAGATCCAAAACGAAGATTTAGAACGAGAAAATGAAGTCCTCAAAATCCAAAATAACAAATTGCAACAAAAAGTTTCAGATCTAAGAGCAAGAGTTGCAGTCCTTAATGATACAGCAAAATGTGATTGCTTCAAAGGAAATCTTAATGAACAGACAGCTAAACACTTTGCAGACTGTGCTTGCAGAGCGTCAGCATTAAAGGAAAGACAGAGAGTTATGAATTATGTTGCAAGAGAAATTGGACAACCTTACAAAGTCGACTACTTTGAGCCCGACGAAGAAAATGACTTCCATTCATTCATTAGGAATGTAAAGGAAGATTTAAGAAAACTTAGAGTCTTTCAATCAGCAAAACCATCAAATTGAATTCATTATTTAATGTTTAGTTTATTGTAAAGTTATTATTTTATTATTAACAATATGTTAAGCCATTTATTTACTTATATTACATTGAAAATTGTTTTATTACCCATTTAATTTTTGATCGAAAAAAATTAAGAACATATATCCGAAATATCTCTATTAATTGAAATGATTTCGTACAAAAGATCTAAATTTAATAGAATATATCATTACAAAGTTAATTTTATTTTCAATAAAAATATAGAAAAGTTTTCTCCAAATAATATGTTGAAATATAGATTCTCTGTCATATGGGAATTATCACGCATATAGCTGTTTCCAAAAGTTTGATGTGAAATTTTGGCACTTTTCCAACATCAAACTCTTGAATGAAGTTCACCTAAAAGAAAATGAGGACAGCCCAGAAGGTCCGCCAGCAGACAGATACCGTTACAGAGGTACAGTCGATTACTCTCGTAAGGAACATCTTAAGGAGCGGTATCTCCTCGATTGCCTACTTAAGATACCTGTTTCCAGAAGAAAATTTTCAGGACACAAGTTTGGCTGGCCTGAAAATCAAATCTCTTGTACCAGCAAACAACAAAGAGATCGAAGCATTAAATAGATGGATCGAAGAAGGAGTATTCGATGCTTTACAAAAACATTATCTTCGCGCACTTGTATTTTCAGTCTTCAAAGAGTACAATAACCCAAGTTCTCTATTGGAGAGTTATACCTTTAAGTTCACTTACCCATCCGATGGAAACGTTTCGCTCGATTTTACCGCTCAAACAGGAAATGAAGAGAAGAAGCTTTCATTCATGTCCAAAGAGCAGATCCAACAAGCATGGTGCACCATGATTAGGACATTGATCACATTAAGCCACGCATTACCGCCTCTTCCCCACAAACGCCATATCGCGATGCGCTTGTACTACTATGATGACATTACGCCAGCAGACTACAATCCACCTGGATTTGCCCAAGCAGATGACGCTCCAGATTTCGAGTTTATCGAAGAGAGTGAAAGGATTGACGTCGGAGGAAGCGTCAAAACCAAATTCCACTCTGTCCAGATGCGTCTTGATACAGCTATGCCTGCATACAAGGAGAAACATCCAGAGGAAGTCACGATCTCCGAAATGTCAGAAGATTTGATCAAATCTTTGGTTTTTTGCTTCGAGAAAGGAAGTATCAACTCGAAAGACATTTCAAACAAACTCGGTTTGAGTCCATCCGATCAACGCGTTGAAGAAATCATCCAAGATCTTTTATCACGCGAAATCATCATCGTTGAAGATGGTATTTATAAGGTCAATCAAACCGAGGAGAACCAATCTTTGTTCAAAGCTGCTCAAGACTATTTGAACAAAGAATCTACCAAACCAATTTAATTTACATTCTTTTTTTTCCCCTTCAATGGAATAAATAATTATTTTTCTTAAACATTTATTATCTATGTCCCCAACGATAGACCTGGAATGATTAACTCGAAAATATCGTTGAAATGAATTGTTTTTCTTGACATTTTATCTTTCTTATTAATATTAAATCACTGTAATGGTATTATCAGGTTAAAAACTCTAGAATTTAGAATTGTTTATACAATTGTAGCAATTTGCATAGTTAAGCTATCAAATAGCTGCACATCATATAGCTATCATTGCTTATGTGAGCTATTAAGTGCACAATTGCTTTAAGCACGAGAAATCTAAGGAAATTTCACTTTGTATAGCCTGATTTGATTAAATAAAATATTACACGCACAGACATTGTCAACTAACAATACTCGATATAGACGGAAACATTTGGCTTAATTTTTTTTAATGTACAAGATTTTTTTGCCAATCACTCCAAATCACTTGATTTTATGAATATATGTCGAAGAACACACATAATTAATAAAAATATTTTTATTTTCAAAAAGGTACTTTTAATGGGCCAAAAATTGAAAAATTTTAATTTCTCTAGTTTCTAGCCAGAATCAATATAGAGTTCATATGCAAAAAGTGAAACTACTATGGTGTGGAAAAAAATATCAAAGTTCCCCACTTAAACACTATATTGATAGCCAAAAAAAATCAGGGAAATGCAACAACCAGATTGTGGTCTGTCAATTGTTCAATAAAAAGCTATCTACCCTTACAACGCCAATTTTTATTATTATTATTTAAATTTTTTGAAAAAATGAGAATGAACAGCAACTTAACGAATCATATATAGCATTCAGAGGCTCTTTGTGAAAATATCTACGTTAATTTAATAACTCACTTTTTAAAAACTATGGAAAATTTTTAAAACTGTGGTACTGTAAAAATTGAATGAGTGAAACGGTTTTCGATTTTACCACAATTTTTTATTCTTGATATAGTTTCATAGCTCTACAAAATATGTAGGACATATTTTGTATAGCTATTATCTTTTCCAAGAATTAAAATTGAATTGGAAAAAAAATCCACTTTCAATTTTCACTATAAAAAATCCATTTTTTATTTTCATTATTCTTGCATGAGTGAAGAATATAATGAACTTATGAATAAATACAAGGATTATATTGATCTTACAGATGCAATATATAAGCTGAAAACATTAGACGAAGATAAAATCAACGAAATCTATAATGAAATCAAGAGTAAATTGATCGAAACAGGAATCATTTCAGCATCTCAGAATTTTAAAATGATCGAAACTGCAATGAAATATAATATTTGTTACTTTAAATCGTACTTTTTATTACTCCAAATGTTATCAAAAGAGTATAAACTTAACAAAGACAAATTACTAAACTTGTATCAAAAACAATACAAAATTTTAAATATTGAATCAAAATATTCAATACTCAGAGCAATTATGAATGATGATATTATAGAATTTATTAAACTTGTAGAAATAGGAGAATTTGATCCATGTCAAAGTGTTATGTGTCCTTTATATCCGTTATGTAGAATTTCAATACTTGAATTATGTTGTTACTACGGTTCTGTTGCTTGTTTTAAATTTTTAATAACAAAATTCAAATTAGAAATCACTGAAGAATGTATTCAATGTGCATTTTTGGGTGGAAATCCAGATGTAATGAGTGAATGTTTTAAAGAGCTAAAAAACACATTTTTCTTGATGGATTTTGCAATTGCTTCACACAACATCGATCTTGTTTCTTTCATGATGAATGAATATAATAAAGAAGTCAAATTAATAAAATCTGGAAAATTCAATAATCTTCATGCATTTTTAGTTTATTATGATCAAACAAAAGATGTCAATGGTTGTATGGCTGCATCGTCTCTTTTTAACATTCCATCTCTTTGTGAATATTTCATTTCGAAAGGTGCTGACATCAATGCAAGATATCTTGGTCGTACAGCTCTTCATATGGCAGCAGAAGAAGATTGTAGCAAAGCAGCAGAATTTCTTATTTCAAAAGGCGCCAATATGGAGTTAAAATATTATGATAGATACACAGCTCTTGATTTAGCAGCGCAAAATAATAGTGTTGAAACATTACGAATCCTACTATTACATGGTGCAAATATAAATACAAGAGCTGAGTTTGGTAGGACTGCACTACATCATGCTGCAGGGTTTAATAAAAAAGAAGCATTCGACATTCTAGTTTCATTTGGTGCAGATATCAATGCCAAAGATAACTTTGGTGTAATTCCACATATATATTGTTGATCAAAATTTTAAGTTATATTTAAAATTTTTCTTTTGCTCATTGAACTTTATAATCAATAAATAAATGGTGTATATTATCCTTACTGGCAGCTAATTTTTAGTATTAATGAAAAATCTCATTAAACATCATATGATTAAATATTAATTATATTCATTTTTACATTTGGAGATTGTAAATTAGTGTTCTTCTTTTGATTAAATGAACATATGATATAAAATAATATTATATATGTCAAAATAGTATTTAAAATGCGCCTCGATTTAGCAATGCCTACACAAAAGGAGAAACATTCATTTGAAGTCACGAACTCCAAAATGCCAGAAGACTTTATCAAGTCGATGATTCTTTGCTTCGAGAAAGGAAGTAGTATCAACTCGAAAGACATTTCATGCATGATTCGCTTGAGTCCATCTGATCAATGAGTCGAAGAGATTATCCAGGGTCTTTTTATCATTCGAAATCATCATTGCCGAAGCTAGCATTTATAAAGTTAATCAAACCGAGGAGAACCAATCTTTGATCAATGCTGCTCAAAACTATTTGAGCACAGTGTCTTCTGCGAATTAATATTATTATCAACAAAATTATCTCAAAATTCAGAAAATTAAATGAAGCAATTCAATTCCTAAACTGATTAAATCCTCTTGAAAACATTTAATATTTTTATCCACAAATCGATTGTGCAAATTATTCGGTGTCATAATTATTTTATATCAAAAAAAAATTTACATATATTGTAATGGTGATCTTCTCAGGATATAAAATTGTCGATTTCATCAAATATTTGAATAAGTCTCAATACTCTAAAATCCAATTCAATTCATTTCAATGAAACTTTTAAAATTTCAATTGAAATAATTTAATTGTAATTATACAAAGAAAGGTCTATACAATAATTTACAATTTATTAATTTGAATTAAATGTGTAATCTACTGAAAAGTGTAGAATGAAATAAAATATTATCATTTATTATTGATTGCATATAAAATATTTAAATTTAATTCAAAACTGGTGATTTGCCAATATTGAAAATTGCTGCAAATGCTTTTACTGCTTTGTATTTTATCAAAACAATCGGAGAGAGGCTCATTAGAAAAGAAAATGCCAATTAATACACTAGAAATAGAGTCAAATGGGGATGGAAATTACGTTTTAAAGAATCCTCTCGATTCCAGTGAGAATTTCATTGATAATAAAAATATAATTAATGTAAGAACAGAAGGAATATCTTCAACACCTAGCAAATACTTCATGTCAAGCTCTATTCGATATTTTCATTCTGACGCAACACTAGTAACGATAGAAGAAAGAGCTTTTGAAAATTGCATTGAGTTATGTGAAGTAACAATTGGATCAGTGACATCAATAGGTGGAAGCGCATTTTTAAACTGCCAAAGTTTACAACATATAACACTCGATTACGACTGCACCATTGGACTTTCATCATTCACGAATTGCATAAATTTGATTAGCTTTTCTTGTCAAAATATTAATATACAAGCATTATCATTTTTTAATTGTTATTCACTTCAAACTTTCGATTTTACAAAAATTAATGGGAATATTTATGAATCATCTTTTGCAAATTGTACAAGCATAACAGAAGTCGAGACAAAAGCTACTACAATTCGCACAAAAGCATTTCAAAATTGCATCTCTTTAACAAAGTTTTCCGCAACTTCTGATCAAATAACTATTAATAATGAAGCATTTTCCAATTGTTCATTAGTATCTTTCAATGCAAAATCAGCAACTTTGGGACAGAACTGCTTTTCTTATAACAATTTCATAACAATCAATACAACAAATTGGACTTTTAATTTATATACAAGTGGCGTATTTTCATATTGTGAAAACCTTGAAACGGCTTATATTAATCACAACACCATTCCATATAACTTCTTTTCTGGATGTATTACGCTTAGACAAGTGACTCTTGCAAAACCAAATACTTATATTTATAATGATGCTTTCAATAGCTGTATTAAACTTAATGAAATTATCAATATCAATTATATTGCATATTTATATGCCAAAGCATTTTACAACTGCACTTCATTAACTGAATTTTCTTTTAATGAAGCTATTACGAGAATTCCATCACATGCTTTTACCAACCGTGAAAACCTTCAAACAGTTAATATGGTGAATACGATTACGACAATAGAAGAATTTGCTTTTGCAAATTGTTTTTCAATTCAAACTTTTTCATTTGCAAATTCTGTGGAAGCAATTGAACAGAATGCTTTCGAAAATTGCACAAATCTTCAATCTATTACTTTATCAAACGCACTCACTTCAATTGGCAAATCTGTATTCGCAAATTGTAAAATTTTGAGTTCAATAAATCTACCATCATCTATAACTAAAATTTCATCCAAACAATTTTTAAATTGTTCTGCCTTGATAAATATTCCTTTTATTCAAAACATACAAATTTTGGAAGAAGAAGCATTTGCAAATTGCATTTCATTAACTTCAATTATATTTCCTGCCCAAATTAATTCCATTCCAAATAAATGTTTTTCAGGCTGTTCTTTATTAGAAAAAATCATTTTTGAAGCAAACAATGTCACGATTAATTCCGAAGCATTTTATCAATGCACTTCTTTGAAGATATTACAATTCCCAAGTGAAGAAGTAACAATTTATAATGATGCTTTTTATGGAATTGCTATCACTTCGTTTAATTATAATGGAAATCTAATATCGAAGGGAAGACTTTTTGCGGGATGTAATCTTTTGACAGAAATTAACTTGAGAAAATGCACAATGACATCTACGCCATTCTCAGATAATGCAGAACTACAGAAAATTTCATTTGACATTGTTGAAGAAATACCGATGCATGCTTTTATTAGATGCCCAAAGCTAGCAGAATTAGTCATTCTCAATGAAAATGAACAAGTCAAAATATATGAAATGTCATTTTCTGGCTCACAACTAAGAAATATTACAATATGTAGCAAAATAATTCCAGATAATAATTATGCAGAAAAAGATTCATTTTCCTTATTTAATGGTTGCAATGATCTATCCATATTAAATATTAATGAATTCGTTTCAGATAGTAAAGTGACAATCCAAGCAGAAAATTTAGAATATCTCACAATTAGAAAATTTGTTTCAGTGGAAAGTGATTCATTTTACGCCGAATCAACGCTCAAATAAATAAAATTAGACAATGTTGCAAGTTTGAAATCATATGCTTTTTATAATTTCATTAATCTTGAAAGGATTGAATTACCTGATACATTATCAGATATTCAAGAAGGCGCATTCTTAAATTGTAGAAAACTCACCAATATAATATTACCTACAATAAATTCAATTCCACAATTCTTATTTCAAGACTGTGTATCTTTAGAAAGTTTCGAAATTAACATAAATATCCAAAGTATTGGCGAAGGAGCATTCAAAGGGTGTATATCACTTAAATCAATCACATTACCATCTCATTTTACAACAATTCCAAAGAATCTTTTCTTTAATTGTTCATCGTTGCATACATTCAATAAAATAGGTATTATTTCTGTAATCGAAGATCATGCATTTTCTTATTGCTCATCATTAAATAGTATTGCATTTACCAGCGATACAATAAATGTTGGAAGCAATGCATTTAGTAATTGTGTATTATTAAATAGTATTTCATTTGAATCACAGACAATTTCATTCCAAGAATATGCCTTTTCTAATTGTTCAAGCCTCGAATCAATAAATGGATTAAACTCAATAACACACATTGGGAATTTTGCCTTTTCATTCTGTAATTTCTTATCATTTGAAATGCAAACCGATATAGCAGAACTTGGTTACTATATATTTAATGGAACAGAAAGATTAGAAAGAATTTCAATTTCTAGTGCATCTCTTTCCATTTCTTATTCTACTTTTAAAAATATTCCTAATCTTAAAGAAATAAATATGAATTTCATATTTGGTGCGATCTATTCAGAAATGTTTATGGATTATGAAAAAATTACAACTGTTAATATTAAATCTGTTGAAACCTTAAAAGGATATTGTTTTTGTAATTGTAAATCACTAGAATCAATTAACATCCAAGAAGGCCTGAAAATAATTGGGGAATTCGCATTTGCTAATTGCACAAAATTAACAGCTATTAATTTTCCTTCAGAGATTAATTTAATTTCAAGTTTCGCATTTTATCATTGCGAATCATTAACAAGTTTCTCGTTTACCAATCAATTAGAATTAATAGGATACCATTCATTTGCAGGAACAAAATTAACATCAATTACATTTCCAGAATCTTTACAACGATTAGATAGAGGTGCATTCAAGGATTGTTTAAGTTTGGTTGAAGTTACGTTCCAAAGTTCAATCCAAACTTTTTCTAATGAAATATTCCAAAACTGTGCTTCTTTGAGAACAATTCAATTATCTGATCCAGATAGTTTGACATCAATTGAATCATATGCATTCTATGGTTGTTCTGTTCTTCCATTTGAGTTTGATTCCTTAGTTGGATTAGATTCAATCGGTGATTATGCATTTTATAACTGTGTTGCTTTGGAGAATCTTATATTTACACCAACAGTTCAAACAATTGGAAACTTTGCATTTTATGGATGTACTTCAATAGTTGATGCAACACTCCCTCAGAGACCAACAAGAATTGGAAACAATGCATTTCAAGGCTGCACTAAAATAGAAACTATCTCATTATCAATGTTCCAACCTACTATTGAATCATTTTGCTTTGCAAACAGAGGTATCAAATCATTATCAATTTATCCAGCAATTACAATTAAATCGAATGCATTTAATGGCTGTGACAAATTAATATCTGTTGAAGTTGGTGAACTTTGTATCATATGTAGATCTGCATTCAATAACTGCGAGAATATAAAAGTGTTATATTTAGGCGATAGATCAGAGTTATTCAACAATTGCTTTTATGGAAATAAAGCTATTTCTATATATTTCACAGGATCACATGATGCTAAAACAGAAAAAACAATTTTGGAGATCCAAAGAATTGTAAAAGAAGACTATATTTATGTTCAGGAAGAATATAACTTTTCAACATTTGCACGAGTACCTATAAAGAAACTTCACTATCGTATTTCTAATGGAATAAATGCTCCTGATAATGGCTTCAGTGGTTTCAGGTGCAGAGGTGATATCACTGTTGGAGTTGAATGTAAGGCAAAATTCAGCAATATTGGTTTAATTCCATTCTTATTGAAGGCTAATTTTGTTTAAATGAAATCATATTTTAAATATTTCTATCTTATTAAATGCTAAAATTCGGATTGTATTGATATTATTTTAGATTTTTTATATATTGGCTTCTATACCATATGAAGGGAACGTGTGTAGTTAGCTCTAAGAAGTGCATGTTAAATTTTTTGTTGGACTATCTAATTTTTCAAATTGCATTTTGCATTTCAAAATCAATTTTTGCATAACAGCAAGACATAATTACAAAAATCACTATAAGATGCAGACTTGTTAAGTTTATTTAGTAAATATTTAAGTAACTATTTCTATTAAGGCTCCACGTTCATGCATTCAATTTTGAGAGGGCATTCAATTTAGATTGTGCCTAAAAGCACACTTGTAGCCTCATAGGTTTGCTTTTGGAATGAACAGACACCTGATCCATCATCTACATGATGAGAGGGATCTATTGGTAGCACTCAAATTGAATAAATACCTAATTTGAAAAAACTTGGTTTTTTTCATCCAAAATCAATTTTGGAAAAAATTGAGATATTTACAACACGAATAAACATATTGTCGATCTGATGAGAGATTTGGTAATAGCAATATTAGGAGAATGCATTTATCAAATTATTTTTTACTGAAAACGAGTTTTTGTTAATCCCAAATCCGTCCACGCGCATATAAAATTAAAATATCCTTATTGTGATAGTGATGTCGGGGAAACAGCGCTTTCCGAAATCTACGCAGTAGATTTGCAATTTCCGAAAAAAACTGGTGTTTGGCGTTTAAAACAAGTAAAATATAAACTATATTATGCCAAATAATAATTAGAAGATTTAATTTAGTTTTTGTTTCTTTAGCGAATAAAATTTCTTCGAGTTTCTTTTTTGAATAAGAAATATTGGGTGAGAAAGTTTTTGCTTCCAAAATTGATTATGTTTTACAGAGTAGTTTGTGACCGCATGTGTAATATCTCATGATATTTGGCAAATCAAAAAATAAGAAATTTTGTTGACAATGTATGCATATTAACATAGAGGTATTGCTATATTTGAATTTAGAAATCATTTAAAGTTTATTGAGCTTGACAATAAAATATGCAAAATATATTATTAAAGTTCTTGTGAAAAATTGATAAGTTGCAACATAAGAAATTTGATTTTTAATTTATAATATCTATAATATGAAGATAATGAACATTCTATGTGTGTTGGTCGCGATTAAATACTGTCAAATCGATTTTTCCACCGCATCTGCTGTAGTGTAATGGCAAGAGCATACCATAACAAAACATGTTTTGGGGTTCATTTGTGGAAAGCGAAATTATTTTTTTCCGAATTGAAAATATCGAGAAGAGTTATAATACATTTTGACATATTTAAAACAAATGATGCATGTAAAATATTTGTTGCTTATCTTTTTTTGATATTGTGAATTTTTTGATTTTTTATTCTCTGAATTCAAAGTTCAGACAATATATTCTCAAATTATTATAGTTAACTTTCATATATAATATACTTGGTATAGGAAAGTACTCAAACAATTTTTATAATTTGCTCATATTTGAGTTGATCGACAGCATACTCAAATGACATTGAAACATAAATTTACAGATGATAAAGATATGAGATATGAGTTTTTTTTTCCCCTATATAAAACAATTTTTATTTAGATAAGGAACAATATAAATATGTATTGGAAATTGGTAAACAAATAGATGTGTGCACAGACAAAAAACAATTGCTTGCTCTAAGTGCACAAATAGATTATTTGGATTTACCAACATACATGGGATTTAGGCCTCACACTTATATTTTTTGTAACAAAAATGTTCTAAATGCCGAATACACTTCATATCGAAATATCCCTTATAAGATAAGGATTCCAAAGAACAAAAGTTTTCCAAATCTGAAGAGTAGATTGCCAGTTTCCTACAAAAACTGGAATTTGGCATTTATAAATGTTAACATGTAATGATGAGATCGGTTTTTGATTTGAAAATTTCTTAATTTCAATTATCTTCAATCAAAAGTTGATATGAAATAGATAATATTTTAAAATATATGAAGCATGTATTTGACTGATTTTTTATTAGTATAAGCAATATATTCTCATATTACTAATATATTCAAAAATCAAGAACTTTAGTATATAAATCATGTGAGTCACCGGATAGAAAATATGAGTGGTTCACACTGTTTCTTCATATTTACAAAAAACAGCCCTTGGGGGTGGGGCGCGATCAAATACTTGAAAATTAATTTTGGAGTCCATAAGTGCATAGTATAATGGTTAGAATTCCCTATAACAAATCCTGTTTTGAAGTTCATTTGCCGAACACAAAACTTTTTTTCGAAATCGAAATTATTTCAAAAAAATATATCTTATTTTTTGCTTTTTAAGATAGTCATTATACACAAAATATTAGTAAACTATTTTTATTTGAATTACTAAAACTTTCAATGCTATCAAAAGCTGATGGGAAAATTTATCCAAGGTACTCTTTCGGCTTGTAAGACAATGAAATAGCTTTGTATGGATTCAGAGCAAAATATGGCGTCGAAAATATTTAAAAATTATGATGGATATCATTTATTGAATCAAAAATTTACTGTAAGTGAAGAATTTTCATGCACAATTATAAGATAGTGTCCATATTTATTTGATCCAATACAAATATATGGCATGAATGTCTTCTGAATCCTTAATATTCGGTCTCTTTAACTTACCAAAGTATTACACGTTTTAGCCCTTAGTATATTTGCTTTATTTACCAAATATTGAAATGGACGTGAAAGTGCATTTCTTTTCTGCAAAATATCATTTAAAATTTTTGTGTTTGTGAAGGAACCACGAGTCTTAATAATGTATTTATAGTACCTTAATATGTTAATCAATTTGTTAAAGATTTCGTGCTAAATTTAGGAATTAATTGACAAGCATGTCATGAAGCTTTTTGTCAGAATGAATTAAATAAAGTGTAATAATCTGTAGGGTGAATGTATAAACATGCAACAATTCTTTAGGTAAGAAATCAAATATGATATAATATAATTTCGGGACTCAGTTGGCTAGGCTTGCCCGAAGGGCAAGCCTAGCCAACTTCGGCAAAATAAACATATTATGATTATAGGAAATGAGTTTATACAAATAAATTTAATTGTGAGTGATTAATATTATATTTTAAAGATTATTATGTAAAATATAAGATAGACTTTTAGCTAAATCGAAGTAATTTAGAGAACAATTTGTGATTTTAGAGATTTTTCAAATGTAATATTGAAAGCAAAGAATTTATTAAGAATTTGTTGTGAAATGAATACACTTCGGTAAGGCATTAGATTGACGTGATAATTGACAAAATTGGAGCTGAAGTTTGGTTCACAAATGAAGAATAGATCTAAGCTATATCAAAAAATTGTAATATATATGAAAATCTAATAGTTTTATTTAGTAATTTGATATCGATGCGATCATAGATATTGATTTGAGTATTAAATTCGAAATTTTGTAATTTAAAATGATATTTAGGAGCTGTAAAGCTAAAGACTAATTAAGTATATGATGACAAAGAACTTGCTAGAGATTAAAATCTAAAATTTTAGAATTTTTAAAATTAAATTGAAACTACATGAACATATTAAGAATCTTTTAAAGTATACTGGCACTCCAATAAGTCATTAGTCCAATGTGATGCATTAGAAGTTTGATTGAAAAGTCTGGTTAAGAAATGATGAAAATGTGAAATGAAAATAAAGCATTTCTCTCAATTTTTCAGACACTTTTTGCCTATCGTTTTCGAAGTGGCGCTTCGCGCCGCTAATAAAATTTTGAGAACAATTTTAGTTGTTTGTTCGGCAAAATTATTTTAACGAATTACGATTCATAATTTGTTGTAATATAATAATCTCTAATTGATTTTTGACTTTTGATAATAAATTATTAATAAATATTTTGAAAAGTCATTTTCTTCGCTATTTGATTGGCGCAAAGCACCAATCAAATAGTTCAGATTAAGAATATGATATTATTTCAAATATGATGAAAATTTTTGAGTGAAAACTATCAAAAATAAGTCTTAAAAAATACATTTTTAGAAATGGTTTTTGATTCTTAATCATTTTATGTTTCAGCAACAGACAATCACTATATATATATCATCTAGCGGCGCTACGCGCCGATAGATGAAGGAAAAAAAATCTTTTGGTAACTGATTCCTAAAGAAATTGAACTAATATGTAGTGCTGAGATATAAAAATAGTAAGTGTACTTAATTAAATTTTACAAAACAAATAAAAACATATAAAATTATTTGAATATCGAATCCAACTTTGCCTGGATATCATTGTTATTGTTGAAATCATCGTCAATTGAAGCTTCAACCTTTTTATCAGACATTTTCTTCTTCCACAAGTAAATAACAAGTCCAACGATGATTCCAATCAGAACAACAACAGCAGCGATGATTCCGATGATTGATCCAGTTGGCAAATTGCCATTGATGACTTTATCGGTAGAATTCGTGTCATCTGGATCATCTTTGTCTGCAAGCGTAATATCTCCATTAAAGAACTTGATTGTCTCATTGTTTTCAGAGAATGTCTGAACAGCAATGAAAACTTCAGTCAATTGCTTGTTTTCGTACAATTCAATGTCAGATTTCGTATTAAACCTGTTGCAGAAGCAGTATTTGGTAATAGAGCGCCCGCAAATGCATAATCTCGCATTTATCGTGTTGCTGCATGTAACTTTGGCCGTCCAATTGCTGTTTTCAGGAATACTCGCTCTGAAAAACTTGAAAACTCTTGGATACGAAGTTGTTAAGAAGGATTTGTTGACTTTGGCAAAAGGAGCTTCCGTTTGGCAGAAATAACCGAGATGGGAACTATCACAAATGCATTTCGTTCCTTGACACGTTCCTTGGCAGTTTTTAGGACATTCCGATTGAGTTAACTTTGTTACTTCACTGAAACATCCTGATATTGCCAAGGAATAGCTAATTTGGAATGTTGATCCGTCGAGATTAAATTCGTTGGAGAAAACATGGAGTTTGTATTGTCCAACGGCTGGATTTTGGACAATAATTCTTTCTGTTGTAGAAGCTCTTTCTTCTGAGAAGTTTGCGAGGTCATTTCCGACATATTTCAAAGAATCCTTTTCTAAATAAATAGAAATGTCCGCGTAAAGTGGATAATTTGCATCTACTGGTGCATCAGTGTATGACATAGTGATACTTAGGTTCTGGGAAGAATTTGTTATCATTATCGAGTAAACATGCGAAGAATCGCTGGCAATATTAACATTATCAACGAAATAAACTGATGGAGTATCAGATTCTAATGGTTTCCTTTGATATCTCATAATATTTTCTTCATCTTCAGAAATTTCTCCATTTTCTGAGAGTAACCGTTTTGAGTTTGATGTAGATGAATGGATTCCGAACGATTTCGAAAGGTTTGGAATTCCATATCCTGAAATCGTCGAAGAAACGCTTGAAATCGATGGAATCTGGACAGCTCCATTAGCAAGTACCGCTTTTATCAACGCTGACGAAGGAGTTATGGCTTTTGAGTCATATTTGGACTCCATAAAGTATTGTCTTATCAAAGAAGCAGCTCCGCTTATCAATGCCACTGACATTGATGTTCCTGACCTCGCTGTCAGTGCAGAAAAGCTATTTCCTGTTGCTCCGGGCAATCCAGAAATTATATTTTCTCCTGGAGCTACAATTTCAGGTTTTGCAATGCCATTCTTTGTTGGTCCTCTACAAGAGTTCTGGTACATGCTAATTGTTGTCAAATTAGATGTTTTTATGGTTAATGTAACTGATGAAAAAGTTTTCAACGTAGAAACATCATTAGAATTAATTTCAACAGCGGCAATTGCATTGTTCTGTGCCGTTTGACAGAAAGAACCTGAATAAACAAATAATCTCGAGTTTGCTGTAATTGCAGCTTCTAAATCTGAACAAACATCAGTATTTTCAGAGATACAAACACCATCTGCAGCAGTAGTTGATATTTGAAGGTCTTTATAGCTGACTAAAGGAGAATCTCTCGTTAAAAGTGGAATTGAATGTGATGGAACCGATTGAACAGGAATTGAATGGGTTCCATCGGTCAAAAAGTAACTTATTTGGCCGTTCTCTATGTTTGCGATGCTTGGAGCGGAAGAAGCTCCTACCGTTAAAACATTTTTGGAATCTCCTGGAGAATTGATTGAAACAGAGCCTCCATTGTTACCTGCAGAGAAAGTAAACAAAATATTTTGGTTCTGATAAGCTATATTATCGTAATATTGCGTTAGTTCTGGAAAATATTCCGAATATCCCCAACTGTTTGAAGAAATGCCAGAACCGAGCTCCTTCATTGTTTGTAAATAGAACGGGAGGTTTTCTGTGGATTTTGTATCAAGAAGATTGATATCAACAAAATAAATTTTTGATTTCGGAGCAATTCCGTTGTATAAGCTCGTAACTGATGTAGTAGTTTGTGATTCGCCAGAAGATATCGTAGACGTGTGGGTTCCGTGTCCTGTTGTTGTATCAATTGTAGATGTTGGTAATTTATCAATTCTAACAATTTTTCTGTGGTTTAAATTAGTTTGGTTGATCGATCCATCAATAGGATTTGCAGAATCTGTTAATAAATCATGGTTATAATCTAATAATTTATCAACAAATGTAATTATTTGATCTTTGCCATTGATATTGTCTTGGTTGAGAGTTTTAGGTACAACGTAGCTGGTAGCATCAATGTAACTGAGTTCATTCTTTCCACTTTGAATATATCCCGTAGAATAGCGATTATGGAATTCTCTGTAAGGCACATAGCGGCAGGATAGTACGCATTCATCATCTTTAAGTGTTTCAACGTTTTCGATTGAATTTATAAGAAAAATATTTTTTGCCAATTTTGAAAAAGAATTTTTTGGATTCCAACTATCGCATGCTTTGACAACTGCTGGGTAATTTGAATAATTGCAGCTTATATCTTTCTCGGCATGAATAATTTCGAGATTTTTGTGTTTTTTAAGATGATTATATACTTTTTCTGACAAATAAGCGAGGTAAAGATCTGGTGCTTGTTGATTCTCATATGAAAATATATCCGAAATGTTTGGAATTGAAAGTTTTTTCTTTGAATTTAAATTTATTTCGTCTAATATATGGATATAATGCCAACCGCTACTAGAAGAGGATGAAAGGAGCTTCCTTGCACCTTTTTCAATGTTAGGAAACACCCTACGTAAAAATACAAAATAAAAAAACATCAAAATTTTGAAATTGTCACTTTTTCAAGGATGATTTCTTCGTTATTTCAATTTACCTTACATCATTTTTACAATTTCAGTTGCTTACCATATTTACAAATATTTTATGAACAAATATCATCCGATCAATAATCTGCCATGAAATCTCGTTGTTGAGAAGATCGTAATTCTAGGAATTATTCAAGATTAGAATTCGCTTGGTATAACACATAAAAATTCATGTCAATTGAATCGTGATTTTCAACTATTAATCTTCCCAAATTAAAAATTTCATCTCACAGAAGGAGTATTAACGTATAGACTAGTTTATACAAATAAGTTTATGTGTTTATGTTCAATTCGACAATTATCCTTCTTAATTCGCATCTTCGTTTAGTCGAAAACTCAAGATAGTGAAAGTTTTTTTCATGATAATTTTTCAGCAACCATACTATGTGATATAGTAAAGTTAGGAGGATAGATCTCCGTTACTATATAGCTCATCTATACGTGTCAAAAAAGCACTGTCATAATTAAAAAATATATGATCTGGATGGAAAATAAAAAGACTTTTTTTTATTCAATATTGTAAGCTTCTTGATTACTGTCTTATTGATGTAAATTTTAAATAACCATCACAATGATTCTGCTTTAATGTAATTTACTACTACATTTGATTTCTAAATCCCGAATTTGATAAAACAGGATGACTTCCGGTTTTTTGATAGGTTTACTCACTTCACAATCTCATATCAGGGCATAGTCACATAACCTATACCACAAGCTACACAAGCAAAGTGAAAACAGTAACTCTAATGGAAGAAGGCAAATGTGAGAAAGCAAATTCAAATTCCAAAATTAATGATTGTTAATTCATGTACTATTGAGATAAAAAACTCGCTAAAAAGTCAATAAATTATCTTTCTTGCATGCATAATAACAATTCTACGAGATAAATAACTGATCAAATTTTAAAAATATATATTTTCCAGGATTTATTTAAAAATTGTTTTTGACAATAGTTGTACTAATATAGTCGATCATTAAATAGCCATCATCATAAGACGGAGTCCCATAAAGTTTTTGAGTGGTTTACATTTTGATTCAATTTGATGATGTATTCCAACAAAAGGCACCAAGGGATCTCAGGCAAGGAGAACCACTCACGTCTACAACAAGGTGTGAGATCCCTGGATAAGCAACGCATTCCCTCTGATCTTGAAAATTCAACAGCTTATAATGAACTTGTTAACCACAGGAAGTTCACGCATGCAGTCATGAAGGTTATTGCTGTCAAAGGCGGCAACTACTTAGCAATGCGTTTTGACACGGAAGCTGAAAGAAAAATGATCAGAGCTCCTCCAGAGGTTGCTCGGAGGAAGGGCAGCGCAGTTTGTTATTTTCAACAAGAGACACAGGATGAAGACTCCATGTTTTCATTCTTCTTGTTTGAATAACTGATGGGCTGACTGACGCTATTTGTCCTGGAATGGAAGGCTATTGGAGGGTGAGTTTCAATGTTTCGAATTGGAGACCATTATTCCGGATAAGAAAGTCCTAGCGCTCCCACCACTGAGCGGAATTGGCCACCCGTTCAGTGCGGGGAGGCTGTACTTTCTTGCCTGGAATAATCCCGAAGAGGGCCGGTCACCTCGGAGGGGCATTGAAGCCACTCTCACTAGTCGTCTTTCCTGAGGGGAAGTAGCGTTCTTATCTTCAAATTTCAAGGAATTTGAATAAAAACCGTCAAAGTTTTAAATTTTTATCTTTTTTTTATACTGATTTTTCTATTCTTATGAAATAGCTCAATATCCTCTTTGATAAGACTATAGGTAAAATAAGATATAAGAAGATTTTACTTTTAATCTTTAAAGGTTCTTCTTTGAAATTGGGAACAGGACAAATTTGCCACACGGCACTTTTTTTAAAAAAAATTAATGGAGCGGAGCGATACTCTGCTGCAGGAGCCCCAAGGCTCCCAATCATTACGAAAGGGAGCCTCAGGGCTCCTGAGAATCCATCAGCAGAGGCCTTTTCATTTGGCCTCTGCTGATCAAAGATTCGGCGAAGCCATTCTTCGTCTCAGGAGCCCCAAGGCTCCCAATCATTACGAAAGGGAGCCTCAGGGCTCCTGAGAATCCATCAGCAGAGGCCTTTTCATTTGGCCTCTGCTGATCAAAGATTCGGCGAAGCCATTCTTCGTCTCAGGAGCCCCAAGGCTCCCAATCATTACGAAAGGGAGCCTCAGGGCTCCTGAGAAACCTCTTTGAGAAGGTTTTCTTTAAGAAAACCTTCTCAAAGATGATTGTCAGCATTCACTCAAAATCTACCAAGAGTTTCAAAGTTTCAAATCTATCTGAAATGAAGCTTTGAATCTCTTGTATATCTAATTGTAGAGGTACCTTTTCAAAATGTCTTCTATTGATTAAATTTAATCAGTAAAAGTCATTTTGAAAAGGTACATCTCTATAATTGCTATTGAGCATTCACTCTTGGAACCTTGGAGCTCTTGTGTAGTGCATGAAAACTCCAAGATTCTAGCATAAAACATATATCATAGACATAATTTCTTCAAATATAATTTAAGGTTATTTTTTAAAAAATAGAAAAGCGTAATTTAAGGTTATTGAAAAGTGACATTTGGCAAATTTGTCCCGCACTCCTTTGAAATTCGATTTTCATGCATCAAACAAGGTCTAAAATAAGAAAGTTTTGTTTGATTGAAGCATACAAGTGTAAATAAATGAAGTTTTGATGATTATCTTCTGATTACGGATTTTGTTTATGGCATCAATATAGAAAATCATATGACGCATATGATGTTCAAAAAGTTTTTAAAAATCTTATTAAAATTAATAAAAATATACAAACAAATTTAGAAATTAAACAGCAATAAACAAAATGAAACCTAAAATAACAAAACTAGCCATCATGAACTTTAAGATTCGCCTGGCAAAGCATGGCCTCTTCTTATGGTTGCAAAAATAAATTGGTAATCCTGAAATAGGGCAAATTGAAACACCAATGTAAGAAAGTATATCCTTAAGAAGATTCTTGTTATATCTGAAACCATGTCTATGTCTTCTGTGATGAGAATGCTCACCTCCATCGAAAATGAATTCGATGGAAAATCCATCGGGTAATGGGTGATTCAAGACTAAAACCTTTCCATCTTTTGTTTGATATACATATGATGTATTGACAGCAATTTCTGGAGCTGGAACATCAAATTGTTTCAATGAATGGTTTTCAAATGGAGATGGAACAATATAATCACATTCAATAGATGATTCACATGAAAAGTCATCATATGGATTAATTGATTTCATCTTCAATTCTTTTTTGGAATCTTTTTTCTTTCGATAACCATCATTGATTCTGAAGGATTCACAATTGAGGCTTGATGAATAAGGTTCGACTATATTTTCAGAGTTCAAATAATATTCCTGCATTGAGAAATTTTGCATAAAATCAATTTATAATTGTGAGGAAGTTTATGAAAAATATTTGTGGATAAAATAGATTATAATATTATATAGATTATTTTTAATTTGAAAGCTATGATAATTTATTTGAAATTTGAAACAATAGATTTGTCAGATTGGTCAAAACGCGCTCTCAAATATTTTGAATGCTTATGGCTTTTTTACGACTTGATTATCGTTATGTGTTAATCAATATTTATAATAATTGCATTTTGTGTTTTGATAGAACTCATAGAATATTTTTCATAAACAAAATTTGAGATGGAAAAACTTTAACTGAGTTTCCTCAATTTAATTCCCATTTGTAGATTTGTGTACTATTGATTATATGCATATTCTATTAACTTTAATTTTCAATATTTTACACGACGATTGTCGTTCAAATGGAAAAACGAAATGTGCAAATTATTGCTATCTAATCCATTAGTTCATGTGTGCAAATATACGCATGGGTTTAAATAAACAGAATGTAAAACACTCTTGATTTTGGCATTTACAATGAGATTAGGCGAACCTAAATGTGCTCTAGATCATAATATTGATTTTATAGCTTATTAATGTCAAAAGAATGCAATCTGGAACAAAAAACAAATATTTTTATTTAAATCTATCAAAACATCATAAATTGGAATCGATTTCCTATAATATTCCTCTTTGTTTAGAGAGTTAAACACAAGATAATATCAAAAATGCAATACATATGATTTATTGGGGTCCTTTATTTTAAAACAGGGGGTAACTAATGCCTCCTTCATCCAAACTCCGCTCAGGCATTCTTATATGGATGACTATACCAGTTCTAGTTATTTTTATATTTTTGGCATCTACAAAACCAAAAAGTCCAACAAAAGTTAAAGAAAATCGCAAAATTTACATTCCGAAGAAGCCAATCTGGAAATTAGGCGAAAATCCTCCTCCTCAGAAACTATCAAATAGTAGTGCAAACGAAAAGCTTTATGTTATGATCATAGATAGCGAATATGAATCAAATCCTTACCATTGTATAATGAAAAATCAATGGGTGGATAAATTCATCAAGAATCCGAAAGTTGATGGTGTAGAAATGTATTCAGTAAATGCATGGACTAACCAAGAATGTAATCTTTCGTCAATTACAATTCCCGAAATCCCCAAACAAAAAATAAATCCAAGCGCTTACTTGCTATATAATGCTCTTAGCATGACATTAAATAGAACAGATGCAGGATGGATCTTTATCATAGGAGATGCTGCATATATCCATGTTGATCGATTCTTTGAATGGGTTTCTAGGATTATGAATTCGCACAACCCTGAGTATGAAATATTTATGACTGGAAGTTGCGTTGAAGAACGATATTTCTTCCAAATGCTTTTAACTAGTTCTGGAATTTTAATCTCAAGGAAATTTGCAGAGAATTTAGTTAAATCAGGTAGTGATAGTCTATGGTATGTTTCCTATTCAGTTGGAATCACTTCTGATGAAATATTAGCCAAGATATCTGACAAATTAGGTCAATATATACCAGGAACGCAAACATCTGTTCTTGTTGGACGTGGATTTACAGATAAACTTCATTATGAATTACTCACTGAAAAGCAATTTGATTCTCTTCCAAAATGCAAGATTCCTGAAGAATATCTCAACTCAGTTCCAGGAGAATTGAGTTTATGTATTTCTCAAATACTTAAATTCAATCAAATTATTAGTTGGTCAGGTACTTACCAGATAGGAAAGCTTGAGTTCCTTAAAAACGCAGAGAAAATGATGAACAATAACCCTGATGACCTTGGTTACTATTGGGATCGTCTATATTTAGCTCTTTGTAAGCTTTAATTCAATTTTTTTGAAAATAGAAAACAGATACAAAATGTTCTTTTAATATCCGTATCTTGAACATTTTACGACCCGCCGAGCTTGATATTTTATCATTTGTATATTTTTGTTTGGAAAAACTGATGATAGTTTTTTTGTATCTTGATATTAGTTCGATTTCTTAAAAAAAAATGAATTGGACATCTGACGAAAAATGCTATCACAAGCTTGACAGCATTACACTACTATTGTCACTTTGTTTTGTATGATATTTAATATCCTATGACTAAATGTTTGTTTTAGATAAGTTCATTTTTGAAAAATAAAATGACAAAGATATACAGAGGAGAACACACCCTCTATTGATTTTACAAGAAAGGCATTGTAATATCGGTGTTGGATTTTTTTTTATGGTTCAAATAACGAAATCATGCAGAGAATTAAAGCGTGTTGGCATTCTTACAGAATATGGACGATTGAACATCAATATCAATGGACGAATAATCAAAACAAAGAAATCTTCCGCAGTTTGTTTTTCAGATTTAATACAAGAAAAGTGCATTATTAATAAATCGATATCATCGTTTGAGGCAAATCTAGATCTCAAATGTAAAGATTCAATTGACATACTTTCAGAGTTTCTTGAAACAGGAAAACTTGAATTTGAAGAAGATGAACCACATTATCATGATTTGTTTGAAATTGGAAAACATTTTGGAAATCAAATATTCATACAAATATATTCAGAACATGTTAAATTAGACAAAACTATTACAAAAGAAAACGTTTTTCAAAAATATGAAATTTCAGTTTTAGAAAATGATATTATAACAGAAAACGAATGCATTAGATTCATTTCATCACATTTATATTGTTTAGATGACAATGAAATCATTGAACATTTCGCAAAAAATGGCTATGAATTTTGTGAAAAAATCATTACCTCTGATGAATTAAAGATCGACAACGAAGATCATCTATCTTTGTTACTTTTATCAATCTGCAATATAAATGATACATTCTTTGATTTATTTAGATACATCAAATTGGCATTTTGTACAAGAGAAATTTATGACACAATTTATAACTTTTGTATTGAACATTCATTCGAAAGAGTTCTTCTCCCTATATATAACGAAACATTAAAGAATTATCATTCAATTCTCAGAGAAAATGTTGAAATCTCAAATGGGCCTATTTCATTATTCGAAAAACCTTTAATTAAAAATCAATTTACAATATCAATTAACTCTTTTGATGTTGATGGGGCTAAGTTAGTAGATTATAAAGAAATTAAAATGGAATTTACAGCTTCATCTGTTGCAGATGGAAGTTTATCAGATATAAATTCTTATAGAAATGATGTTGATTTCTATACTAATGATTTGCCTAATTCTTGGATAAAAGCTGATCTAAAAGGATATAAATTAAAACCAACAAATTATATGTTACAATCTAGAGTAACTGATAATAAGTATTTATTGAGAAGATGGAAGTTAGAAGGAATCAAAGAAGATGGAACAACTGTTGTATTAGATAATGATAAATATTATGAATTTAAGAGGTCTGAAATCAAAGAATTTCCACTTCAAACAAACGAATATTTTGTATCATTCAAATTAACACAAACAGGAAAGACTTCAAGTGGTCATGATTATTTGCAAATTCTTATTTTTGATTTCAAAGGTCAATTAATAAAAATTTAATTATCTTTGAATATTTATATCTCATCCAAACTGTCATTAAAATAAAAAAAAATTATTTTTCTTCATTGAGATTCAATCTGCTGCAGCTTCGATGAAATTTCTTGCTGTATCTTCTCTTTCTTCTGGGAAAATTAATTTGCCATCGATTTCCTTTGGTATTTAGCATCTCTATATCTAGATGTAACATATGCGTAGTTAGCGCATAATAATTGTATAGATGATATACTGATTTAATGGAATTTATTAAAAGCATTTTCTAAATTTTCATTTTTGCCGAACAATATTTTGAAGATTTAAGTGAGAAACAAAATTTATGAATATATCAACAGTTAGTATTTTAGAATTTTTAATTTCGAAAGTGAGAAAAAAAATTCAAAAAAATGGGAATCAGCTCGACTAGGAAAACTATTCAGCTTTTGATTGTCATTTTATCATGCATTCTTTCAGTTTTGATTAGGCTTTTCTCAAATGTCATCAATGAGCCAATCATTCACGAATTTGATCCTCATTTCAACTGGAGATGCTCACAATACATCGACCAGCATGGTTTTTATGAATTTTTAGGTTGGTACGATAATATTTCATGGTATCCACAAGGCCGTCCTGTTGGTGAAACATCATATCCTGGCCTTATGTACACATCAGTACTTTTCAAGCGTGTTCTTGATTACTTCCACATCAAGATCCCATTACTTTATATCTGTGTTCACATGGGTCCAATTTTTGCTACATTAACATGTTTACTTTCATTTTTATTCGGACAATTGATCTATGACTCATCACTTGGCTGTGTTTTCTCATTCTTAGCTTCATTCATTACAGGCTTTATTTCACGTTCCGTTGCCGGATCCTACGATTATGAGTGCATTGCTCTTTTCATTATGTTACTTGCCCTGTTCTCCTTTGTTTATGCACTTAAGAACGCCTCCATCTTATTGTCCATCTTCTCCGCCTTCTCATTTGCTTACATGGCCCTCACATGGGGTGGATATGTTTTTGTTGCTAACGCCATTCCACTTTTCACCGTTGGACTTATTGCCATTGGCCGTTATTCATGGCGCTTACACGTTACCTACAGCATTTGGTCGATCGTCAGCTTAATTTTGATTGTCCAGATTCCATTCATTCACGAGAAGATTCTTTCCAAGCCAGAGCACTTTGCTATGATTGCTACTCTTTTCGGCATCCAAGTTTGGGGCTTCTTTACCTTTATCCATGACAAATTTACCTCAAAAACATTCACAACCATCACTGTCCTTTTACTTTGCATGCTTCCATTGAGTTTCTTCGTGATCACCATCCTCCTTTCTACTGGTCTTGTTGGCGACTTTTCCGGCCGTCTTCTTCTTATGTTTGATCCAAGTTATGCCACTAAAAACATTCCAATCATTGCATCAGTTGCCGAACACCAGCCATCCTCGTGGTCCTCGTACTTCATGGAATGCGCCTTCTTCATGTCATTGTTCCCTGCTGGCTGTTATTTCGTAATTAAAGATCAAATTACGATCAAAAACTTCCAAAAGACTGAAGCCTCGATGCTTCTTCTTATCTACGGTCTTTCCACACTCTACTTCGGTTCCATCATGGTCCGTCTTGTCCTTGTTTTCTCTCCTGCATGTGTCTACATCGGCGGCATTGCCATGCACTCGATTATCAAGATTGCAATGAGAAAGAGACAGATGATTGGCTACTTGGCTGTCACATCACTTGGCATGATTTCATTGTTCTCTTTGTATCACTCTGTATGGTTAGCCTGCTTCAGTTATTCATCAGACCACATCCACTTCTGGGTGACTACTCCTCGCGGACAGGAATCATCAGATGATTACAGAGAAGGATACAGATGGTTGTGGGAGAATACACACAGAGATGACAAAGTAATGAGTTGGTGGGACTATGGCTATCAGATCACTTCAATGGGTGGTCGCGGCTGTATGGCTGATGGTAACACGAACAACTTCACTCACATCGGTATCATTGGCATGACAATGGGATCTCCTGAACCTGTATCATGGAGATTGGCGAGAATGATGAACATGAAGTACTTGTTGGTCATTTTCGGAGGTGCTTCTGGATACGATGGTGATGATATCAACAAGTTCATGTGGATGCCAAAGATCGCTAACCAGACATTCCACAACATCTCTGGTTCAATGTTCCAGAAGAAGGAAGGATATCCAATTGTTGGCCAGATACAGACAGATAATATGACTCACTCAATGATGTTTAAGATGTGCTACTACAACTTCAAGGATTATCAGATTCAACCTGGATTACGTAACTACGATATTGCAAGAAAAACTGCTATTGTTGAAGGTTTGGACTTCAAGTTTAAGTTGTTTGAAGAAGCTTTCTCTTCTAAGAACTGGATTGTTAGAATCTACAAGGTTTTGCCTGATCCTCAATGGAACAGGGTTTACTAAACATACACAACATAATTTTTATAATTACTTTTTATTTTCTATAATTATTGAGATTGAGCAAATATAGTGAATGATTCCTTTGCAAACACACATTTCTCATTCCCTTTCTTTTTCCGTCTTTTTCCTTCTTTCTCTTTCTTTTTACTTCTTTTTCCCTCTTTCTTTTTCTTTCTTTTTCCTTCTTTCCCTTTCTTTCGATATCTTTCTTTCTTGTTTTCATTTCCTTTCTTTATCATTTTCTCATATGTAATTTTGGCTGTATGAAACCGATTTCATTTTCATTGTTTGGTCAAGAAAGATTTTCTAGTTTTTGATTTAGAGCAGAAAAGTAATGAATAGAATCCATAAAATTTTTAAAAATATTCATTGAATATAAACAATTACATTTTACAATATTTTTGGGATAATTATTGTACTAAGAAGTACTTTTCTGTCAAAGATATACCAAAACATAATATAACAGTATTAATAACCTATGGTATTTCGTTGATTTATGGTCAACGAAAGTCAAATAAAAATTATATAAAAATTATATAACAAAATTCTAAATAAAATCAATATAAATAACAAACATATGCATTATAATCAATTCTCGGTCTGAATTTGGACGATATCTTCAGATGTTTCAAGAGATGGAAAAGCATCGATTTTTGGAGCGGAACCATCTGATTCTGATGAGATCATTGAGTATCCTGTGTGTGAGTTTGTCTGGAAAAAGATGAGAATATAGCAAACAATGAAGATATTCGCTGCTCCATAAGATAATGTTCTGGAAATAGGGAATCTGATAGCACGAGAAACACCTCTGTAGTCCTGATCGCTGAATGAAAGGAAATTCGCAAGAAACTCGAAGATTAAACTGTAAATTAGCCGTTTTGGATAAGGTCTCTTGACTCTGCTGAATGCGAGTAAAGAAATAGCAATAGAAATTGCTGCATAAGCGTAACTGACAGCAACTAATATAGTATTGCATAAAAATTCATTATCAAAATTATTAAAACCGAAAATGATTTCAATTATAGAATAAATGGCGAATAACACTATTAACAGTACATTTTGGACTGTGTTATTTGAATCTGGCTTTTGATCTTCGAGTTGAATTTCGGATGCAATGAAATAGCGTAATAAAGAGACCATTATTGATGTAGCAATAAATGGTATGTATGTGCTATACTTTTCGTTCAAGAATAATGAATAAGGAATGAAAGCCAGCGTAGATATGAAGCCAAGAATTGGAAGAGTAATTTTTGTGAATAAATCTGTTGATGGGATGGATCTAATTATGAAATTAAGTGTAAGTGCAGCTGTTAAAATCGAAATTGAAACTTGTAAAAATGTTGTTACGCGAGGTGATGGATCTGTATCAAATGCATAGAAGAGATGGACACCATTGAAGCTTCTGAAATTAAATTTGAGTATTAAATGGAGATTTATTGCTGTAAATGAAGAATTCAGAATTATATCAGACAAATACAGATTTTTCGATAATATATTGGAGCTAAAGTTGAAGTAATCTTGCTTCATAGGTGCATTATATGAGCTGATAGATGTTTTATTGTTGAAAAATGTAGTTGAGTAAGAATAACGAATTGGAACTTTTTCTACTAAAGCATACTTTGCAGAAAGCTCACCTGCTATCCATACAATAAGTTTGCGATGTAGTTTAGTGAACTTGTCAATTTGGATGTCGAGATGAAGAAATGAATAATTTAAATCAGGTGAGCAACGATGGAATTTTCGATATTCAACTGTATTTGCAGAACGAAAGATTATGAAATATAATAAGCATGAGAAAAGAATTACTAATTGAGGAAAATTAATTTGCTCTAAAAGGAATTGAGTAGTTGGGATGTGCGGTAACTTAGATGGGGCCTCTTCTAGAGTGGTTTCGTTCTCTGTATTCATAATCATTCCTAATAAAATAAGTCCAAAAAAAATTAACTTTTGAAAATTATCAAAAAACGGTTATACGCGCTCCCTACGTAATGTTATTGGACTATTTGAATAGAAATTTTGTTATATACTCTTTCTATGAGAGATCTATCCGGAATATCATTAAAAAAAAGAAGTTGTAAAATTTGATATCAACATTATATACAGTTGAAGGCATTATATAAACTAAAACATGTTTCAATGTTTTTGTCGGTATAATGAATGAATATATGCAAGAAAAACTAAGATTATCACAGAAATTTCTATTCATTGTCTGATACAAGCATAAAAAGGGATATTTTAAGGCAATAACTTTTTTATTTGCACCATGAGAAATGAGAACTTCAGCAGTTTCGTTGTTGTTATTTTCTTGTGCATATTGAATAGCAGTCTTTAGGGTTGTTAGATTCCCGACGATAGGTGTCTTGGAAGATTTGCCTGGTGTCATCATAGTGTCTTTAAATCAAAAATTTTATTTTGGAGTTAGTTTTATTGATTTTTCAATAAAAAACATTTCTAAAACAAGAAAATAAAACGATAAAATATTTATATTTTATATAAGGATCTTATATATTTAAAATAAATATCATTTTATTTTTTTCATTGGTGTCTGTCAAACCATAATACACTATTCAAAAATTCAATGTGTCTTGCGGTTTCAAAAGACACCTTCAAATTGAACGATAGCACAGACACTATTGAATTTTACCCATTGTATTTAGTTTTTACCCTTTTTATTTTTAAGAATTAATGACTGAAACAGCCGTTTTGCTTAAAGTTCATTAAGAGAAAAACAATTCTTCTTCTTCAATCTATTGGCGCATTTATTTCTACACGCCAATAAGGAAGGGAAAATTATAAGACACCATGGTGTCTTCAAAACGCTAATTTTTGATATTTTTAACAACCCTAGCAGTCTTGTTTTCATTATCCAAAATATTGATGTCTGCACCATGTGTGATGAGGTATTCTGCAACTTTTGAATTGTTTTTAATGGCTGCTACGTGAAGAGCAGTTCTTCCTTCGTTATCTTTAGCATTTATATCAGCTCCATGAGCAAGAAGTAAATCCAATATTTCCATTCGACTCCAATATGATTCATAATGGACAGGAGTTTTTCCTTCATTATTTTTCGCATTGACATCAATCTCATGTGAAAGAATAATTTTCATTACGTTAACACAGCTATTTAAAACAGCATAATGAAGTGGAGTGTTTCCATGATCATCTTTTTCAGTGAGATCTGCTCCCTTAGAAATGAGAATTTCTGCAACATTCGGACTATCAAAATAAGCAGCATAATGAATAAGTGATTTTTTGGCATAATCTTTATGAGTAAGATCAGCGCCCTTAGAAAAAAGATATTCTAGAATTATAGTTGAATCGATTTGAGTTGCTCTATTAAGAGCTGTTGCTTCAAATTCTACTTGAGCATTTATATCTGCACCATGATTTAGTAAATATTCGCATAATGAAGGATTATGAAAACCAGGAGAATAGAAAAGACATTTATTGATTTCTTTTGTCTGATCCAAATAAACGAAGAAAGCTTCGTAATTTATTGTTGCTGTGCAGGTATCCAAATCAATTTCTAAATTGAAATTATTCATCAAATAAATCACGAAATCGAGGTTATGTGAAAGAATTGCATATTTCATTGTATCTTCATCTGGTTTAATATACTTAAAGCATTCATTCAAGATTTCTGGATTATCACTAAAGAATGCAAGTTCAACGCATTCTTTGGTAATTTCTACATCAAATTTCGATCTGAAACATCTGAAACAATCTAAAGCGCCATGATGACAGCATAATTCAAGTATTGTGTATCCTGTGTCTGCATATGGATATAAATCATGGATAAGCTTTTTGTCTTTATCAAATCCGTCTTCTTCTATGAATCTTGCAAATGATTTCACGTTATTATCCATAATTGCCTTGTAAATTGTGTTTTCTTCATGAAAATCTAACTCATCTATAGTACTATCATTGTAAAGAAATAGTTTAATAGGCTCTGTAGTATTTTTTCCTGTATTTATCAAATATTCTAAGTCAAGTTTTTGAAAAATGTACCAGTATGATTTGATATAGCGGTTTCTGAATTTTGCTACTCTTCCTATCATTTCGAGTACAGTATCTGGTGGAAGCTGTTTTGTTTCAATTACTTTGAATTTTAAATCTTGGTATATCTTTTCGAGAACCTCTTCATCAGCTGTATTGAGCTTATATAAAGCATTGATTGAAGAAATTATATCGCTAAATGCATTCATTAGCTCATTAAAATCGGGGATATTCATATTACTTTGTGGAATTTTTATTTATAGGTTAATCAAATACATATATTGATTATGTTTATTCAAGAAATTACAAACAAATTAAAAAAAAAGTTAAAAAATTATCCGAAATCAGTAGTAAGTGTTCTGTCAAGATCCAGTCTCTCAAGAAACACTTTTGTACGTTTTCTCCAGTAAAGTGCATAAACAACAGCCGGAGTTAACACTAAAATGCCGGCACAAATACTTATTACAAGAATATGACGTCTTCCGAAGTGTATTCCTTTCTTAACTTCACAAGCATTAAATAACTTGAAGGATAATACACTTCCTTTGATTTCTTGGATTGTATCAGTTATTTTAAGAATTGATTCGTTGTAGTTTGAAATATTTATTTTTGGTTGGTAGAAATAACACTGTGAAACATAGAGAGGAGCACTTTCCATTGATAAACTAAATAATTGTGGAGAGTTGTGAGGAATATCTTTAAAAATTGTTTTAGATACCAATAAATCACTTCCACTGTTTGTTTCATAGATAAATACTGAGCTTAGACAGTTGATATTTTCGAAATTACAATTCAAAATATGACTTATTAACGTTTTCGTCCTGACAGAGTTAAATAATATGAGATGAGTGGTTGCCCTGTTATTTGAAGCATTGACTTCTTTCAAAGTCGTATCTTGACAGTCAAATTCGAAAAATCTTTGGCCAAATGAGTCAAAAACCGAAGTTTGATTAAAAACGGAGACAACGCCATACCTCAGATATCCTATTTTAACTCCTTGGCAATTTGAAATACAACATTTTGACATAATTGTATTTCTTGCGTGATCTGTGAGAAAAGCAGCTTCACCGTAGTAGTCAGACCTTACAGATGATGTTAGATATTGAAAAGAGCAGCTTTCTATTGTTACATTGTCACATCTGTAAGTAACTATTGCAGGAGCCGTGGAATTTTCGTATAAATATAAGAAATTGCATTCAATGATGTCCACAGTAGGATACATCATTAATGTTTTTATTGGAGCGTTGATTTCTTGCTTAATTACGGAAAAATTTTCTAATTTTGGCGGATCACATTTATCCAATTTGAATTTGTAATTGTTTAGATGTGCATTGAGCTTAATTGGATTGGGTGCTGATGTATCAGAAAATGAGTTTTCGGTGAATAACAAAAAATCTGGTTCAAATGTACTGTTTGAATACATATTTTCAGTTAATAACGGTAGTTTGCCACGTAGTCCTATCATATAGTTGATTGATGCACCAAAGAATAGCGAATTATTCAAAGATAACAAATAAAAATCATCAAGTATTCCATTTGAGAAGGAAATGTATGAACCATAGGCGATCTTTGCATCATATATATCAAACTTTATAATTTTGGCGTATTTAAAGACTTCTTCTTCATTTGAATAATCACTAAACGCAATACTATTCACGAACATCTTGGATTCATTAATAGTGTAAATTTGTGATCTCAATATGCTACAGACAGTATCAGATTCAATATTTGAAAAGATAGTGGTATTTATCGCTACATCTGCGTTTTGTGCGGATAGAACAGCGAACGAGCTTGAGGAAATTTCATTGAAACATGTTTTGGTTATTTCTACGTGAGAAGCTTCTGTATAAATGCAGCTTGTTTTTATTTGTTTTGCAGGTCTATTCGAATAGCTGCAGATTCTGCGAAATATTGTAGATTGTATTTTAATGAAGCTATCTTTTTTAACATCATTAAACCACTGCGAAATTGCAATTCCGTCTGTATCTCTCACTGTAATTCCTATAAAAACACAATTTCGGATCCAAATACTTTCAGGTATGATTTGTGGTGTTCGAAAATCAGTGTCTGATATTATCATTTCCTCTAAAAGTGATTTTCAATCAAATTTTTTTATCTGATTACACTTTTTCAGAAAATTGACATTTTAAATATTTATTATAATGTAAGGATATATATAATTGCAAACATTATTTTTTGAATTAAAAACGATTAAAATGGTTAAAATCGTTAATAAAAATTACGGTTTTATCGATCTGTTTTTATTTCAAATATGGTGTGCTGTTATAGTGTGGCAGAAGATTACAGCTTTTATTTTAGAATTTAGAATTTATCAGCTTTTTGTAAAGTTAAGAAAATATATTATTTCGGAATGATGTGTCAAATTCAATGAAACGATCTTTTTATTCATACGCAGTATTATTGAAGCCTATTCAACGAAATAAAGAAAACTCCAATATAAATCAGATATCAAAGAAATGAATTTTTTTCTAAATCAAAATACATTATAGTACATTTTGATTTAGTAAATAGTTTGTGTAACTGCTAAAATATGATTTAACAATTGGGTTCTTCTAATATACTTAATTTTGGATAATATTTCAAATTGATTAAAAATATAAAAGTAAATCTTATTTTAAAGGCATGGTTAATAAGTTGTTGAAACTGTAAGTGATTGTATGACTCTGATATGGCAAATAATGAAGAAAATAAATATTTGAAATATTTTGATGAAATGTAGTCATTTCTATGTAATCCTTTGGCAAGAAGATATAAGTATGACCGAATATTTAACGAATAAGAGTGATATCTGGAATTTTTGCTTCCAGATTTGAGAAAAAAACAAACAAGCATTTTTTGTGATGTATTCAATTTTGAATTGTATGGACGAATAATTTTCTGAAGAAATGTTTATAAGTAACAATACATTCTATTATTCTTGTCAGGTTGAAAAATAATATGACTTTGTAAACTTTTCAAAATTGATTTTATAAATTTTATTTGTCTTTGCTCACTTGAGTGGACTGTACGTAAAGAAAGAGCTTTGAATGGTGAAGATCATTCTCTCGTAGGACGAATAAAACTGCTGACAAATTTACAAAAAACGATCATTGTTTCTGACAAAATTACCTCTTTATGGTTTTTATGAAATATTTATAAATTATTTGGGCCAAAAATTGATTGGTGTGACAAATATTTGTATGTGTCGTTTATTTTTTGAAAGCAATTTGGTTTAGAGTCTCAGAATTTAAAATTTTTGCATCAAATGAATGCTTATGGTAGAAACACTTCATTTTTAGATAATGCCTTACAAGTTAAGCATCATTGGCTCTGGTAACTTCGGTTCATGCATCGCCAGACATTGCGCAACCAACATCAAGAACGTTCCAGAAATGGATCCACACATCAAGATGTGGGTTCTTGAAGAAATCGTCAATGGCGAATCCCTCATCCATACAATCAACACAACACACGAGAATGTCAAGTATCTTCCAGGTTACAACCTCGGTGAAAATGTTGAAGCCAGCGGTGACGTCGTCGAATGCTGCGATGCTGATTTCTTCATCTTTGTCGTCCCACACCAATTCCTTCCAGCTACACTCGAAAAGATGAAGGGACATGTTAAGAACACAGCTACAGGATGCCTCCTTACAAAGGGTATCAATTTCAAGGATGGCAAGATCCAGCTCCTTACAGATACAGTCGAAGAGATCATCGGCATCAAGTGCGGCTCTCTCATGGGTGCTAACATCGCTAACGAAATCGCTCGCGGAGACTTCTGCGAATCCACATTAGCTTTCCCAGATATCCCAGAGCGTGAGACATGGAAGCAGCTCTTCGAATCTCCAAAGTTCAAGATCTCTTGCACAAACGATATCGTTACACAGCAACTCTCCGGCACAATGAAGAACATCGTTGCTCTCGGTGGCGGTATTGTTGATGGCCTCAACATGGGTCAGTCCACAAAGGCTGCTATCCTCCGTGAAGGCTTCGTCGAGATCTTCGACTTCGCTAAGATGATGTTCCCAGAAAGAGGTGTCGACATCCTTACAATGATTGAATCATGCGGATTCGGCGATATTGTCGCATCATCTTATGGCGGCAGAAACAGAAAGTGCGCTGAATACTTCGTCAAGTCTGGAAAGTCATTCAAGGAATGCGAAGCTGAACTCCTCAACGGTCAGAAGCTTCAGGGTACACTTGCTGCTGCTGAAGTCTACAAGATCCTTGTTGAGAGAAAGGCAACAGAGAAATTCCCACTCCTCACAACAATCCAGCTTATCAGCGAAAGAAAGGTTGAACCAGCTGAGATCATCAACTACAGAAATCATGCTGCAGTTACAGCCTAAATGATATAAACTCTATCTATCTCTATATAATTTCTTCATTATTTTTTTCTTACCTAATCTCTTCTAATTTACTTTTATTAGAGGGAAGAGCTTGTAATAGATGAGTCAAATGAGAGTTTTATGCCCAAGTTTTGTTGCTGGATTACTTTATTTAAATTATCATCATTAGCAAAGATTAAAAAATACATTTATCTTTGTGATGATGCGAAAACAAGGATTATACTTATAAAAATAGATGCTAATTTTAATATTATACTTAAACTAATTATTACCTTACATAATAAGTAATTTAAAATCAAAATCAAACAAAACTCTTTAAGAAGAGATAATTTTAATAGAAAATCTTGTACTACAATAAAAATAAAGTATATTCTTTTTCCAAAAATTTTTTAAAAATTCTATTTTCTCGTATAAATCTGAGAATTTTTAATTCATTTTTAAATTTTTGGAATTTGAAAAACGCAATTCTACTTTATTTTCATTAATGAACATTAAAGAATACCATTGTAGAACTCAATGATCTATTAAAAGTAAGATTTATCCATTAATTCCTTGATTATTTCATAAATATTCAAAGGAAGTCTCATCTTTTATCTATATTTTGTCTATTAACTACACAATCCAGCATAATTTTATAGATAGAACGGATGTAATTGTAAATATCAAAAATAATTTTTGAGATATTGAGTAAAAAAATAACTAAATTGCATAAACTAGTCAGATATAATAATCTGATTATACTTTTTACTTCGAGCGAGCAGCGATTTCCTTCTTTACGTTTGCAAGGTCCTCTTCGATTCTCTCGAGTGCGTTTCTGTCGATTTGTGTCTCGGCTCTGTCGATCTTTGTATCGAGTTCCATGATCTGTGCAGAGATTTTACCAGAAGTTTCAATTCCTTCAGAAATTCCTTCGAATAAGACAAGTAACTCTACGATTGTCTTGTACATCATCTTTGCCCACTCTCCGTTTGGCGTCTTTGCCTCTGTATAGACCATTTCGTCGATGTACATCCAAGTTCTTTTTACCTTGGAAATCGTGTTATTCATTGTATTATGTTGGTTACGGATATCTGATCTGATTCTCTCTACGTCAGCCTCTTGTTTCTCGATGGTCTTGATGATCTGGAAGATGGAATCGATGTAATGAGATCTTGGTTTCTGTTCTCCTCTGTTTTCCATGGCTTTCTCGAGATTGGAGATAGCCTCGGCATCTGTGGCCAATTTGGCTTCACCTTCTTGGATTTGGCGTTTAAGTTTGGCAAGTTTTGTCATCTGGCGCTGATAATCATCAGTTCTTGTCCTGATGGCCGTAGAAAGGCTTCTGTATTCGTTGATAAGGGCGGATCTCTTCGGTTCGAACTCTCTGGCAATTTCAAGAAGAGAGGCCATCGAATCGACGAAATCTCTCTGTAAAGCGCGTATTTGTGTTGGATCGGACTTTGCGATTTCAGCCATCTTGGTGGCCTTGTCGACTTCGTTTGCGAGCCTTGTATTTTCTTCTTTGACTGTTTCGAGTAATTCGTTGATTCTCTTGATTTCGTCCTTGTTTGATTCGATTTGGCTTTCGATTTCTGCGGCTGAGGATTCTGTTCTGTTGATTAACTCGCGGATTTCGACCATTTCCTTGCTTTGCTCTTCTCTGATTTGCTTTTCTTGTTTTACTGTTAATTTCGGAACAACAGGAGCTGCTGGAGCGGCTTCTTCCACTTTCTCTGCAAGATCAACTTTGTCCTTGCTTGCGCTCCTCTCGATTCCTGTTGTAGATGCGACGGCAGCTGTTGTAAGGGTAGAAGCGGCGTTTTGGCCGATCTTTGTATCTTGGGAGTGGTAGTCGAAACGGGCCTGATTGGCAATACGTGATCTGGCCTTTGTAGATGGTAAAATTGTTGGTTTCATTGCAACAGCTACGACTTCCGCTGGAGTAGATGAAACTTGGAAGGCACGGGATGCGATATTTTGAAGCTTAGTTGTTGATGGCTTCTCTTTGCTGAAATCGAACTGATCAATATCAACTTCACGATCATTGAAGGCAAGAAGAGAAGCTAATGAGTTCTTCTTGAGCTGTGTGTTGAAAGGAATGCCAGAGTTAGGTAAGATTGGCTCTTCAATGAATGGCTGCTTTGGCATTAATGAAAACTCAGCAATCTTCTTAGAATCTTCAATTCCAGCTGGCTTAAGGACTTCCTTAAGTGACTGAACAACGTATGAACGGACTTTTAATGTCTTGCATGCGTTGAATTCATCTTGAGCGGCCTTAATTGCTAATGCGCTTGGAGATGTAACAGCAACAGATTTAGCAACATCATTGTTTGAACGTGGGACTTTTTCAAGCAAGAAAGAAATGACTGCACGTGTTTTTTCGATCTGTGGGTATAAAATAGCATCATATCCTAAAGATGTTGGATATCCCTTTGCAACAATCTTTTCTATCATGTCTGTTGCATATTTATAAAGGGTAGCGCTGCTCTTTGGAGGTGGTGGAGTCTTACCGATATCTGGAAATAGTGAGAAAAGGAATCTTAAGACATCAATCATCTTGTCAGTTGTGATGGCCGAAAGATTCTGGATGGCTCCAGCTTGCTTGTAGCCAAGAATGGAAAGCTGATTAATGATAATTCCGTCTGCGTCGACACTCATATTTATTTTTTTTTCAAAAAGTGACAAAAGGTACCAGAAACACAATTTATCTTTCACTATTAAATACTAAACATATCCAGTTATTGAAATTCATTTCGTAAATTCGTTTTCTTCTTATATCCTGAATTTTAATCCTAACATCACATTATTTTGCATCTTTTTGATCAAGATGGACCTAGTGTGTGTCATTTTGATGCCATTGATACAATAGACAAAACATTTGATAAATATCTTATTTCGAAATGATATTTATTAGAAAAATCTAAAGATTCAATCAAAAATAGATGCAATTTATCAAATTTCTTTATTTTCGGCAATAAGATCACAATTTTTATTGAAATCAATTGTTTAATCATGAAAGGTGAATAGTTTATAGTCAAATATAGACATCTTTTATGTTTCTTTTGCACCATAAAAAACAAGAATGATTTGAGCCTCTCTGTTATTCTTTTCAATTGCTATATTTAAAGGAGTTTTCCCATTTATATTTTTGGCATTAACATCTGCACCATGATTTATAAGAAATTCTACAACATATTTATTGTTCTTTTGAGAAGCTTTATGAAGTGGTGTTTTTCCTATATTATTTTTTGCATTGACATTAGCACCATTTGAAATTAAAATTTCGCAAATTTCCTTGCTATGACGTGCTGCAAAGTGAAGGGGTGTTTCTTTATGATCATTTTTTGAATTTACATTCGCACCATTTGAAATTAAAATTTCGCAAATTTCCTTGCTATGACGTGCTGCAAAGTGAAGGGGTGTTTCTTTATGATTATTTTTTGAATTTACATTCGCACCATTTGAAATTAAAATTTCGCAAATTTCCTTGCTATGACGTGCTGCAAAGTGAAGGGGTGTTTCTTTATGATCATTTTTTGAATTTACATTCGCACCATTTGAAATTAAAATTTCGCAAATTTCCTTGCTATGACGTGCTGCAAAGTGAAGGGGTGTTTCTTTATAATCATTTTTTGAATTTACATTCGCACCATTTGAAATTAAAATTTCGCAAATTTCCTTGCTATGACGTGCTGCAAAGTGAAGGGGTGTTTCTTTATGATTATTTTTTGAATTTACATTCGCACCATTTGAAATAAGGATGTCGGCAAAATCAATGATTCCATGATTGCATGTGGAAAAAAGTGGAGTTTCTCCAGCATTATTTTTTACATTAACATCAGCACCATGAGATAAAAGATATTTAATCAATTCCCTGTTACCTTCTATGACTGCAGCATGAAGAATAGAATAGCCAAAAATATTATCTTTCGAATTAACATCTACTCCATATTCAATAAATGATTTACAGAGAGAATTAATTCCAAAGCTCAACGAATGTGTAAAACAACTATTAATATCTTTGCTATAATCCATGTATATTAGGAATGCATCGAGGTTGTGAAACTCAGAACACCATTCTAATTTAATTTTCAAATCATAATTGTTCATCAAATATACCACAAAATCTTGATTATGAGAAATAATTGCATATTGCATTACTTTTTCATCGGGATCTACATACTGTAGGCACTCATTAATGATGCTTGAATTTCCGCCCAATAATGAAAATTGAAGATTTTTGATAGTTAAAGTCCAGTCATATTTTGCTCTTAAATATTTAAAACATCCAACTGCTCCATGAAGGCAACATATATCAATCAATGATTCTCCTTTTCCATAAGGGTCAGGATGTAAACTACATTTGATTAATTGATCCTTATCGAAACCATCTTGCTCTGCTATAATTTTGAATGTGTCTAAGTTGTCATTCATTAAAGCCCTATATATCGGGTTTTCTTCACAAACATATACTGAACATTTTTGTGCTTCAAATTCTTTGAATTTTGACGGGTCATTTTGGTGAAACATAATTCCATATTCCTGATAAAAGAAGAATTCAAAGAGAGGTCCTAATGCTAGATAATACCATGGATAATAATCATCATAAATTTTTTTGAATAATGAAAGATATGATTTAACATAACGCTTTCTATACCTTGTGGCCAATTTTAGAATCTGGCATACCATATAGTGCGGAAGTAGTTTTGGTTCAATGAGTTTAGTTTTTATTTCATTGTAAATTGTTTTAATTTCTTCTTCATTTGTCGTGCTTAGTTGATATATTGACCTAGTGATGTCAATATAGTCTTTGTATTGCTCCCTGAGACCAGTAAAGATGGCCGAATTCATGAAAAATGAATCAAATTATTGAAGTATTTTTTGAAAGGAAAAAACCGTTGTCGGAAAAAATAAAAATGGAAATAAACTAAGTTTCTTCAACATATGGACTATTGACGAAAAATCGGAAAATTTTGAATTAATTTTCCAAATGGTAAACAAATGATTTTTTTTTACAATCACAAATTCAATTTTGATTACTGCAGCAATAAAATTTGTCATTATTGTATCCTTTGATAAAGCAAATGTTAATATATTTTTAGAGTTTGAAGATATCCTCCGCAAAGTTACTTGAATTCGGGCATTACCTGATAATTTTCATATGTAGTTTATATACATCACATGTTTTTCAGTATGAATTGATGTATGACAAATAAATCTTTAACTTTTCATGTATATTAATGGTATAAGTAGTTGTAACTTTGATAAAACTTGGCCACTCATTAGCATAAGTACTAAAACTATTATTTGCATCAGTTAGACAAAAGATATATTTTATCTGTAACATTTTATTTCTCAGATATAACTTGATGAGTTTATTATGATTTCACAATTAATTCACAAAACTATGAAGTGATTAATTGGCTTCCAAGACAATATTTAAAAGCCCTAGCTATCAAGCTTTTCCAATTGGTAATTAATTGCACTCTTATTTTATCAGTTTATCAAGCTAAAATCGCAATTACTTTGAGGGCTTATTATTAACACTATAACGGATATGTATTTTTTTTTTCAATGAAATGTGATTGACAAAAAGCTGTTATAATGGGCCATTCGCTATAATTCCTAAAAATAACATAATTGATTAAATCATATCGGATTGACAAAATCATTCTTATACTTTTCTACTGTTTCTCAATCGCATTTTTTCCCAGAAATCGGTTATAATAGGCAAACCTGTTTAGATTAGTTCATGACAACATTTACTTCAATTATTGATCACGGTCAGCCTTTGCTATTAGTTTTCAAGCGTTAATTTCTCCACACTGGAATTTGATTGGGAGCCCATTAAAGTATCAAAATAAACTCGGGCAAATGACTGTAATTAAATGCTCAGAGAATTGTCCGCGCGATATCTATAGCTTTTTTGAATCCATCATGGGCGTTCTCAAAATAAACGACAGAAAAATTATAAGAGAGACAAAATATTACCAGAACATGACATAGGTTAATATTTATCGCATAAAATCGAAAATTACTTTGAAGTATAATACAATTTGCTATCTCACACTCAATTTTGAGAACTGTTTCGTCATAAATTGAGAGACACTTTTCTAAATTTGCTTGTCAATTATTTTCTTTGAAATTGTTAGAGTTTAACAATTCACGGGACTCACCTCATTTTTAATTCCGAATGCTTCGCAATTTCAGCAAAAGAGTTCCAGGAGATGGCAATACCGCTGCCACTTCCGTTGCTTACCAGCTTACAGAAACATCATTCATCTACCCAATCACACCAGCTACAACAATGGGTGAATTAGTTGATGCTTGGATCGCCCAGGGTCGTAAGAACATCTGGGGCAACAAAGTCAACATGGCTATGATGCAATCAGAAGGTGGTGCTGCTGCCGCTGTTCACGGTGCTACAGCAGTTGGTGCCCTTTGCGCTACATTCACAGCTTCACAAGGTGCTCTCCTTATGATCCCAGATATGTACAAGATCGTCGGTGAAATGTGCCCAGCTGTCTTCCACATCGCTGCTCGTTGCATTGCTACATCTGCTCTTTCCATTTACAACGATCACGGTGATATCTACGCTTGTCGTGCCACAGGCATGCCAATTCTTTTCTCAAATGGTGTCCAGGAGGCTCACGATCTCGCTGCTGTCGCTCACTTAACATCCATCCACACAGGTCTTCCATTCATCCACACATTCGATGGCTTCCGTACATCCCACGAAATCAACACATACGAAGAACTCGATAACGAAACACTTTGGCCACTTATCGACCAGAAGGCTCTCGCCGCCTTCCGTGCTCGTTCTCTTAACCCAGAACATCCATCTGAGCGCGGCACAATCTGCGGCCCAGAATACGTCTGGCAGATGCACGAAAAGCTTCGCAAGCCATACCAGGCTCTCCCAGCTGAAGTCGAGAAGATGATGAAGGCTCTCGGTGACAAGACAGGCCGTTACTACAAGCCATACCAGTACGCTGGCCCACGTGACCCAGAGAACGTCATCATCATGATGGGTTCTGGCTGTGATCCAGTCGAAGAATTCATCACAGAACACCCAGAGTACAAGACAGGCCTCATCAAGGTCTATCTTTACCGCCCATTCTCTGTTGAGATGTTCAACGCTGCCATTCCATCCTCTGTCAAGCGTGTCTGCGTTCTCGACAAGGTTGTAGATCCAACAGGCCCACGTGAACCACTCTTCGAAGATGTTGCTGCTGCTCTCATTGGCGAACGCAACGTCAAGATCATCGGTGGCCGCTACGGTATCTCATCCCGCGACTTCGCTCCAGTCCATGTCGAAGCCATCGTCAAGAACCTTGTTTCTCAGATTCCAAAGGACCGCTTCACAGTTGGTGTTGTCAACCCAGAAACAGCTCTTCCACTCGGCAAGCCATTCGATCACCTTCCAGAAGGCACAAAGCAGTGCATGTTCTGGGGTCTCGGCTCTGATGGTACAGTCGGTGCTAACAAGCAGGCTATCAAGCTTATCGTTTCCAACACAAAGCTTTACGGCCAGGCTTACTTCGCTTACGATGCCCACAAGTCCGGAGGTGTCACAACATCCCACCTTCGTTTCGGTGCCAAGCCAATCAACGCTCCATACTACGTTCAGAACGCTGATTACATCGCTTGCCACAACCCATCATACCTCCACAAGTTCGACATGACAAAGCAACTCAAGCAGGGTGGTGTCTTCGTCATCAACTTCCCAGGCAATCTTGATCTCAACAAGGATCTCCCAGGATCATTCCGCCGCTCAATCGCTGAGAAGGATGCTAAGCTTTACACAATCGATGCTACACAGATCGCTATCGACCTCAAGCTCCCAGGCCGTATCAACATGCTTATGCAGACAGTTTTCTTCGGCCTCGCTAACATCATCCCAGCCGAAGAGTGCATCGCTCTCCTTAAGAAGTCCATTGCTAAGCAGTACGCTCGCAAGGGTAAGGAAGTCATCCAGAAGAACTGGGACATGGTCGACCATGCTCTCCAGGGCCTCAAGGAATTCAAGTACAACAAGGCTGAATGGCTCAACGCTCCAGTCGAACCAAGACCAAAGCACGAGGGTATCCGCCACATCATCGATATGTCCATCCTTCAGGAAGGTGAGTCCGTCTCTGTTGATGAGATGGTCGACATCGGCCTCGTTCCAAACGGCACAGCCAAGTTCGAGAAGCGTGGTATCGCCGTCACAGTTCCAAAGTGGGACGAAAAGAAGTGCATTCAGTGCAACACCTGCGCCATGGTCTGCCCACACGCTGTCATCTGCCCATTCCTTCTCAAGCCAGAAGAAGTCCAGGGCCTTACAACACTAAAGGCTAAGGGCAAGGAGATCAAGGATTACCAGTTCAGAATCCAGATCACACCACTCGACTGCACAGGCTGCGGCACATGCGTCACATCCTGCCCAACAAAGGCTCTCTCTATGACATACCGTAACGCTAAGCTCGACGAGGAAGAGGGCAAGAACTGGGAACGCCTTACAGCTATTCCAAACCGTGGACACCTTGTTCCAGCTACAAACGTTCGCAACGTTCAGTTCCGCCAGCCACTCATCGAATTCAACGGTGCTTGCCAGGGATGCGGTGAAACAGCTATCTGCAAGCTCCTTACACAGCTCTATGGTGACCAGCTTTACCTCGCTAACGCTACAGGCTGCTCTCTCGTTTGGGGTGCTACATTCCCATTCAACCCATACACAACAAACGAGCGCGGACACGGTCCAGCTTGGGCTAACTCCCTCTTCGAAGATAACGCTGAATTCGGCTACGGTATGTTCAAGGCTGTCGAAGCCCGCCGTAACATCACAAAGCGCCTCATCGTCGATGTCATCGAATCCGGTGAAGTCAAGGGTGAGCTCAAGGATCTCTTCGAGCAACTCCTCAAGGTTTGGGATCAGGATAAGGAATCCGGCGATCTCGCTGAGAAGATCAAGCCACTCCTTGCTAAGGTTCAGAACCCATCCGAGAAGCTCTTCGACCTCAAGTCACAGGCTGACATCCTTGCCAAGAAGCAAGTCTGGATCGTCGGTGGTGATGGTTGGGCTTACGATATCGGCTATGGTGGCCTTGATCACGTTCTTGCTTCTGGCGAAAACGTCAAGATCATCATCTACGATACAGAAGTTTACTCCAACACTGGTGGCCAATGCTCTAAGGCTACATCTCGTGGTGCTGTCGCTAACTTCTCTGCTGCTGGTTACACAAAGGCTAAGAAGGATCTTGGCGCCATCGCTATGACATACAAGAACATCTATGTCGCTTCAACATGCTTACTCGCTGATCCTAACCAGGCTCTCAAGGCTCTCCAGGAAGCTAAGGAGTACAACGGCCCAGCTATCATCATCAACTACTCTCCTTGCATCAACCACGGTATCAAGAAGGGACTTGGCTCAACACCAAAGCACTGCAAGGATCTCCTCAAGACAGGTTACCTCAACCTCTTCCGTTACAACCCATCCAAGGACAAGCCACTCACAGTCGACACAAAGCAGCCAGACTACAACCTCGACCCACTTGTTAAGGGCGAAAACAGATTCGCTGCTCTTAAGGATATCTATCCAAAGGAGGCTGAGACTAAGTTCCCACTTCTTATCAACGATATGAAGACACGTTACGAGGGCTACAAGAAGATCCAGCAAACACAGTAAGGCATTTTGCTTTTTACGCTTCTATCCAGTAATTTTAAATAAAGTGCATTTTTAATTAATTTTATATTACTTTTTTACGGAAATTAAAAAATTATTTTTGAGTGGCTGTTTTGACTTCACACAAATTAATAGTTATTTTTTTGAGAACATGTTTTGACTTCAAAAAATGGATCAGGGTTTAATACTAAATTATGAATATTTAGCAGCCCATATTACAGACTTTCTTGAGGACGACAAGCTCTGCACTGTTTTTGAAATAGAAGACATAAGAAAAATTCTGCAATTTGCAAATCTCACTTCAGATAATTTCATCTCGCTTCTTAAACAGTCATCTTCAACAATCAAAACAAGAGATATATTTGAGTGCATTCGAGATTCATATGTTTCAATTAACAATTTTCCAGAAGCAATTGCTACTTTAAAATCTGTTAAAAAATACGTGAAATTAAATTTGCTCGATGGAATAATTAATTTTTTGATTCAAATGTACCAAGAGATGCAATCATTGCAATCAATTATTGTTGAAAAGGAAAATATAATCTCTGGATTGAAAGAAGATTTAGAAATTGCTAAGTATGAAAATTTAAATGACCCAAATCGGATTTATAGTTTCCTTGATGAACTTTCGAAACAAGGTAATCAAAGAATGATTGAAAAGGCATGTAAAAAAGGCCTATATTGTTATGGCGATAAACATGGAAAGACAGTTCTTCATATGGCCTGCCAAAATAGCAATTCCAGACTTGTCATATCTCTTATTAAAGGTGGATGTAGAACTTGCATTACAACTTATGATTATTATTATCCAATTGACTATGCATCAGGTCCTGAAGAATTCGAAATCATAAAAAGTCTAATAAAAGCAGGCAACGATAAAGATCACAAAGACTTTTCAGAAGAAACACCACTCATTAGGGCCTCATCTAATGGAAACATTAGATTGGTCAAATATCTCACATCAATTGGGGCTAATATAGAAGCAAAAAATAAATACGGTTCTAACCCACTTTTGCGAGCTACAGAGAATAACCATTTTGAAATTATCAAACATCTCATCTCAGTTGGAGCTAATTTAGAGGCAAAAAGTAGAAACGGCGAAACTCCTCTTATAATTGCTTCAAGAGATGGAAAAATTGATATTGTTAAATATCTTATTTCTATCGGGGCAAATATTGATGCACGAGATAAAGAAGGAAAAACCTCACTTATTTGTGCCCTCAATGATTCAAAACTTGAAGTTAGTCAATACCTTATCTCTTCGGGAGCCAGAATAGATATTAAAGATAATAATGGAAATTCCACACTCACACAAGCATCTCGCGCAGGTTTTCTTGAAATAGTCAAATGTCTTATATCTGCTGGAATTGATAAAGATATAAAGAATAATGACGGAGTAACTCCACTTATGCTTGCATCACAATTTGGACATTTAGAAATAGTTCAATATTTGATTTTTCTTGGATCTAATATAGATGAAAGGAATAAAGATGGAAATACTGCCCTTATACTGGCTACAAATCCTTATTCATATGATGAAAAAATGGATATCATATCTATCGAAATAATGAAACTTCTTATTTCTAAAGGGGCAAATATTGAAACAAAAAATAACAAAGAGAATACTCCACTCATTAGTGCAGCACAGAATGGTAATCTCCCAATTGTGAAATATCTTATTTCTATCGGAGCTAATATTAATGCAACAACCAATAATGGGAAAACTCTGCTTTATTTATCGCGCAAATCTGTGAGGGAGTATCTTTTATCGATTGGTGTCAAATGGGTTTAAAATCAATTAATTTAACTTATAAATTTTTATTATTTTTTAAAACATTTTATTAAAGTTAATATAATATCAAATATGAAATAATCTTTATTCTGGTGATGGTCCATTCGGGAAGTTACGGAACATTTCTTCTGGAGTCTTCATTTTATACAAATAATCCGGAAGTGGCTTTCCGCTTGGAAGTGTAGTTCCTGGATTGAATAAATCAGCAAAGAATGGATGTCTCATGCAATCAACAGCTGTATAACGCTTCTTAACATTGAAAATAAATATTTTTTCGAGTAAATCTATAAATTCTGGTGGTGTGAATGATGGGAGGGCTGCTTTGAGTGTCATACCCTTAATTCCAAATTGTGTAAAACGTTTTGATGATTCGAATGACTCCAAATCTTCTGGATTTGGTGAACCGATGGTTTTGACTATTGAAGTTAATAATTCAGAGTTGTTTCTTCCATTAAATAAAGAGCGACCTTGAAGGAAGAGCTCTGCAAGAACACATCCTGCCGACCAAACATCAATTGAAAAAGTATAGGCCGGACAGTCTAATAGTAGCTCTGGAGCTCGATAGTTTCTTGTTGCAATGTAGGAAACACTCTTTTCTCCTGGCAAAAGGAACTTTGCACTACCAAAATCGCATAATTGAAGGCGTCCATCATCTGGATCAACAAGAACGTTCGATGGTTTGATATCACGATGAGCTATGCTGTGCGCGTGAAGGTAAGCAAGGCCAGAAAACATTTGATATCCCCATAATTTGACATATAAAGGAGGTGGGAACGGGAATTTCGACATAAACATTGGAAGACTGTCTGGCAAATAGTCTGTAATGAGTATTAAGAATTTGTGCTGTCTCTGACCTTCATTAATAAATTTATGTCCAATGTAAACTAAATTATTCGGGTGTTGAAGACGGCTAACGAGTTGCAATTCACGAGATTTGAACTTTGGATCCATAAAAACTTTCTTAATTGCCACAGGCTCTCCTTTAGCATTGTTGCAAAGAAAAACTGCGCCGAAAGTTCCCACTCCAACTGTTTTGACTAAAGTATAACCTTCAAGAGGCTGAAGATTAAGGGTATCTGCTTTAAGGTGTGTAACTGATCTCATTTTGATTTGCTCAAAAAGAACGTTTACAAAAGTTGAATTTTTTTATATTTTTATGAATTTCTTCAATATTATAGGCATGTAGGCAATACCATGCCTTGGTTCTTTTCCACTTACAACAAAATAAAAAAAGACAATAGGAATTTGATCAAAACATTTATCTGGACTTTCGAATCATCACAATATACTCCATGCACATGTGCTTGATGCATTCTTCACAGAAATGTTTTTGTATGAGTAAATCAGAAAGAAAAATCCAATTAAGTTTAAAGAATTCATAGGATTAATTCTATCAATAGACTAAAGCAAGCGGACTGGTTTTAATTATATTTTGCCCAATGTTTTAAAAATTCATTAAATAATTTTGCATAATTTTTAAAAATTTTATCGACACATATCCTTAAACCATGAATACAGAACAACAAATCAAGATTAAATGTACAAAGTACATTTTCCATGACAAATGTGCACAATTAATGAATACATCAGGATTTTAAACAAATGCGATTAATAAGCAGATCTTGGAACTGATCATTAGAAGAAGTGTGAGGACTTTCACACAGAGTTTTCTTCAAATTTAAACTGAAGTGTCAATATTTGAAATATTAACCTAGATATAAAGAACTAGTAACCAGTTACATCAGCGAAGTCCTTCCGAACTCAAGCTTGTGTAAAAAATCAATAGATCAGTAAAAGTCTCCAACAGATTTTGTCACTTTTTATCATTTCAAATTCAATGAATGATTTAGAGTTTGAAGAATTTCAGAATACATGGAGTGACACCACTCCAGTAGAGGCAAAACAAGATCCAGATGGAATCTTCGGAATGCAATATTCTGAACAATATAAATATATTATGGGAATTTTCCGTGCTGCATTAAATAAAATGGAATTATCGCAGCGTGCACTTAAATTAACAGAAATAATTGCTACGAAAAATCCATCCAATATCGCAGTTTGGTGGTATCGTCAAGAAATTTTGAAAGCTATTGGTTATTCCTGGGAAGAAGAAATGGATTTCCTCGATCAGCTTACAGTTGAACAAGTTAAACCATACCAATTATGGAATCATCGTAAATTCCTCGATGACCGTTGTGAAACAGTTCCAGATGAGAAGAAAAGGCTTTTCAAACTTATTGCATGCGATAACAAGAACTTCCATGCCTATAGTTTCTTTATTTGGTTCATTGAACGCTGGGGTGTTTATGATTATTTTCTTGACTACACAAAGGATTTACTACATGTTGATAAATATAATAACAGTGCTCTCAGCTTCAGATTCTGGATTGTTCAACACAAAAATCTAAATACAGAAGAAGAATTGAAATATGTTTTAGAGTTAATGGCAAGAGATTATCAAAATGAGAGTGCCGCAAACTACATCCGTGGACTCATGAAGCTCAATCCTTCACTTGTCCCAACAATCAAAGAAACTTTCGATAAAATCGTAGTTGATCATCATTTCAAGGAAATCTATTCATTACTTTATACCATTGCATGTATACAGAACGATAAAGAGACACAAGACAAGTACTGTGATCTTTTGATTGAATTGGATACTTACAAGGCTCAATACTGGACATTAGTGAAAAATCATGCTGTAAAGAACATGTGAGCTGTCTTTTGTTAATAAAATTTAAGATTAAAATATTGTTATACTTATTTTTCATTTTTTCATCATCTTTCAGTTTTTAAATCATCTAAAAACTCTTGCCCATATAGAAGGCAATCATATTATTATAGTTTTCCTCTCAATTGCAGTTGTAAATTTTTATCTTCTCATTTTCCTTTAATAATGCAAATTTAAATAGTACAAAAATTGTACAATAAAATAATATAAGAATTAATGACCATTTATTTAGTTTTCAGTTTTATGATGATTATCAAATTCAGGAAATGAGTATTTGCAATTTTCTATTAAGATTAGAGGAAACATCCTTGTTTCAACGGAAATTATGAAAAATAATTTTTATAATTTTTATTCAAAGAGATGTATGAACAAATTAACTGTACAACTGAGACATATATTATATGTTTAGAAGGATCACGACAGTAAAAGATAAAGAAAAACAATTTTAAAATTAAGAATTTAGTATTAAACAAAAATATAAATGTTCAACTTAATAATATTACATGAAATTATATATTAATAAATATATTTTTGGTGCTTCATGCGTAAACAGTGAGTTCATCAACATTCGGCGCTGTGATCTTGTTATCTATAACAGTTGGAGGTCCTTCGAGAGGAACGGATTTACTGGACCTCCTGGTGAAGTTAATTACTTCCCTTTCGGTTTTCACTTCACTTCTAATTTGGTCCATTTCAGAAGGAACGTGTTTCTTCTTTTCTGGCATTTTGATGCGCATTTCGTAGCATTTTGAGCAGTGCGGCCTGTTGTGGATGGGACGAGCTGCAGCAGGAGTCAAATGGCAGCCGCATACTCTGCAAATGAAGCATTCTGAGTGGTAAATCTTCTCATGCCACTTTAATCTGTCGTCAAGAAGGTTGAAACGGCGTTTGCAGAATGCACAACTATCTGTAATTGGCGAACCATGCTGTAAACAGTAGAATTTGTTATGATGTACGATATAATTATCTCCATTTAAGATTTGATCGCAAACTTCACAGCGGAAGTGGTCGCGATGGAAGTATTGTTGATTGTGAAATACATAGTTAAGTTCGAGAATCTTTTCGCCGCATTTTTTGCATATAATATTTTCAACTTTTTCTTGGCAGTGTTTGCATATGATTTTATCACCTATTTCTTCGTAGCTTTCGTTAGTTAATGGTTTGCAGCAGCGACTGCACGCGAGACATGTCTTGTGGATCTGTTTTCCGCTCTTGAGAGTTAAAATTTCGTCTTCTGTAAAGATTGGATTGCTGCAAACCTTGCACACGCGCTTACTAACCTTGATTATGCAGTCCTTGCACATGTTTTTGCCTTGGTATGTGTAACATTCGTTATAATCGAGATGTTTACCACAAGTAAAGCACTTAACGCACTCGTCATGGTAGTAATAGCCATTTAAGTATGTGTAATTGTCAATAATTTCTTTGTTACAAGCTTGGCAAGTTCTGATTGGTAAAACAAAATCTTCGAAGGCACTTGGAACAACGAGATTAGAAAATGCTGCTAAATTAGGCATAGCAGATGCCTCGTAGCCATCGGGAATGTTGCTATCTAAAGGAATTGACTTTAACATTTGAGTTCCAGAGTAATATTGAACGGCATTTGATTGCATAGCATCATCAATCGTTGAAGCCATGTATTCGAAGTTGTTTTGTTGTGGTTGTACTTTCGATTGACTCTCAAACATTTCAGATGAAAATTTGATGTTACTTGCTGCAGGAATAACCTCCCATCCGAATTCATCAAGCTCACTCTTGAATCCGTCGAATGTTTGTAGCCTCTGATCTTCGATTTCCGCTTGTGTGTAATGAGCTTTTGGACTTGAAGGCGTTTCTACCGGCTTTTGAGAAGGAACAACGGGAGTTGGAAGTAACTCCAAGCTCTTGTTCGGAGTGATACCACGGAAACCTTCATTTGTCGGAATCGGTGGAAGTAAAAGCGCATCTGCGCCAAACGGCGTTGGCGGAGGCGGTGGGGGAAAGTCCATTGCAAGTGGTGAAGACGGTGCGGATGGTGATAAAAGAGGTGAAGCTGGAGGAGGAGTTAATGGAGATGAACTTGTAGGAATCGTTATTTGACTTGGTTTTTCATGGAATCCGTTTGCTTCATCAATCCATGATGAATGGCTTGACTCCGAAAATTGAGTTGGATTATCATAATCTTCACCGGGAACTAATAAACTCGGCATTCCACCATTCTTTATTTTTTTAGGCGCAACTTCGATGACTTTTGAATCTACGTGCTTTGAAGGCGATTTTTGACCTAACAATTTTTTATTTTCGGGTTTTGATTCAGAACTAGAGTAATATTCGTAAGATCCACTATCAGAATAATACTCGTAGTCATCATTGTTGTTATCTTCTTGAGCAGGAATCAATAAACTTTGGCCCTGGCTCATAGAAGAAATAATATAAAATCTTTTATCGTTACAACTATGGTCTAGACTAATCTGTCGTTTTTTATAAATTATAATGTTTGCATTATTTATGTTACATTTATTTAAACACCAGCCCGCAGTTTTTCAAAAGAAACATTTTCAGAAGATACTTTTCAAAACTCAATTAAAGTATGGAATGTAACATTTATTTCTGCTTGAAATTATTTACTTATTTCATAGAAATAATTGAGAGAGATTTTAATTCAAATTTTGGACTCTTCATAAAAAACGAAAAATGGAACCTTATGTCCTCATAAAAGTTTTCCAAGGTTGAAATGTCCTTAATTGCATTAATAGATGAATGGTTTTGCATGAAATCATGAAAAAATTGCGTTGCTGAATGAAGCAAATGTTATAGACTGTTATAGACCGAAAATAGATTTTTTCGGTTTTCTCTTCAAATAATTGAAAGAATGATACTATTATAGGTTTATTATATTATATAGCATATAATCATGCTATAGCCGAAAATTATAAGTTTTGAGAAGAGTGAATATAACACAAATAAATTTGAATGTAGGTTAAATTGCTTGTTGTTTTTAATAGCTATTTAATGGGAAATCCAATATTGCAAAATTCAAATTGAATGATTGAAAGAACAGAAAAAGTCATTCTTTTCAATTTCGAATATGTTTCATTGTATTTATAATTATATGGCAAATAAGATATTTAAACTTGATTTTTGAAGGAAAATTCACAAAATTGAATATAGTCAAATAATTGTTATTCAAAAATAAACTAGTTATTTGAGTTTAATACTAATGGTCTATTCAAACTACAAAGTTTGTAATTTAAAATATTTTGTGAGATCAGATTGAATTAATTCAAGGTTCTTTTCAATTAATATTAATGACCATATTACGCATTTTCGAACATTCTAAACCAAATATATAAAAATGGGAGACGAATGTTAAATTTGCTAGACATGGGGGAGTTGTCTGCAAAGTTTTAGCTCTTATCTCTAACAAAAAAATAATTTTTAAAAAAATGACCGAATACGTTTCACAGCGAGAAAAAAATAAAAGGCAAGATAGAATTTTCTAGACATAAAGAAGTTGTTTACCGAGTTTTAGCTCTTATCTCTAACAAAAAATTAATTTTTAAAAAAATGACCGAATACGTTTCACAGCGAGAAAAAAATAAAAGGCAAGATAGAATTTTCTAGACATAAAGAAGTTGTTTACCGAGTTTTAGCTCTTATCTCTAACAAAAAATTAATTTTTAAAAAAATGACCGAATACGTTTCACAGCGAGAAAAAAATAAAAGGCAAGATAGAATTTTCTAGACATAAAGAAGTTGTTTACCGAGTTTTAGCTCTTATCTCTAACAAAAAATTAATTTTTAAAAAAATGACCGAATACGTTTCACAGCGAGAAAAAAATAAAAGGCAAGATAGAATTTTCTAGACATAAAGAAGTTGTTTACCGAGTTTTAGCTCTTATCTCTAACAAAAAATTAATTTTTAAAAAAATGACCGAATACGTTTCACAGCGAGAAAAAAATAAAAGGCAAGATAGAATTTTCTAGACATAAAGAAGTTGTTTACCGAGTTTTAGCTCTTATCTCTAACAAAGAATTAATTTTTAAAAAAAATGACCGAATACGTTTCACAGCGAGAAAAAAATAAAAGGCAAGATAGAATTTTCTAGACATAAAGAAGTTGTTTACCGAGTTTTAGCTCTTATCTCTAACAAAAAATTAATTTTTAAAAAAATGACCGAATACGTTTCACAGCGAGAAAAAAATAAAAGGCAAGATAGAATTTTCTAGACATAAAGAAGTTGTTTACCGAGTTTTAGCTCTTATCTCTAACAAAAAATTAATTTTTAAAAAAATGACCGAATACGTTTCACAGCGAGAAAAAAATAAAAGGCAAGATAGAATTTTCTAGACATAAAGAAGTTGTTTACCGAGTTTTAGCTCTTATCTCTAACAAAAAATTAATTTTTAAAAAAATGACCGAATACGTTTCACAGCGAGAAAAAAATAAAAGGCAAGATAGAATTTTCTAGACATAAAGAAGTTGTTTACCGAGTTTTAGCTCTTATCTCTAACAAAAAATTAATTTTTAAAAAAATGACCGAATACGTTTCACAGCGAGAAAAAAATAAAAGGCAAGATAGAATTTTCTAGACATAAAGAAGTTGTTTACCGAGTTTTAGCTCTTATCTCTAACAAAAAATTAATTTTTAAAAAAATGACCGAATACGTTTCACAGCGAGAAAAAAATAAAAGGCAAGATAGAATTTTCTAGACATAAAGAAGTTGTTTACCGAGTTTTAGCTCTTATCTCTAACAAAAAATTAATTTTTAAAAAAATGACCGAATACGTTTCACAGCGAGAAAAAAATAAAAGGCAAGATAGAATTTTCTAGACATAAAGAAGTTGTTTACCGAGTTTTAGCTCTTATCTCTAACAAAAAATTAATTTTTAAAAAAATGACCGAATACGTTTCACAGCGAGAAAAAAATAAAAGGCAAGATAGAATTTTCTAGACATAAAGAAGTTGTTTACCGAGTTTTAGCTCTTATCTCTAACAAAAAATTAATTTTTAAAAAAATGACCGAATACGTTTCACAGCGAGAAAAAAATAAAAGGCAAGATAGAATTTTCTAGACATAAAGAAGTTGTTTACCGAGTTTTAGCTCTTATCTCTAACAAAAAATTAATTTTTAAAAAAATGACCGAATACGTTTCACAGCGAGAAAAAAATAAAAGGCAAGATAGAATTTTCTAGACATAAAGAAGTTGTTTACCGAGTTTTAGCTCTTATCTCTAACAAAAAATTAATTTTTAAAAAAATGACCGAATACGTTTCACAGCGAGAAAAAAATAAAAGGCAAGATAGAATTTTCTAGACATAAAGAAGTTGTTTACCGAGTTTTAGCTCTTATCTCTAACAAAAAATTAATTTTTAAAAAAATGACCGAATACGTTTCACAGCGAGAAAAAAATAAAAGGCAAGATAGAATTTTCTAGACATAAAGAAGTTGTTTACCGAGTTTTAGCTCTTATCTCTAACAAAAAATTAATTTTTAAAAAAATGACCGAATACGTTTCACAGCGAGAAAAAAATAAAAGGCAAGATAGAATTTTCTAGACATAAAGAAGTTGTTTACCGAGTTTTAGCTCTTATCTCTAACAAAAAATTAATTTTTAAAAAAATGACCGAATACGTTTCACAGCGAGAAAAAAATAAAAGGCAAGATAGAATTTTCTAGACATAAAGAAGTTGTTTACCGAGTTTTAGCTCTTATCTCTAACAAAAAATTAATTTTTAAAAAAAAGACCGAATACGTTTCACAGCGAGAAAAAAATAAAAGGCAAGATAGAATTTTCTAGACATAAAGAAGTTGTTTACCGAGTTTTAGCTCTTATCTCTAACAAAAAATTAATTTTTAAAAAAATGACCGAATACGTTTCACAGCGAGAAAAAAATAAAAGGCAAGATAGAATTTTCTAGACATAAAGAAGTTGTTTACCGAGTTTTAGCTCTTATCTCTAACAAAGAATTAATTTTTAAAAAAATGACCGAATACGTTTCACAGCGAGAAAAAAATAAAAGGCAAGATAGAATTTTCTAGACATAAAGAAGTTGTTTACCGAGTTTTAGCTCTTATCTCTAACAAAAAATTAATTTTTAAAAAAATGACCGAATACGTTTCACAGCGAGAAAAAAATAAAAGGCAAGATAGAATTTTCTAGACATAAAGAAGTTGTTTACCGAGTTTTAGCTCTTATCTCTAACAAAAAATTAATTTTTAAAAAAATGACCGAATACGTTTCACAGCGAGAAAAAAATAAAAGGCAAGATAGAATTTTCTAGACATAAAGAAGTTGTTTACCGAGTTTTAGCTCTTATCTCTAACAAAAAATTAATTTTTAAAAAAAAGACCGAATACGTTTCACAGCGAGAAAAAAATAAAAGGCAAGATAGAATTTTCTAGACATAAAGAAGTTGTTTACCGAGTTTTAGCTCTTATCTCTAACAAAAAATTAATTTTTAAAAAAATGACCGAATACGTTTCACAGCGAGAAAAAAATAAAAGGCAAGATAGAATTTTCTAGACATAAAGAAGTTGTTTACCGAGTTTTAGCTCTTATCTCTAACAAAAAATTAATTTTTAAAAAAATGACCGAATACGTTTCACAGCGAGAAAAAAATAAAAGGCAAGATAGAATTTTCTAGACATAAAGAAGTTGTTTACCGAGTTTTAGCTCTTATCTCTAACAAAAAATTAATTTTTAAAAAATGACCGAATACGTTTCACAGCGAGAAAAAAATAAAAGGCAAGATAGAATTTTCTAGACATAAAGAAGTTGTTTACCGAGTTTTAGCTCTTATCTCTAACAAAAAATTAATTTTTAAAAAAATGACCGAATACGTTTCACAGCGAGAAAAAAATAAAAGGCAAGATAGAATTTTCTAGACATAAAGAAGTTGTTTACCGAGTTTTAGCTCTTATCTCTAACAAAAAATTAATTTTTAAAAAAAATGACCGAATACGTTTCACAGCGAGAAAAAAATAAAAGGCAAGATAGAATTTTCTAGACATAAAGAAGTTGTTTACCGAGTTTTAGCTCTTATCTCTAACAAAAAATTAATTTTTAAAAAAATGACCGAATACGTTTCACAGCGAGAAAAAAATAAAAGGCAAGATAGAATTTTCTAGACATAAAGAAGTTGTTTACCGAGTTTTAGCTCTTATCTCTAACAAAAAATTAATTTTTAAAAAAATGACCGAATACGTTTCACAGCGAGAAAAAAAAAAAGGCAAGATAGAATTTTCTAGACATAAAGAAGTTGTTTACCGAGTTTTAGCTCTTATCTCTAACAAAAAATTAATTTTTAAAAAAATGACCGAATACGTTTCACAGCGAGAAAAAAATAAAAGGCAAGATAGAATTTTCTAGACATAAAGAAGTTGTTTACCGAGTTTTAGCTCTTATCTCTAACAA